TATGATACGTATACCCAATACTAAAATGTCAGCAAATGTGGCGCAATGCTTGCTTAGCAATGATTCGCCTGATGTAGAACTCGATTGGATGCCTTCGAATTTTGATGAACAGACATCAGCAACAGACGAACTAAAGCCAAACAAGAAGTTTGCTCATGTGTCTATCACTGTGTACGACCCGTTATGTGTGATTGATATTGCTCATAAAGATTTGATTGCTAAACTAATACCCAACCAGAAAGAAAAGCACGTAGCATCAAAACAAGACACACCGTACAAGCGTGTATTCAAAAACTGGCCTCATGCTAGTTTTTCTTTGTCTATCGAGCGACCTTGTATGAAGATCAAGAACGACACTCAACACACAGGTATTGTTTCATGGTCCAATGTGACATTCCAGTTAGATGGTGTGTACGTGGCTCAAAAAAATCGTCCTGCCTCTGTCTTGCCTCGTTATTCAGCACCACTGACAGCGACAGCCAAAGATGAAGAACACATTGAATTTCAAGCCAATTCATCCACGTTTCAACGTGTTCAGTCTCAAACAAGATCCTCTTGGACCAAGTTATTTAGACGTAGCTGGAAATCAAAAGATGCTGGTTATTCTGGTTTACAGAGAAAGGCAACTGAATGGCACTACAAGGCTTCAATGCAATATACCATACAAGACACCTGCTTTGATATTGAACAACAAAGTTCTGTTGAATCAAAGCATCATTATCAACAACAACAACAACATCAACATCTTGTCTCTGTGGATCAGTTTGAAATGAAAGCATTTGCAAGGCTGGATGTTTCTTTTGAAGGCGATAGGGACCAACAAATTCGGCTTGCATGGGATTCAGATACACATCATATCAATGTAGAGGTGGAAACAAAAAGACCTGTATTGAACCTGTGGCTCAAGTTGCAAGACCAAACAAGTCAATTGGAATTCTGGGTCAAGCATATTATCGATCCGTTCAAGACCATCAAACCCACTAAGGAAAAGAACAGCAGTAGTCAAAATAGTGGCCAACTGTATAAGTATCTTTCTATCGTCAAGGCACAATGGGTTGTATTGGACGCTGTAGCTGTGATTGAAGGTGTTGATCGTGGCCTTAAGGGTAAGAGAAATGTTCCAAAAGGTTACTTGGATAATGCCCCACAGGAAGATGTGGATGTTCGGGTGGCCTTGTCAATGGCAAAACTCGCTTGTTTCTTTAGTGGTTCTCGCGTGTTTAGCTCAAAAGATGGACACAAACGAACCAGCCTCAGCAATACGTCTGTTGATTCCGATATTGATGAAGAAAAGCAGATCTCTATGTCTTCAACCAACAAAGCAAACCAAGTTCCTTTTGGTACATGCAGAGTGTCGTTACAGCATCTCCTTGTTGAAAGATTGCTCAAGCCAGGAAACGAGCATCACTGGCACCGAAATGATCAAGCAAAGACAGTTGTCATGTGGATTTCGCGTATCAACACAAGAACTGAGATCATGCTGTGCCTAACGTCTCAAATGTTGATTATCCTGCCTTCCATTGTAGTGAAAAAAACGGGTATCAAGTATTCAATTACTAATCATTATGCTCTTTTGGTCGCTACTTTGTCCACTGCGAATAACTTGAAGCTATTGTTTGGCAAAAAAGAAAAAACAGGCGGTCCCAAGGAAAAACGGTTTATGCTACCTCATCTTCAATTCCAAATGAATCGCGCGGATGTCCATATCTCTCTACCCGGAGGTCATACCGAGCTCTATTTGCGTATGGATAGTTTGCGTACTCAATGGAGAGACCAAGAGAAGACACCTTCAACGGCTATTCGAAACATCACTTTGTTTGGCGTTGCTCCACATCAACCTGGTTGCTGGGATCAACTACTTGAATTGGATAACATCTGCCTATCTATTGAAAAAAACGCAGCACATCAAGAATGCAAACAGCTAGCCATGACAAAACTTTATCTTCGTATTCCCTATGGCTATGAACTATGCAATGTTGTGGATAGTACAGCAACACTGGTGAAAGCAATCAAAGCAACCCATGCTCGTCTAGTGAAAGGAGCCTCATTCTTATTCTTTGGACCCAGCGAGAAAAAGGAACCTGCAGTATTACCTTTGATGCGTTTGGTGTTTGACTTGTTTACGGTTCAGTTTGAAGATGATCCTTTTGAAGCAAGGCTTAGAATGATTTGGAAGACAGGTCTAGTAGAGCAAGCAAATCGTATTGCTATTCAAGATGCATTTGAAATAAAAGCACAAGCTTTACAGAGACAATCCAACGATAAGCATTCTATGGATGAAGGTAAATTATATTAGAATTTATATCATACTCACTCCTTGTTTTTTAGAATATCTATCTCAAAAGGAAGAAACAAATGCACGCGTGAATGAAGCTTGGCAAGGTCTTCAGGAACACAATTCAAAGTCTTGGAAAAGACACATTCATGCTTCTCTCTCAAAGGAATCAACTGCCTATGAAAAATTCCAACATGCTTGCTATAGAAATTCTGTGATTGCAAGTCAATTAGATGAAGTGTTTGAAGGCGATGAAAAAGCTTCTCAACTGGCCAGTCTGTTTTTTGTTGATATCGTTGACCTTCCACGCTATCCTCCTTTGTTTGATTTTACTATCAAAAACAGTACGCTGGATTTTAAAGCACCTGATTTTGACTTGAAGGATACGAGACAATTTATGTATGATGTTGGCAAAGGCCAACCCTTAGATAAGCCTTTATCTACTTTAGTTCCCTTTCATTTACACTGGCAATCAGGTGAAACATGGGCTCAAATTCGCGATTATCCTTTGCCAATCTTCTTGGTTCCCTCTGACGATAGCTCTCACTCTGATTCTACTGAGGACTCACCAGCACAAGCTTGGTCGCTTTCTGGTAACTACGTGCTTGCTGATGACATGGGTGACTTGGAAGCTACACGTCAAATCCATATACCAATGATTGATGAAAACCATGCTCATTATGCTATTAATATTGCTCGTACAAGTACACCACTCAAGTTCTTCTCAATTGTTAATATTGATGTTCATAACTCTACTCTTTCTCAGATATGTTGGTCAGTTCCTTATCAGCCTGCTATTCAAGATATTATGCGTGTGGTAGATACATTTACAAAACCGCCTGTTGATCCATCAAACAAGGTCGGCTTTTGGGACAAGATTCGATTGATTATTCATACTCGAGTTAAGATTTCTTTTATTGGTGGTGGTGATCTTGCTATTGTCATGAAGGGTTCTCGCGATCCTTACGATGTGAGTGAAAAAGGATTTGGTCTTGCTAAAGTATGGAGAAATGATGTTGTCTGGCTACTGGGACATGAAAACCCTGAAGGCGAATTCATGCAAATCATCAGTGGAGATTATGCTTTTGGTGTGCCTGATTTAGCGCATGGCGGCTATATGGCGCCTTATATACTGGCTGCTAGTCACTTCACTCCTCCTGTAAACCATGAAAAGATCCGTCAATCCTCTTCTTTCTCTTCTTTCAATTCTTCAACGCTTGCTAGAAATCAAGACTATGACTCACGCTTTGTCAAAATTGCTCTTAAACTGTCTGGTGGTATTCGCATGGGTGTAGGCTGTCATTTGGAAAGAGCCTGTCGTCCTGATTGTGAGATTTGTGATGATGATAATCCAGATATTTCACCTCAATTGAGAAATGAACACAAACAGAAGCTATTAGAGTTCTTGCCTCACTACAAAGTCAAAATGAAGACGCCTCAACATGTCCATGAAAAGGTAATTAAAGAAGAAGAAAAGAGGCATACTAAAAATATATGGTTAGGATTATGATGCTTATAAAGGCTTTAGATCAGATTCGATTCATGTTTCTATCAGTATCATTAAACTCTCTTCTTATGAGGAAGCAGATACAGACAAAGGCAACATTACAGGAAACTCTATGCATCTTACTCCAGGTTTCATGGAGCACTTTGTCTCATGGTTCAGACTCTTTGGTGGTGCTATAAGTTATCCATTGCGTTCAGGCTCTCTCTTTCCGAAATTAGATACTCGTCCATCTCAAAAATTTGGCCGACATATGAAGACGATGAAATACAAGATTGTTGTCAATCCTCTTACTGTGGGCTACTTTTTGAAAGACACGACGATTGAGGCAGACAATGTGACAACAGAAGAACTAGGTGAGCATGTAGGACTGAAGGGGTTTGTCAAGAACTTTAGTGTGGATATGCACATGCAAAGAGAAATTGTCAATATTTCCAACTACAAGCTAGACCAAAAGCGTCTGAAGGCGAATTGGCCTATTTCTGAAGCTGAAGTCCAGTTGAAAAATGTTGATCTACGAGCTGTACGTGCCACTTATTCAGGAGAAGCCAATGACGAATTTACTGCGACTGCTGCTGCATCTTCTTTGAGTGCAGAGAATTTGAGCTCGCATGCGGACTATGTTTCAGACAGCAGCGTTAATGGCTTAAACATGATGGAAGGTCTTAATTACAAGTGCAACAATGACTCAGACTCCTCTGACTGGGTGGATTTAGACGATTTTATAGAAATGGGAATATCTGTGCCAAATGTGTTGCCTAATGTACAGGTCTTGCCGTTTGCTTTCACTCCGTGCATTTATTATCTTCGTCAGACAAACAGAGACGATATGGAAAAATACAAGTACTTGCATAAAACGCATGACTGTATCCTTGGCACTGCCATCGGTAAGTTTTGTATCAATGTACGAAATCTAGTACTCAACAAAAAAAAAGGTACACGAGAAATGCAAATGGAATTATTGCGTGACAGAAGCAAAAACATTGATGTACAGATTAGAAAACATCAAACGCGATTGCATAGTATTGAGTCTAAACGACTTCAGCATGGCTCTGATGAAAAGTCGTTAGAAGAAATGGTAAATATGAACATATTTTGTTTTTGTTTAGTAACTCTGTATTATAGTCGGACACTATTGTTGAAAAGACCCGTATTTTATATGAAAAGAGAGAATTGCTTCAACGGTACCTTAAGGAATTATCTACCCAAGCTATGCCAGACGTTGCTCATCCTAAGAAACTGGACCATCATTCTACTATTTTTGGTAAAGATTCACTGGAACAATGGGAGGAACTTTTGGGCCCTTTCAAGCAGCGCTACATTGCGCATAATCCTCAGATTGTATGGAATAATTCAGTCCGAAATGTTCTCTATCATGCCATGGATTTGCGTGATCATCATCGTGCTTTATCGTACTACATGACAGCCCGTACTATCAAGTTCTTGAGAGATTTGATTGAGGCTGCTGATATTAAATACGGCCCAAATCACAAGCAATTTGATTTAAACGATGATGATGGCGGCATGGACAATTCAATGGCAAAAGAGTTGATTGCCAAATTACTGTCAGAACAAGACACTAAGTTTTATGCGCCTAATGAAACAGAAGAAGAAAAAACCATAGGCAATCCTGATATCGATGATGTTGATATGTCTCGTAGCGAAAATGTCAATAACCCTCGTATGCAACTCAAGACAGTTCCCAACAATTATGTCATGAAGACAAGTTATCTAATTGATTTATTGAATCCACAGATCAGTCTTCAAAGCGACTGTGATCCGGACAACATTGTCCTTGTAGCGAATGAACGAGCACAAGTCAAAGGACTGAATATTGTAGATGAAACTGATCCTGATATAGAGATGGAAATGGTCAAACATCGTACGATTGTCAGTCTGGATAATGTTCAGTTCTTTGTTGCCAAGAAGGAACAATTTGACAGTGTCGATTTGTTGTTGGATAATCATTATGGTGCAAAAGAAAGCGACCACTGGCTTACTTGGATTCCACCTGAAATGCTGATTAGCTATGTCAAGGGCTCTGATCAATTTCAACGTATTGGTGATCGTATTGAAGCCACTATGCAGTATGATAAATATAACCCGCTCAGAATCAAAACCAACTCCAACATCTATTCTCAAGCACATCCGTTTGAAGACCGTTGTGATTCTGTTCAACTTAACTTCCCTAGCCTTAAATTGACAGCTGACTCTGCACAATACAATGCTATATATCAAGTTGCTACTGATCTACTACTTTACAAAGAACCTGCTAAGAAAGAACGTCTTGCTCGTCTGCGTGAGATTATGATGGCTGCTGACCGAGCTAGCTTATATGAAGTAACCGAGAAGATTGTTGACTTACAAAACAGAGCTCGACAATTAATTCATGCAAGAGATCAATACAGTCAAAACCTAGCTTTGTTAGATGACAAACGAATCGAGGAATTTAAGTCGATTCGATTAGATCTGTTTGACACTATGGAGGAACTTTATCTTGGCATGGAAGCAATTAAATTGATGCAGAGCAACCGACGCAAGGACTATGATGAACACAAGACCAACTTGAAATTCACATTCTGTGCTCAAAAGATTGAATGGGAGATGCTATCCAAAGGAGAAATTCCGCTCTGTGAATGTACACTGACTAACTTCACCTTCAACTTTATTAGTAAAGAAGATCATTCGTCTACAAACATCCTTGAAGTTGATATTGTTCAAGTCAAAAATGTATCTTCCTCTCCTGTATTTGTTGATGTGTTAGGACCTTACTTTGATCATCACAAACCATATGACTTTTCTCGTCATAAAATGCTTCGTTGTTACTTTGTTTCTTTGGCCCCCGTTGGTGGTATTCCGGTTATTCAACATTTGGAACTCAATTTGCATCCTATGCGTGTTCAAATGACATACAGCTTTGGTAAGGCGCTAGCTTATTATCTATTCCCACCAGAAAAATCCCAAAAGCCAATCGAACCAACAGCTATGACTCCCTCTACTTCAGCACCTACGACTACTGTGCTTGACCCAGATTCTAGCTTGACTGATATGACTCTTCAATCTGTAAGCCACGACAAGTCAGATCAAAGCATATCGAAATCAAGCAGCTGTATTATCGCTGGTTCAAACCAAGCTATATCAGCACCTCCTTCACTTTATGCTAGCATGCCTACTCTTGAGTCAACAAAATTGAATACAAGCAATGCCAGTATGAGCAATTCGCGGGAAGAAGACGATACTAACAATAGTCCATCAACACCTAGCAAAAAATCAAGAAAGTACAACCTGCAAAAATCTAACAAGCTCAAAACATCTGATGATCTGTCTGTCATGAAAAAGAGAGCGTCAAGTAATAGAGCCTTTATCCTCGTTAAGATTCCAGGAGCAAGACATTGTCTAAGTTACCAGGTAAGCGACAGGTTATGCTCTATATGTATGTGTTCATCCTATCTTTTAGGGGCCCAAAGAAAAGAATATTGAAGATTTGAGAGACTTTGCTTTTGAACAGCCTACTTTGGAATTTCGTAACGAAACTTGGTCTTGGTTTGAGCTGGCATCCAGCATCAAGAAAGGTAAACAGTTCATCATTTACTTCAAACGCATTGACTCACTTTTTTTTGCCAATCAACAATAGATTTCATGAAAGCAGCCTTGTTGCACAACAGCACTGCTTTGCTTAAAGAAAAGCTTCTACGTCGTCATCCTCGTGAGAATAGCAAGCTTATCGAACCAAGCCTTTCGTCTTATAATCCTTCCATGCATACTGCAGATCCAAACAAAACGATTGACGGAGACAATCATTCAGAAAGTTCACGAGACGAAATGGAAGATTATTTGGACATCAAGGATAACATGTCTTTGCACTCTGCACATTCACAAGAAGTAGAACTTGAATTAGTGCCGCCAAAAAGAACTCACATCTGGTCCAAGTAAAGTACAAAACAAAGTAGTATTGAAATTTATGCATTCGTTATAGGTTCAAAAAGTCAAAAAAGATGGATCATCACCAAAAGCCAGGAAAAGCAGAGCCTAATTTATCTGGTGAAAACCTTTCTGCAAATGTCTTTAAAGATGACTCCTTCATGCCAGAAATGCGGTCCGTATCGCCTAGTCCTATGCGTCAAGACGATGATCAATTGACCATCAAAGGCCGATACTTGCTTGGCAAATATTACAATGGCCCAACACAATGGCTAGTATCTGGTGCTAAGATGAAAGCAAAGCCAATAAGTAATAAAAAAGTATAGACATGATATGAAACCATTAGAGCCAGCATAAAGCTAGGATGAGATCGTTTCTTTGACTATAATAAATGTTCAGGAATTGTTGTACATAATTAATTGAGACTGCAATATTGACCCTGAATGGTCAGTTTGATAGAATTTCTTTTGATTTATTATAGATGTTTTAAAGTTGACTTTTCTTGAGAATGCGTTTGATAAAAGAAGTCTTGATTTTGCCCTCTTTCGTCTGCTTCTTTTTCATACTGAATAAAGACAATTGGCTTGAAGAACCTTTTAGCAAGTAAGTAAACTTATTTTCCTTTCTCTTATCTGATTTTTTTGATGACTCAGTTGTAGTGCTTACAACAACATGAGCTTCAGTGCACATGCTGGACGGTGAACAAGATAGATATGAAGCATGTTCACTGCTTTCTTCACTAGTTTCTTTTTCTGTGTATCCAAGGCTGCTAATGCTAGAACCAAGTGACTTGGTTGTTGTGCTGTCCTGATCCATAGCCAAACTATCCTTGATGGTTCGTTGAAGCAAATGATAGCGAAACAGCTTCTCCTTATAGTAATATGACATTGTACTTTTATCCGCCAAAAGTAATTTGCTTGCAGAGGTATCTTGATCAATATCGCTTTCATCTTGATGGTAAAAGGTAATAGGCTCAAGTAGACTACTACTACTACTACTACTACTACTACTACTACTATTACTAATACTACTACTACGATGGCTATCTAATGAAGACAGGCGCTTGTTTGCTGAGTACTCATACTCTTCTTCTTCACCACTGCTATGGTAGTTTAGCATGCAAACACCATCTATGGAAAAGCTCTTTTTGAACCCGATTTTTTCATGACAAAAATGGCATGACAAATTTTTTTGCGAAATAGTAAGAAAATGGCTAGACTGAGAATTATGCATGCACAAAGCTGGCTCATTACTGCTGATGCTAACTGTAGGTGTTGAAGGGGAGCTTGTTAGTTTGATAGGACGAAGCGTATCTGAAGCAAATGACGAAATGGAAGAAGGACTGCGACAGATAGTAGCACCAGAATCCTTGAGACGGTAGATCATGGCAGATAGCTTTTGTCGTGTTTCTAAAGACCGTTTCATTAATTGCAGCATATTGATGATCACCTCATCCTGCAAACCCCAAGATTGTTCTATGTTTTGTTTTGCGTCTGTCCAAACTTGATTTAGAAAGCTGCAGAAGAGATGCATGATTTCGGATTGGGAATAATAGTCTGTATCAAGGGGCTTACAAGATAGTTCATAGTCCCAAGAAGCCAGCACTTGTTTATAATCCGTTTTCAAATCCTTGTTTTTCATGCCGTAAAAGAAAAAGTAAGAAAAACTATTGCCGTTTTGTTTAGTTTTTATTGTTCAACACATTCCGGAAGCGATTTTATAAGGGACAAGTTCCTTTCTCCTTGTAGAATGCGTATTGTTATTTTATGAGAAAAAGAATGCATATGATGAGTGTCCGTTGGTACCATGATCCCATTTTTTTTGTGAGAATTTTATTACATTCATGTGCTGACATGTTATTTAAATAGATAATGGAAAGAAGGGGGGGAGAGAATAGGGGAAAAAGAGGGGATATGTAAAGCTCAATGATACAAAAAGATGTTGTAAAAATTATGCTTAAACTCCTCCTCCACTACGACTATAAAAAATTAATATATGCTTAATCAGACGAATATCTTACCTAACGTCTCTCAAACCCATGCCATTGTTTTTCGTATGCCAGTCGGCACGAATACGATCCAAATTTGCTGAGTCATACTTGGGTTCACCAGAAGGAATAAATCGCAATGGCTGTGAGACCATAGCAGACGCATTGATTTTCTTCACGGTATACACTGTTGCTGCTGCTGCTACAGTCAACGGGACTGCCCTAAATGACTAATAAGCTAATGCATTCTTTTTTTTTTACTCTATTCATCTTACCAATATAAAGGGCCTTTTGTAGTTAATTGGTTTGGCATGACAAAAAAAAATTACAAAAGAAAAGAAAAAGAAGAAAAAAGAGACAGGAAAAGAGTGTCTGTTTATAGAGTACAGTCATCTCAGAAAGCAAAGTCGCTGATTTGAGTTCAGTGTCGTGCAAGAAGATTGTGCGTTCAACAATGATGTCGATTGCTCCAAAAATAAAGTCTTGCTCACGTGCCACGAACTTGGTTTATTTTTGATTGTCGTTTATAATTATCCAATAAAGTTTTTGGCATTAATTGGGATAAAAAAGGGGTTACAGTTTTCTGTGTCCATTTTTGTATTTCTTTGTTTTCTTTTCTATTTTCTATTATATTTCATTTCACAACCTAAACACCACAATGGACGTAGCTGGAAGTCAGATGTGCTTCAGAGAGTGGCTTCATGTCACAGTCGTATAGATACGATAGTAAGGCTACTATTGCCATGACAACTGCACATCATATTCTGTTGGTTCAATGGAATCTTGTAGCGAGGGAGTAACAGCTGGCTCGCAAAGTGAGAGAAGCTCGATTTCGGCTCGTGTTTCCGTGATGTTTTCATCCACAAACTGCTGAATAATCGACTGAAATGCTGATCTAACGTGCGCCTGGAATGTGTTGCGCTTGTACTTGGCCAGTATTTCAGTGCGCGCTGCTGTCAATAAGGAGGGTGGAAAAATATGGCTCTCGACGGCAAATTCAGCTGTACGCGACGCAGTAATACAAGATCGGCGATATTCTTGGAATTGGCTTGAAACATCGTGACCATCCAGGACCCATCGTTTGTCTTCAGGAGATAGGTTTTCAAGCGATGGTGCTCTTTTTACATGGTTATTGTCGACGTGATGCGCGAGTTCTGAAACAGTGTTAAATATCTCGCGACAGTCTGGGCAAGCGAATTTAACAATGATTGCTGTGCCTTCTTGTGTGTATTTCTTCACGTTGCTTGTGTTGTAGACATGCACTGGAATTTCGTTTGTTGATTTGCGACGGAGCTATTATGAAGATTTGCCGACCAACATTTTTCCACCCTCCTTATTGACAGCAGCGCGCACTGAAATACTGGCCAAGTACAAGCGCAACACATTCCAGGCGCACGTTAGATCAGCATTTCAGTCGATTATTCAGCAGTTTGTGGATGAAAACATCACGGAAACACGAGCCGAAATCGAGCTTCTCTCACTTTGCGAGCCAGCTGTTACTCCCTCGCTACAAGATTCCATTGAACCAACAGAATATGATGTGCAGTTGTCATGGCAATAGTAGCCTTACTATCGTATCTATACGACTGTGACATGAAGCCACTCTCTGAAGCACATCTGACTTCCAGCTACGTCCATTGTGGTGTTTAGGTTGTGAAATGAAATATAATAGAAAATAGAAAAGAAAACAAAGAAATACAAAAATGGACACAGAAAACTGTAACCCCTTTTTTATCCCAATTAATGCCAAAAACTTTATTGGATAATTATAAACGACAATCAAAAATAAACCAAGTTCGTGGCACGTGAGCAAGACTTTATTTTTGGAGCAATCGACATCATTGTTGAACGCACAATCTTCTTGCACGACACTGAACTCAAATCAGCGACTTTGCTTTCTGAGATGACTCTAAAAGAAAAAGAAAAATGGTGTTACTTTTGTAAAGCAGGTTGCACACATTATGTGATTCTCAAACACACCAGAATAGAAGTTACAGTCGTTCCTTTACTTGGAAGGTGAGAAAAATTGACTGTATATAATTTGATCAGGCACAAGTCCTCCAAAGTACAGGCTCAAACATTTTCAAATAAAGTCTATGTATACTACGAGTAGCAATTTTAATCTATTAGTAGCCTACAATGACACGATCTTTGTCGGCCAAATCTTTCCACACTTTAGTGCCTTTAAATCCATGTTTTCTCATCGCTTCATTCAACAGCCCAACTTGATGTGTGCCACCTATTTCCATATACAGATAAGGCATGCTAAGCATAGGGCTAATAGCTGTCGTCATTTGAATGATGCGCTGATGTACCCGTGTGCCTTGATCTTCTGCTACTAAAGCACCGACATCCTCCCAACTTTTCACATCAGGATCAAGGCTATCATATTCATCCAGAGTGACATAGGGTGGATTAGAAACAATAAAATTAAATGTATCTTGCGGTAGATTGAATTCAAATATATCTTGTTGCACAAATTCAACCGGATTTAACAAGACATGCTGATGTACTTGCAAGTTTTCTTTAGCAAGTGCAATGGCTTTGTTTGAAATATCAAGGCCAGTGATATGCACAGTGCCTTTCGGTAAATGTTTGGCTAATGCAAGTGCAATACATCCTGAGCCTGTACAAATATCAAGGATACGCAACGGGCTCTTTAGCTTATCTAAGTGGTGTTGCCTTAGTTGATCTATCACTTTATATGTCCATTCTTCTGTCTCCCATCTGTTTAACAATTAGTTCCACACGCACAATATATTTGTGCATTACCGAGGAATTAATGTAGGAGGTCGCGTAACAATGTCCAAGTCGCAAAATGGTTGCGTACCTTATGATAATGAATAAGGCAAATCAAGAGAATATCACTAGCTAGCTACCTAAGATATATTGCAGAGGCTTGTGCTCTCTAACACGCTGATCAACATATTGATCAAGTAGATCTATGTCTTGTTGCAAAACACATTCTCTCCCTGTATCAGATATCACTTTCTGTTTTAACCAAACTAATTGTCGTTTTGCATGGTTTATATCTCCTTCGCAAACAGAAGTTAAGCTTTGTATCCACTTTGCTGTTTGATTAGCTAGCGACTTTGAACGCATAATAGAGTACACACACACACACACACACAAAAAAAGAAATGAAAAGGCTTTTTATTTGATAGTCACAATTAACATGATACGTTCTTTGTTTGTTCTTTTCCTTTTACTCTTTTTATTCTTGACTTGATATGAGTGGAAAAGACTATTCAGCAGTTCCTCCACCTCCTTCTTTGGCACCTTCTGAAAGCAAAGGCTCAGCTGCACCTGCTGCACCAGTCAACTTTAACGACGCCTTATCCAAAGCAAGAGCTATTGCAGAGAAATTGAAGCAACAGTCCGCTGGCAATATGTTAACGACACCCTCTACTGTCAACACTGCTACTAATACTGCTGCTCTTCCCCTCCCCCTCCTTCTTCCTCTGGTAATTCTTATACTTGAAGATACAAAGTATACTTATACCAAAATATAGGCACAAAAAGAGGTTACGATGATGATCGTGATTCTTACCGCTCAAGTTCCCGCTCGTATGGCTCTTATCAAAACGAACGCGACAATAAGAGATCTGCATACGATGGTGGATCATCAAGACCTTCTTGTATGTTGCTGTCTCTTGCAACAAAGAAAAGAGACTTTGTTGTGTATTTAAAAGGCTAATATTTGCGATAGATGGAGGAAGTTCAAGCAGTAAAAGATATGGTCTTGGTTCAGAAGAAAGAAAGTCTTCTTACCATAGCAGTGGATATCATCATCAAGAAGAATATAGTGTACCTAATCATATGGTGGGCCTCTTGATTGGCAAAGGTGGTGAAAATCTCAAGAAGATTGAACGCATGTCTGGTGTTACTAAAGTTCAGTTCGCTAGTGGTAATAGAGATGCTTGTTATTACTATTGTTTTTCTAATACCTTGATAGACCCTGTGGGTGACCAAAGACCTGTTCACTTAACAGGTGAGCCTGATCAAATAGCTGTGGCACGTGATATGATTCGTCAAATGGTAGCTGATGCTCAGGCAAATGAAAACATGCGATATGGTGGTCGCAACGATTATGGATCGTCCCATAATCCTTCTTCTTCAGCATCAGGTACATCAGCAGGATCATCAGGAGGAAATACAGTAACTATCCGTATACCAGTCTCAAAAGTTGGTTTGGTGATTGGACGTGGTGGAGAAACCATTCGTGATTTTGAAGAGCGTAGTAAAGCTAAGATTTTGATTGCCTCGGACAGTACTGGAGATAGAGACAATGAACGTGTCATTACTCTTGTAGGCGATGATTCTGCTACTCAACATGCTAAATCACTTGTTGAAGACATTGTATTTGGCAGCAATAATGTAAGCTTTGTATGAATGCCTATGGTCAACTCAGTTTTATATATATATATAGGCTGGTCCAAGTAGAAGTTGGAATGATAGTTCATATGGTGTTGGGCGTAATGATGAGCGTGCATTTATTACTGTTCCTTCTTCTGCAGTGGGTCTCATCATTGGAAGAGGCGGTGAAACTGTCAGAGCGATACAAGAACAGTCTGGTGCTCGCGTCAAGGTGGACCCTACTTCAGACCCCAATGCAAAAGAACGTACAGTCAATATTTCTGGTGACTCAAAAGCTGTTAGTATAGCAAAACAAATGGTAGAAGAAAAGGTGTCAGAGGTAATATTATACAATCATATTATACTGTCTACTAACGAACCTTTAGGCAACTCGAGGCAGAGGAGGTTATCAACAAGACTATGGTAACAACTACCCTCAACAATACAATCAATACTATGGACAATATGGATATGATCAATATGGTGATAATTCAGGTAAGAGACGTGGTTTATATGAGTCTGTATCTAACCTCCTTCAAACAGGCTATCAACAATATCCAGACTACTACAACTATCAACAAGGCGGAGAACAAGAGGATGGACAGAAACCACCTGTCAATTCTGAGAACAAGGATACGAAAGACGGTAAAGAAATTGACGATAATGGTCAAAATAACCCTGATGATCAAATGTCAGCGTATTACGCACAATACTATGGAGGTCAACAGCCTACTCAGGAGCAACAAGAAGCTTATTATCAATGGTATCAACAATATTATGGCCAGCAATACTATAATCAGCAACAATCAGAAGATCAACAAGACAATGCCAAAAATCCCTCAATACCTACTGAATCTAATGAAGACGTAGATGGCGAAGCTATTACTGGCGAAGATGCTGGCAAATAACTTCACTTTTTTTTTCTATTTTTTGTTTTGTTTGTAATAATACCTTTTCTTACCTTTTGATACATTATGGCTTTTTAGCTGTACTTTGTATTTAAAACTTCGGCGTTTTTTTATTTCATTTTAATGGTAAAAACAAATGTCGAGACAAATGATCATTCAAAAGTGCCTAAAATATAGAGAAAAGGTGTCTCGAGTCATTAATAGAAGCTACAGACTCTATTAAGGCACATCGAATGTTGTAGAAAGGGAGTGTCTAGATCATCACTATGGTGAGAAAATTTCTAGAAAGGGGCTTTTTGTTTAAAGCCCTAGCCTACAGCTTTTATAATGCTCCTGCAAATCTACCGCTTCTATAGTGCTATACAATCATTTTTTTACTAGCACACAGCATAATAAAATGTTGCTCCATTGCAAACTTATGAAAATTGAGAAAATCGTCGAGGTATCAAGCACTTTTTGCAAAAACAGGTCGATTTTAAAAAAAAATGTCGTTTTTTTTTGCTTGTATATCTTGGCATGAGAAACTTAAAGAAGTGAATTTGAGGTAGTGTGAGGGTAATTTTGGACAGATATTGGTTGTATACATAGGCTCTTTCGATGCAGTCAACTTGGAATTTGAGAGAGCATGAGAATTGATGAGTAGCATAAACCTCTCATGGTATCTGGTATTGAATGCTAGCCAGAGTTGCAAAGTCAATATTGATTTCTTCTCAATAGAAGAATAACAATTAGCGTCACCATTGTCAATTAATAATTTTCAAGTACTCTTTAGTGTAAACTCTTTGCTAGAAAAGAGTCTGTTAACACGTGTCATCTCAGGGTACAATAGAAACTTTATCCGTTTGCTCTTTTATGCAAGACTTTTTTCACGAAAACATGAGCCGCATACAATATGATACGTCATTAATTTAAAGCATCTAAATGTAATACACTGATATGCTTGCTTAGAATAAAAGAATGGCGTGTATAGATCTATATTTAATCATAGAATTTGGCTTGCTCTTATCCATAATTAGTAATCCGTTTATTAAAAATATGAGGTCTTTTTTGGCTGCCAACACAGAAAAAAAAATCTCGGTCTATATAAATAGATGTAGATCCAACCTCTTTCTATCTATGTAATACGAACCGTTCTTTACATTACGGGTAACGTAAATTGTGCTAATTTATAAATTATAGATTTTTTATATGCGAATTGCTCAGAAGATCTAAACCTTATCATCAAGAGAACAACAAATAGCAATAATGATAATTTGCAATTAACGAAAATGGTAATTTAAAGCAAAATATTGTATTGTCCTTTTTTTGAACTACAAGGCAGCTTACAATTGGTCAATAAATTACTTCTCAATGTATACATAATTAAAATGTACGCGTTATTATGTAACATAAAATACGTTTGAGATGCAGACTATCTTTTCTTTTATTATTTGATTTTAATCAACTGTTGATAAATACAGAGAACGCATTTATTATCTCATAGAAATAACGCCGTTTTGACTTAATTTACGGGGAACAAAAACATTGTGTGACCATTTCAAATAGCATTCTTTGTATGTATACCAAAGTTTGGTTGCATTATCATGACTTGAATCATTTATGTGTAATTATGTAGGTTAATGATACTTTTTTTTTGTTTTCAAACTCAAGTGAACTGTCAAACAATACAGGCTTTACATTTAAAGTAAACAAGGTAGAGATAAAAAAACAAGCGGCTATTAAATAGCTTCTTTTGTTCTAAATATCGGTCATTGATTCAATATAATTGTCATTTAACCATGAGCAACAACACAAGAACAACAATTTCTGTAGTGTACAAAAATAACTCTTAATAAAACTATTTAAAAACTCATTCACTCTCTTGGTTCTGGTTTTCATCTCTCTTCTCTTCTTCGCTCCTTTACATACATTCCTTTTCCACCTTAAAAAAAGTACAGATGAAGATTCAAACATTGATTATTGGAGAGTACCAAATGTCTCCCGCCATTTCATTCTGTTTATATCAGATTCCAACACCAATGGTGACACCACCTAGAGCCATTTACTCGCAACAAAGACTAGAAAATCAACCCTCATTTTCCAACTACTTTTGCTTAGAAGACTTATTTGCCATCTTTGATCTTCACTTGACCAGCCACGACTTGTACAAATTTTACCTTCAATACCCAAGTTTATTCTGTAAAGACAAGGAAGGTCGCTCTTATGTTCAGACCAACTTGATGGCTGATGTTGCTTTGAAGCATAACATTTGCAATTTGTCTGATCTTTGTCGTCTTTCAGAAGAGGACTTATTAAAGGGCGGAGCTATTCCTTTATTAAAAATGACAACTTTTGTTCGCCTATTTCAAAAACTTAGCATTGTTTCCCTAGACAAATTCGAGCCAAGACCTTTGGATGGAAACGAGTGGTTCTTTTCTTCCGCCAACAATACAGCCCATTTGGTCAAGTTGGAACCCATATCACCTACTTTTTCTACTCTCCATCATGCAAAACCATCTCCAAGGTAAATTATTTTTTTATTATTTTAGTTCCCCTTTGTTTTTTTTTCTTTTTTTAGAAGGGCGCTTTTATTTTGCAAGTGTTACATTGCGAAGAGTGGTCGATCCAAATTTATTTTATTATTATTATTTTTTCTTGTACGCCATTAGAGTAACCATAAATATTTATTTAATTTAGAGTACAACGCCTGTCATCTTGTTCTTCCTCTTTTCCCTCCTCCAACTTGAAAATGAATCATCCACAAGAAGAACTAGACGATAAAAACTCAAGCCAAGTTCGATTGCCCAAGCCCTCTTCACTCTTATTAAAGCGTTTGGCTCCTAAACATGGACACAAGAAGAATTTGACTATCATGACCCCTTCTTACAATGAAGAGACAGTTCATGGCATTCAATCAGCTCCATTGAAAAGATCTGCCCTTCCTCCTTTCCAAACGCGTACTAGTGGCAAGATCATCAATAAGGTCATCAAAAAGTCTCCTCCAACAGCTACATTGAAGAATAACACTCGTCGCCTGGCTGTGCCTGCTACTGCTTTTGCTATTTCTGCTCCATGGCCCCAAACTTCCGCACAAGTAAGGTTTCCAAGCCCTCCTATTGTTCCTTCTCAACAACCTGCGTGGAGTCAATTCCGCCAACAACAACAAGTAGCCCCTGCTCTCAAGACTGCTACTATTGCTTGTCTCCCTCGTACGCCTTATACTACTACTAACAATAATAATAATAATATCTCTAATACCTCTAATACACCTAATACGCACACTCAGACTCAATCAGCATCACCCACACCATCATCACATCATTCCAACAACAACACCAATTCAGCAAGTTACATGACACAAAAGCAGAAATTTCTACAACCATTTGAATTTCTGTACGATCACATTGAACAGACCAGAACCTTGAAGTCCACATTGGATGACCAAATTCGTCGTTCCCACTCTTTAATACAAACATTGCAGTCCTCAAGCACCATGATGGACTCTCTTGTACGTCGACAAGTACGTGATGTGGTCGAACAACAATTCGAGGCTCGTTTGCGTGAATGCACTGAGCGTATTTCTCGGTTAGAATATCGTGTCCCGTCAAAAGATAGACCTATTTCGCCTTCTGTGTCTCCTTCTCCTACCAACAACAAAGAACAAGATATGTTAACTCAGTTGATGAGCAGAATCGATCAATTAGAATCCAAATTAGTGGCTCAAAAAGAAAAATAACTATTATCTCTGGCTAGATGATACGCATCTTTTGTGTATGTGTAGATACCCTTGTATATTTCTTTCTTAGAAAATAAAGTACACGTTACTCAAGACCTTTTTTGAGTGCAAAATTATTTTTAGTGATTTTAATAAAAAAAAATCTTTTTGTTTAATGCAAGTAAAGGGTGATTAAATAAAGTTAAGCTTTTTCCACTATTATATCGCTGTTTTAATAAAAAGTTCATGCAATCTTTATTTAATCAAAGAATCCACTGTTGTCCTCATCATATTCAGTCTATTTATTCATAATTTAGTATATCTAAATTCACTGATGTTTCATTACTTACATAGGTAGTGTTCCCATCAGGATCAATTCTTGTAACTGCCATAATGCCAGATTTAAGTATAATTCATTTTCTTTTTTTCTTTTTTTTTTTTTACCTTCAACATCATTATCAAACCAACCGTCTTTTCTTTCTACAATCGTTTGTCCTCCATATTCATCTATATAACTAAGTAAAAAAAAAAAAGTAGCTTTTGATTGAACTTACCAGCAGTGATGACAGTCTCTCTATCAGCTCCAAACCAACCACCATCTTCACGAATAATGGTTGTTGTTTCCCCTCCACCGTAGTCGGGTTGAGGAGGAGCAGGAGAAGGATTGAGGTTACCATAACCACCATAATCCATAGGTGGTTGCTCGACAGAAGGAGGAGGTTGGTTATAAACAGGCTGCTGATTATACATTTCTATAAACATGATGAGTTACATCTATTTCCCTGGGGTCACATACGTTGTTGCTCAAGTTGTCTTTGTTCTTGTTCTAATCTCTCGATACGATCACTTTGCTCTTGTTCATGATTCATGATACTACCAACTGCAAGCCCACCAGCGACACCAAGTGCTGCTGCTCCTGCCATCTTCATGCCCGAAGACATACCGCTTGTTTTGTTTTGTTGGGAAACAGGTGGTGCCTGACCATAGCCAGCTTGTTGAAGTGGCTGACCATAAGGCGAATGACCGTAAGATGATTGGCCATAAGGTGACTGGCCATAAGGTGACTGGCCATAAGGTGATTGTCTTTGTTGCTGAGGAGGAGGATAGGATACGTTGCTACCATAAGACGTTTGTTGCTGAAGAGGAGGAGGATAAGGCGAGTTGTTGCCATAAGAGGGTTGTTGAGAGGGAGGAGGGTAGGGCGATTGTCTCTGTTGTTGTGGGGGTGGTGGGTAAGGTGAGTTATTACCGCCATAAGGTTGTTGTTGAGGATATCCGCTACCATAAGATTGTTGTGGTGAGGGATAAGTGACGGGTTGTTGAGGGGATTGGTATCCGCCATAAGGCTGTTGTTGAGAAGGAGTGGGGGGGTATGGACTATTATTTCTGTTTTCATGGTGGTGACTAGGGTATCCAGCACCATAGCCTTCTGGGCGAGGAGGCTGAGGAGGAGAGGGGGTATTAGTGTATCCACCATAAACAGGTAGTGCATTGTTATATTGAGGAGGAGCTGGTCTTTCCCAATGTGTTGATTTCGTATTATGATCAACGTAGTAACTAAAATATCATCAAGATGAAACGTAAAATAAAAACAAACACACTTACGGTCTACCTTCAGGTGTAAATTTTTCTTCCCATCCTGTTGTATTGATTAAACAACAATGTTCTACTTTCTTTTTTTATATATAAATATTTACCTGGGGGTAATGGACTCGACATTTCTTATTAGTAAAGAGTGAGAAAGAGAAAAAAAGAAAAAAAAAAGGGAGGGGAACACAAGTTTATTTTACCGAGTATTTTCAACTTCGGACTCATAAAGTATTCACGTTTTCTTACTCTCTCAAAACCAACCAAAAAAAATTTTTTTACATGAAAAGAGTTTATTATTAGGTATTTCAATATATAATTTATGTAGATCCAAGTTATCCTTCTCTTTTAATTATTGTACATAAAGTTTATACTCTGTTTGTGCCTTGAGAGCTGAAATTTGGTTCTTGAGCTCACTGATATCTGTATCGCCCCTCTTGAACCCACCCTTGGAGCCCACTCTTAATTTTGCTACATCATTTCTTTGGCTTAGTAACTCTTCTTTCAAGCGCATCAATTCTTTATCTTGTGACTTGATCTTATTGAGTGAAGATGCATATTCAGCTTGAAGTGCATCCCGTTGTGATTTCAAAGCAGCCCATGTATCGTTATCCTTAGTTGTTTCCGTATTGCCAACGTTGTCTGCTATCTCCTTTGCCTTTTGATCTAAACGGTCATACTTTTCAATCCAAGAGCGTACTTGGTTCTCTAATTCAACAGCCTTTAGTTTCAAACGTGATTTCTCTTCGCGTTGTTGTGTGAGGTTCTGGATAAGATCAACAACACGAGACTCAAGTTTGTAAGAGGCTTCCTTCAAGTGACTGACGGATCTGGCTTCAGCGCGAAGTAAGACGAGTTGGCGGCGTGCTTGACGACGACGGACGCATGTTTGAACTTGAATGACATATTGACGAATAGCTTGGTATCGCTTACGAGCCAACCAACCACGAGCAACCTTTTGAATCAATACAGCAGCATGGTCTCGCTTGAGTGTAGCATGCTTCTTTCTGGCAATTGTACCACGGACAGCTGATTGTATTTGAATGATGGTTTGACGTGTCTGCAAGTATTTCTTGCGAGCAATGTATCTCCTCCAGTTCTTTTGGATCACAATAGCAGCCTTTTCTTGACGCATATGTTCTAATTTTTGAACAGCATGTTTTTGACGAGCAACGCTTTGCAACATCAAAATAGCCTTTCTTGTTCTCAAATAATGAAGACGAGCAAGGTAGCGACGAATATTTTTTTGAATCATAATAGCACATGAGTTCAATCGATCAGATCTTAATTTTTCCATATAGGCAAGCTAACAAAATATAAGTTTCCTTTTTAGTGTTTTATATTTTGCTTACCTGGCCAGCACGGAAGAAGATCTTTGTAAGACCTACTTGGTATTTATTGGTATCATGAATGGCTGTATCCAGAATTTGTGAACAAATGCCTCTAATATCAGCATTAGACTTGGGGTCGCATTGTTTGAAATCAATCAATGCATGATATCTATACAACACATAAGTAACTCATTTTTTTTTTTGTAATACAATACCTTTCAGCAAAGTCTTCAAAAGTCCAACGAGTAGGATAACCAGCACAACTGATACGAATAGTTTCTAAAACACCACAAGCACGAAGTTGAGAAAGGACAATGCTGGGTTGGAAGACCCAGGCAACCTTGGCCTCATTTGGCTTGATACAACGAATATAGTGTACGTTTGTCTCACCAATGGTATCCATCAAAGTAATCAATGATAATTTGAAGATGGAGCCCAATGTAGGCTTCTTGGCAGTACTCAATGTCTTTTTGGCAGGTGCCTGTTCGGCGGTAGGCGAACTGGGAGCAGGCTGAATCATCTCGGATAAGAATTGAGATTTAGATGCTTGGAGCAAGTTCAAGAGTTCGTCGGGAACAGTATCCTTGTTCTTGTCCATAAAACCTTCAGCTTCATATTGAACATCATGAGCATAATGAGCAACAACAAAGGCATTGTTGGAGAAACGAGGCTTTTTGAAATAGTCTTGGAATTGAGGAGCATTGCCAAAGTTTTGATAAAGCTTGTTACAGAAACCTTGGTCTGAACCGGAAGGTAAACGAGATTCTTCATCTAAAAGCGACAAGATACCCATCTTGGCTTCAATCATCTCAATACACTTTTGGTTGTCACTAAATGAGATAAACTTCCAATCAATCTGTTCCTTGACGTATTCTTCTTGTTCTAGTTTAAATACATGTTGATTGAACTAAACATGTTGTTAGTATTCAGCACTGTTTATAGTTTGACACACACTCTCTCTCTCTCTCTTTCTTTCTCTTTTTTTTTTTTTACCTGTTGTTGAAGCTTTTCATTAGCATAATTGATACAGAATTGTTCAAAAGAATTTTTCTTGAAGTGTTCAAAACCATAAATATCCAAAACACCAATGAAGCTAGCCACTTGGTCAACATCAGAACAAGACAAGCTATCATTAATGACATTGACCAACCAATCAAACAGATTGGCATAGATAAATTTGGCAACTGAATCACGAACAACTTGAGCTTGTGTAGGATTCAAGTTACTAATGATCTTTTCTGATCTTGTTACAATTTGTCTTCGCACAATCCATTTCCTAAATTCTGATGTGTCCAAACCCAATAATTCTGTAGCTTTTACAAGAGATGGTTCGTCCTCAGGCAAAGTAGCATCATTTCTACCACCAATTTCAATGTTACCCAAGTGCAACAAAGCTGCCAATAAGCGGAAGATTTCTGTCTGAGTGTTTTCATTAATACCAATGGTTTTGAGACCTTCACGAGTTTCTGCAAAGTCCTTGGCATCGTCTACGCCATCAATAGAACCAGTACCACTTTGATTCATATAATGAAATTCAGACCATGGCTTGAGATCCAATTCTTGTCTTTCAGCATCAGTAGCACCTGAGCATAGCTTTTTTTAAAAAAAAAATAAGAATAAAAATAAGTATCTACACATACTAAGCAAAATACACTTACTTGATAAAAGACATGGTAGTTTCTTTCAGTAGCAGGTTGAAAGATAAGACGAGATCTTTCCAATAAATAGGTTTTGATCTTGGCACCCACAATGTTACGCTGCTTGTCAAATTCAATTTGAATGTATTTACCGAATCTCGAAGAGTTATCATTTCTAGTGGTTTTTGCGTTACCAAATGCTTCCATGATTGGATTAGTGGCTATATTGAAGTTAGTATGTGCCTGTCACTTGCATTTTATTATTATTGTTATTATTATTACCCAAGATTTGCTCTTCTACTTCAGTCATTGATTCACCCTTGGCTTGTTTACCAGAGGCTTCTTTATCATCTGCTGTAGCGAAATAACGCATGATATATTTAGCACTCACTGTTTTACCAGCACCACTAGGATAACAAAATAAGAATATATGTTTTCTGTTTTATAGTTTACCTTTCTCCTGATACAATAATAGTCTGGTTCTTGTTATCTCTAATCATACATCTATAAGCATCTTCTGCAATAGCAAAAAGATGTGGTTCAAGTTCGCCTCTTCTGCTTCCCGAATACTTTTGAATAATTTCGGGATCATACAGTTTGACACGAGCAAAAGGATTGGCTGCAATCAAGACAATACCGGAATAAGTATAAATATTGTTTTGTTCATAACGAGTTTTGATGGTTTGCAGCACTATAAGGAGAGACAGAAAAAAAAATCAGTTCATGCAAATAAGGAGTCAAATGTATGTACCTGAAGGTTCGTTAAGATAACTGAGATTGGTCAAGTCGTCTGTGTTCTCCATTTTAGGAGGATTTCTAAGTGGAGGAAGGCTGATTTTGCCCGATTCGATATCAGCGAGACTAGCCTCAAAAACATGTTGCTACAAAATACGTGTCAGTCATGCTGTATGAAACATAAAGACTGTACCTTTTCGGCGTCGATATCGTCTAGGAAACTAATCTTGACAGACTTGTCATCTTGCTGCTTGGAAATGACAGAGGCAGAAACCCAGCCGTTTTCCTCATCAGCAAACCAGGCTTTGATACCTTGGGTATAGACTTCTACTAGGTCTAGATTAGCTTTAGTCATGTTGAGAAAAAGCAGAAAGAGATGAAGAAAGGAAAAGATATTAAACTTTTTTTTTTTTATAATTACTCGGTCAAGGCACAAGTCCGAAAAGCAACAGGTCTGAGTTTGGTAAAAGAAAACCTGTTTCATTCTAATTTCTTCTTGTCGTAATATAAAGCTTCTTTTTTTTTGGCGCTTTACAAATTGGCCAAGTCACAGAAAAAAATCTCCTAAGGGTTCGTTTGTTTGCTTGATTTTTTGCTCTCTTCTTCCTTTGGTACTGTCATATTGACAAATTGGTTTGTGTAAACTGTAATTTAAGTTTCTTTTTTATTATAGCAGTTTCGTACTCCGTTATCTTGATCAACACCTTGAAGAGAGATCTAGGAACATTATTCATCTATCGTCTTCATGACACTTTAACTAAGGGAGATAATAGTGAAACAAACAAACATATCTGAGTACTTTTTTTCATGGACAAATGAAGTTGATAGATCCATTTAATAGCTGAATTTTCTCGTAACACGAAAATTAAAATGTCTTTGAAAGTATTACTAAATGAAGAAACAGGCTGAGAAATTGCGCAAGGAACAGGAACAAGAGGATTACCTTTATTATGCAAAAATAAGAATGTAGAATGAGCAAGAAGACACGATTCTTCAATGATTAAGACTATTAGATCTTGGCATCATCCAATTACATAATATTAGGCAATGTTACTTGCTTTTTGAAGTCTGTTTCGTTAGGATATATCAATTCCTTGGCTTTACAAGTGATGCATCGCTTCAGCGCTTAGCTTAGTTTCTCTAGGCACAGTGACCTAAACCTCAATAGCAGCAAATCATTAACTAGCAATTTTGTAAATTAGAAAGACATGCCTATGGTAGACGCACACTTTTTGTTAGACCAGATAATTGCCGCTCTCGGAGTAATACAATTCTGGCCGGATGAGCCTTTATATGCTTTTATGATTTTGTCTTCTTTGTATTGTTGATTGTTTTTTTTCTATGTTTTATGCCAATCAATGATTTCCTTCTCTTTTCTGAGCTGTATCTATATTCCCATTTTCTATAGGCAAGCTAATTTCAACGAATGATGGATTAGGATGCACTCTGTAAACGATGAAAAAGAACAGACGGTCTGTTTATAAGATATTCACGCCTTCTAACTTATTTTGTAGACAAAATACTATTAAAAAAAAGTGTATAAAATGTTCCTAAAACGGTTTTTTTGCTTAATTGTCTTGCAGCTTGCGAAATAAAATATTCAAGTTCATTCTTCTTTTGCACCTGTTGTTTTCATGCGTAAACGAAATCTTCGGAGACGCAAAAACTCAACAGCAAGCCCAAAAGAAAAACCTGCAGATGACTAAATTTTTCGGCGGGAAACAGTTTACTCTTCTTTCTCTATTTCAGAAATGAGCAATAATAAAGCTTCTGTTATGAACGTAGCTGGTGCTTCAGTATCTGAGTCTATTCTTGCAGCAAACGAAACAAGAGATATTGTATTACCAAACCAAACAGAACACGTTGCCCATATAGCTGTTGACGTGAGTATATGTCAGGCATTTTCTCGTTTATACTGACTCATGTTAGATTGGCGGTTCACTAGCAAAGATAGTATACTTTACTTCCTCGGCAGAAAACAGATCAGGTGGTCGACTCCACTTCAAAAAAATCGAAACAGAACGAATCGACGAGTGTATTGATTTTCTTGCGGAACTCATGGCAGATGCTCGTATGTTAAAACCCGACAATAAGAATCTCGTCTTGAAAGCCACTGGAGGGGGTGCTTATTTGTTCTACGAGAAACTTAAGGAGCGCTTACCAGGAGCTATTATTCAAAAAGAAGATGAAATGGATTGTCTTATTACAGGTTAATCTCGTAAATTTATGCATAAACGTAAACTAACGTAATCACCATGTAGGATTGAATTTTTTTATTACAGAGATACCCTATGAAGTCTTTACTTATAATGAGCAAGAAGCAGATCCAATGCAATTCGAACAAAAGGCACAAAACATCTACCCGTACATGGTATTCTTCTATATGAGTACAAAACAAGTGTGTATTGATTAATGAATAGCTTGTTAATATTGGATCTGGTGTCAGCATATTGAAAGTGACAGGTCCTGATGAGTTCTCGAGAATTAGCGGTACTTCTGTAAGTAGACCTTGGCTTGTTTACTGCTTCTTTAACAACTTTTTTAATAGCTTGGTGGAGGTACTTTGTGGGGCTTAATGTCACTATTAACCAAAGCAACTTCATTTGATGGTAGTCTATTCTTCTCATTTGCTATTTTTAACCTTTTCGTCTCGAATAGAAATGCTGGAGATATCCAAAGATGGTGACAACAAAAATGTCGATTTACTTGTGGGTGATATCTACGGTACTGATTATACCAAGTTGGGCCTCAAGGCAACCAAGATTGCTTCGAGTTTTGGTAAAGTCTTCAAGAAGGGTGTGCAACAATCACAGGATAACTTCAACCCAGCTGATATTGCAAAGAGTTTGTTGTTCATGGTCAGGCAAGTACTGACATATAGTGTCTATAAATATACTAACAAGTGTTTCTCTAGTAATAACATTGGACAAATTGCTTACCTCAATGCCAAACAACACAATTTAAAACGTATTTATTTTGGTGGATGCTTTATCCGAGGCCATCCTATTACAATGAATACACTTTCTTATGCCATTGATTTTTGGTCTAATGGCGATATGAAAGCCTTGTTTTTAAGACATGAAGGGCACTTGGGCGCAACAGGCGCTGTAAGTTTTGATCTATATCAAACAAAAATACTTACTTCTTTTTTTTGTTATAGTTCTTAAAGCATTCTGTTATTCGTAGAGCACGCCACTCGTTTTCTTTCTCTGAAAACAATTTTGTTCCTGTAATCAATCCCGATCCTAAAGATGTATATGGTGTATTAGAAGAAACGAATGTTGAGCTTCGAGCACCCGAAAATGAATCTGATTTGACTAAAGAAGAGAAATAGATTTGTAATATAGATAATAGAGCTTTGTTTTATTGCAATTATATATATATATATATATACGTATGTGTATGGTATATATAGTGATTTGGTGAGGTAAAAATACATGATATGATTAGACTGTAACTATTTCTGAGCTCATTTTGCTGCATTAGAAGGTCCTGCCCCTAACAGACCGAGTGTGTCCATGAAATCAGGACTTGGTCTCCAGGGCGGCATCTCTTCTGGGCCTACAGTACTTGAGTGGTTTTTGAGTAAGAATAATACTCCGAGTCCAGTCAATGAGAATAAGACACCCGTTGAAATACCCATTGAAATTAATATCACAGCTGCAATTGATAAGTGATCTATAAAGATATGTTAATTTTGACACAAAAAGGTTCTTCTTAAACGCTTACGAGGGGAAGAACTTTGTGGTTGTAAATTAGGGTCAACAGTGTGGATGATTTGATTGATAATCCCTGGATAACCAACGATTTGTGTTGTGAGTAGATAAGGATACCATGTGTTGCCATCAAAGAGAGCTGCACTTGCATTACCAAAGTCAGTCAAGTATAGCTGTCCCACTGCCAAAAGCATATTTTGAGTACCATCCGGGAAGCGCTTCTGTAATGAGAAGCTAGAGATAGGTACAGATAAAAGCTGATTAATCTGGCTTTTTATATCCAAGTTAAAATTAAGTGGTTCAAACATGTCTCCAGTTAACATCCCAATATAATTCCCGGTTGAGCTATATAAGATATTAGTAAATACTTTGAACAGCCTGTTCTTACTTTGTTCCAGAAATAATAAACTGTTTATCCGTCTGCAGAATAGCTGAATTCGCTGTACTTTGTAATTGAGATGTATAAGGTTCAATAGTCCATATATTGCTCTGATCGCTAGCACTTGCAATGGGTTGTGTAGACCTGCCCTGTACTGTTAAATTGCCTATAGCAAAAACTTTTTGATTATTTTGTGTGGTGATGATATCATAAACAGTGCCAGATAATCCAGGATAAATATCATTCCATTGTCTGTTTGAAAGACTAATCGCACAAACAGAGTTACAATCTAATGATCCAGCTTTGCTAAACTGCCCACCAACCAAGATACGTTTCCCGTCAGGATGGACTTTAATAGTATGAACAATGCCTGGTTGATTTGTCTCATCTAAATCCAAATCAATAAAATAAATAGGATTCTTTTTTTTTTTTCAGTTTACCTAAAATGCTAGCAACTTGTATGGAAGCCGAGTTGTTTGCCAAATCATAAATAGCAAAACTTGCTGATATATTTCTTTGTGGATCCGCACTGAATTGACCTCCAACATACAATTTGTCTTGAAAAACAGTCAACGAATTTACTTTTCCTTGTACATAGCTAATGTTTGTCCAAGCGTTCTTGCTATTGCTATAGACAATAAAAGTTGTGACATTGTTGTTTTCTTCTGTTTTTAAACTATACGTGTAGTAGGCGATAATAGTTGAACTTGAATCATTCTTGGACCACACCACACCTGCAGTGGTAATTATGTTTTTAGAAAATATATTACGTGAAGCGTTGAAGCTTGTTGACGTGACAAGATCAGTACGATAGGTTTGTGCGCCCAATATACCACCTGCAATCCATCTATCTTGGTTTCCAGTAGATACATCTGTTACCACCTCACCAACAATTAGAGAACTTGGCTCTATCCAAGCCATTTGCTCTATATTCCATTTTGCATTTCTCAGAGATATTTTTTCGTTATTTTGACCGATATAGTGCTGAAAGAGACCAGATACAGATAATGTGCTGTTATCCGGTGCTATAAGGAGATGATTGACAGGTCCATCTACACCCTATGACAACTTTCGTTTAGTTTTGCGATTCCTACTATAAATCCACGTACATGTTCAAGACTACTCCAGTTCTTTAGCAATGTGTCAAATTTTGCAATATTTCCAGCACTCAGTGGAGTCAAAGAGACAGTCGAGTTGAATTCACCAGCTACATACAAGTCTTGAAGAAAAAGTAAATACCAATCCAACAATGCTCAATAACTTACCTGAGTTATGTAGTATTAACTTTGATACTTTTCCGTTGACACCACTTGACACTTGATCGGATATGGGAACTAACTTTCCAGACAAGTAATCGTAGGAGACTACGTTCTGATATCCAGAATTGTTGGCACTGACTGAAAGAAAACTACCCCCTATGTAAAGTACGTCACCGGAAGATGCATCAAGACTATATACCGTTGCTCCCGTTGGTAATTGTTCTTGTAAAATAAGTAAAGAAGTAATTATTCAAAAAGTAACTTACGATTCAAAGGCTTCCAAGATGAATTTGTATTCAAGCTAGTAAGATTGTATTCGAGAATACTGACCAGTGGGACTCCTGATGAATTACGAATAAACTCCAATGTATCTGCCATAATGCTGACAAAATCTCCTTGAGAAGGCGCTGAAACATTAGATGCAGGCGCTAGTGTAAGTGATGGTCGAAAACTGGCAGAGACAGGCGAAATGATTCCACTGTAAATAAGTATACGTGTATCTGAATATACTTTTTGATTTACTCTGAGGGTTGTAACCACGTTAGGTTGAAATTCAAGCTGATAATCTACTTGTGTTCGTTCATAACAGTTGGAGCTTCCAACACATCCTGGCGTTGTTGCATACACTTCATATAGCCCTTGTGTAGGTATGTTTCTATATCAAGATTTTTGAGTACACCTATGTTTGTTCGCAGAGCAATAAGCTTTTTCTTACGGCTGATAAACAATCGAAAGATTGGATGCTGCTAGACTTGCATAGGGGACTGTGGCTTCCAAAACATTTCGATAATACCCATAGACATAGACTTCCTTCCAATCACCATTTATAACTGTCTTTGTAAAGTAAGGAGATATAGAAGAGCTACTGCATAAAGAAGCATTATTCAAACTTGGATTGATGGAAACATCTTGAAAACGTCAACCGTTAGGGAGCAAGTACATAATGCCGAAATTCGTGTTTACCTGATTCAAAGATCTGAACATATCCCAGTCCTCCACCTGATCCATACCAACTCTTGATATAGATCCGGATACCCGAGGTAGATATGCTGTTGACTACAGTGAAATCCTGATATGTGTCATTTGACAAGAGACAGTCTGAAGCGCAAAACGTTGTTGCTTGTGTGACGGGATCTGTGTACGACAATTGATAAACTTCGTTTGAACCTAATGCAAGAACACTGTATACAAGTTTAGCTGTTTAGTAAGTCTTGTTTATATAGGTCATACTAAAATAAAAGAGTCCCTCTATCTGTGTGCGTGTTTGATAATCTGAATACAGTGGGTTGAATAGGGTTGTTAAAATTTGCATCCCAATAACCAGGCACGCCTTCCTGCAAGTACCATGCCTGTTCAACATTGTCTGTTGGCGATGACTTTGAGGGACATACAATACTACTTGCGTTGCTGTTGAACTCTCCATTACCAGAAGAGACGGTCTATTAAAAATAACACAAGTAAGACATATAGATAGTGCTGGCTTCTGATACGTACAGCAAGAGGTGAGCTCATTGCTACAACTTGACTTGTGTTGGAATTAAAGAATTGGTTGTCGCCTGTGGCATCGAATCTACCTCCAAATAACAGTGTGTTTTGTTTAATGTTTCTAGTGATAGTATATACAGGACCATTAAATCCTTTCCAAGGTAAAGGGACCCAACTGTTGTTTGACAAACTCCATTGCACAGCGTTTCCAAATGTGTCACTGTTGTTGAGCACAGAAAAGTTGCCACCTACATACAGAATCTGCTCAACTTGGTCACAATATAACGTATACACAGGGCCATCTAAGCCTTGACCGAGTGCTTGGAATTGGTTGTTTTGTGTACTGTATTTTGTAATATGATTTACTGTCAGCTGCTGGTTGACAGTTGCAAAGAAGCCCCCAAAATATATGTCACCATTTTGAAAACTACAAGAGCATGTGATGTTTCCACCTTCAAAAGTGCCCACTTTATCAAATGATCCAGCTTTTCCTTGTTGTTTTACAAGTGTTGAAGAGAAGCCAGAAAGTGACTCAAATTGCTGTTGGCTGTCAATATTGGATACACCTGCATAGTTTCCAACAAAACCTAAGCGCAGAGTGCTGTCTATTATTGGGATATCAAGTGCTTGTATAATAATAGGTGTAAAGAGAGAGAATAGACAAAAAATCAAACTCATTTCTCTCTGTCTACGATACGTAAAATGAAATAAAGAGAAGGAGAAAAAAGGCTCTATATCTAGTAAAACAAAAACAATTTTAAAATGATGTTAGGTATCACACAAAATCGCTTTAGTTTACTTTTTTTTGTTGTATTAAAAGCAAAAAAGAAAATTTGTACCTTATCATGAAAAGAAAAAATCCTTTGGTTGCTTGCTTTATGTTATAATCCGAGCTGTTTTGTGCCATTTGAGCGAATGACTATCAGTTTCTGATGACAAGTATAGATAAATTCAAAAAAAAAAAAAAAAAAAAAAAAAAAAAAAAAAAAGCTGCATAATTTCACTTGTTGATACATGTCACGTTGACTGCAAAATAAAGATACCCAGACATTGAGAATTGTACATTTCACACGAAGAAAAGCAGTGCTATAGTAAATAGCCGCTGCCTTTGACTTATGCCCTGCTATTTTTATACTTAGTGCAAGCGTCCTAAAATCATTCTGTCCTCGCCATCAGAAAAAGAAGGTGTTACAAAATAAACACAAGCAACAATTCCATTTTGACGTCACGTTCGTTTGTATTTCTTTCTTTTATTATTCTAGAAGATGGCACAATACTTGATTGCCAACTGGGATTATACAGCTGAAGGAAACTTTGAGTTATCTTTTAAAGAAGGTGACAAAATAAAGCTATTAGAAAAGCATAACGACGACTGGTAAACACGCACGAGTGTTTGTATTTGTTGTTCATACATATTTTTATTTTTACTTTTAGGTGGGAAGGTAGTTTTCTCTACTAAAAAGCATAAGAATAACAGGTGTTGAAAAACTAGGTGAATTAAACGATGAAATTGGATTTTTTCCTGCCAATAGAACTATACCATTTGTCGATAAAAAACAAGAAGAAGCGGGTATGTGATTGTATGTATTGATAGCAAGCTTTGTAATTGAAGCATTAATTTGTTTTTCTGTTTCGTAGTAGAATTAGCTAAAGTAAGCACCCTAAACTGTCTTGAAAAGCCAATAACTCTTTTATGTGTACAGAAGACTTCAATTTCATCGACTACTTCTTCATCTTCTGACAGATTTAAAAACTCAGCTTCTAGTACAACAGAGTACAATCAAATATTACCCTCGGATTGCCCTAATATTGGCGCGAAGACAATATCCCCTAACAACCCATACCACCAGCATACCATATCTACTCCAAAAGCACCTAAAGTTGAATCAAAAGAAACCCTTTTGATTGACTTATCTGCAGCTGAAGAAGATCTTCCACCAGGATGGTCATATTCCTATGATGATGCTGGCACTATTTATTTCTTTAGTGAATCTACAGGTGAATCACAATGGGAGAAGCCTCAATTAAAGAAGTCAAAGGAAAACATGATTGATTCCACCAGTTTGACTGATCTTGTTTACGATATGAATAAGATGGTAACAATCAAAACTAAAGAATAAAGAGCAACACTTGTTTATAACAAGTTATAGAATCTAGAAGCACTCCATCCCAATTGGATTCGAGCCCAAAGTAGTGTACAGATAAAAATGATATCGGAAAAGATGGAGCACTCTTGGAAAAATTATTATGCTGTCTTGACAACCTATGGATTCGTTCTGATCTATAAAGAAAGCTTGTCGAACTTTAGCCACAGAGTAGAATATACATTTAGTTTTTTATCCACTCTTTATTGACTTTGTATTTTTAGAGACCAACTTCAATTAAGCCAATACTTGCTTACGGCACAATTGATCTGCGCTCTTTTGAAATTACACCGGCTACCAAATCAGATACACGCAAGAAGTTTGCTTTTGTTGTCAAAAACACAGCAGCATCTGTAACGATCATGTTATCTTTACCTAATGAAGCAGTTTATTCAGAATGGTCTGATGCATTTATGCGCGAGAAGCTGGCAATAAAGGAGCAAAAGCAACAACAAGACGCAAGCTTAATTCAAATGTTTGCTTCTATTCCAATTCATTCAAAAATGTCAGAAACTGTCGGCAGAAAAAAGTCAATTACTTCGCCAGGTGATATTAACAATGAGACGCATGATAATGGTAGATGTAACATCTCTATTTCATGGCTTAACAACTTAAGTAGAAGCAAAGTCGGGCACTACTTTGACAAGATGGTTTTCCAGATCAAATAGGAATAATAAGTCGCAAGCATTATCAAGTGCAACTCCAAGCTCTTCTTTGGGTAAATGTTAAGAAAATAGATTGTGTTTAACTAACACTTGCTGTAGCAACTAATGAAGTCTTTGGTAGGCAACTTAAGTTAGATGAAAATGGTGATATACCGCTTATTGTTCGTTCCTGTGTTGAACAAGTTGAAAAAAGAGGTCTTGATGTAGTTGGTATTTACAGACTTTCAGGTCAAACAACAAGTATTCAGAAATATAAGACACAATTCAACACAAGTAAGTTATATTAATTAAGTATCCAATAGAGTATGCTAGACTCACCTAAAGAGTACAAACAGATCCTCAAGATGTTGACTTGGATCAAGAACATGACATTAATGTGATTACTGGCTTACTTAAGCTTTACTTTCGTGAACTTAAGAATCCCTTATTGACTTTTGAATATTATGATCGTCTTATTGAAGCTGCTCGCTTACAAGACCATCACGAGCGTATGTTTAGACTCAAATCCATTATTCAGGTATTGCCTGTTGCTAACTACAAAGTCTTCCAATACCTCATCAAGCATTTGGAGCATGTCAAAAACCACAGTCAGGTCAACAAAATGGAAGCTTCAAATCTTGCATTGATCTTTTCGGTTGGGCTTTTAAGACCAAAACATGACGATGTATCTGCTTCCATTTTGCATAGTGACTTGGCTAGTAAAGTAATAGAATGCGTGCTCATGCATGCAGACTGGTTTTTTGACACTGATACAGAAGATGAAGACGATGCTAGCGGTTTTAATAATAACAGCAGTGTTATTTAACTCTTATAAAGCGTTAGAGAAGTTGGGTTTTTATTGGTTTTTTTATTAAGCAAAAAAAGGAAAATGAATAATTCATGTGCACTAAATAAAGAGAATTATTGTTTATTGACTCTTGGCTTTCTTAGCAGATGATGTGCCACCTTTAGATTGTCTCTTTTGGGCACTAGAAAGAGTGGAAAAAATGTCAATAAAGATTTTTAAATAGTAAAATGAAAGTGTTACATTGTTGGCAAGTTGTATTCTGCCCTCCTGCTCTTACATTCATGATACGTGCAGGAGAAGATTTGACGTGTTCGTGAGGTGGAGGTCCCTTTGACTCATTTGCATGGGACTGTCTGTCAGATGATTTGACAGGCTTGTGAGAAAGAACTTGACCATTTTTACTTCCTGAAGGACGACGAGAGCTTTTTGAAATAGTCTTATGAGGTGGGACAGTTCTAGTTATTTCTAAGTAATCATTTTTTGTTTTAAGAAAAGGGAAATATTCTTACGGCACAGTACTCTTGTGAACTTTAGTTGTTCCGGTAGGCTTTTGTTTCTCTGCATGCTCTACCTTAGCTCGCTTATGACCATTACCATCTTGCATTTCATCTGAGCTATAATTACATTGGGTAGTAAATTTAAAGTAACCAGTTTATCTCACTTACTTGTCATGTCTCTTTTTAGAAGTGACTTTTCCTTCATCCTGGTCAGACATATCTTCCGCTTCTTCTTCTGCCTCAGCGTCCAATGCTTCTTGTGTTCTAATTAATTTATCAAGAGAGTACGGGTCAATATTTTAGCTACAAAAACAATCAATATATACTCTATTTTATCTTTTTTCTCCATAAAAAATTCAGGTTTCTCAAGATCTGGTATTTTGCCAAGTTTCCATGCACGCTGAATTCTTTCTTGATCTTCCTCTCGAAGATTACTATAGCCTTGAAGCTCATTTACATCTTCGTGTGCTGCTTTCATGTTTTCAACGACCCTATCAGTGATACAAACCCTGTTTGATAACCATTTTGAGTATTTTTGTCATTACAATGCCTGAGTTATTTATACCAATGACGCCAACTAACACCATGAATATTTGAAACTTCAACTCCCAAGCGTAATTCCCCTTTCTTTTGATGGGTACGGATGAGCACTTGACTATTGAATAGAACCAAACTTACAGCAATACTTCTGTCTTCTACGGGACATATTTTTCTTGGGCCACTACAAGTGCTTCTATCGCTCTGAATTGGTTGGAGATATACTTGACTTTATTTTCTATTAGTATACCTTCGCATACTTGAAAAAAAAAAAAAAAAAAGTTAATTTTTCTTGTATATGTTAAATTTGGCCTTACCTCGACTATATAGACCATTTTTCTAATTTTTTTGGGGTATGAAAAGTGTTATACCAAAGAATAAAGAAAGAGAAAACGTAATGATGGCGCATGATATACAAGATGTATTCATAAAATTAATCATGCAGAGAGTTAAGCCAATAATAGTTTATTATTTTGATCTGAAATGAAGATGTACATGAAGTGACGCATTTTATGTTGGCTATTCATCAAACGCATTAGCAATTTCTTTTTCTCTATTAACTATATTTGCTTTTTGAGCATGACGCTGCTCTAATAAACAGAAAGATCAATAGGTGTGATTGCTAATTGAATTTGATGCTTACCTCTTGCTGCTTTCAGTAAATCTTTTTCAGCTTGTCTTTGCTCTGCTGTCTTTGTTGATCGAACTCCTAATGCGTTGTGTACTAATCTCCTGGCTACCATATCAGTCGTCACTGGTCGACGAGGAATAGGTCCAGTAGCTGCTATATATTTAGTAAATCATGAATTATCTATAAAAAACAAAGAAAATACATGCGTTTTTTATCGATTTCTCCTTTATAAGGTTTGATTTTGATAAGTGGACTGTTCAGGTTATCAATATAGGCTTTTTTTGCTAGTATATATCGACATTAAATAAACAACTTGCATCACCGTACTCGTTTACCTGTGTTTGGATGCTCAAATATAATTAATGCTCGAGTGTCATCCATCCACTTTATACTGAATCCGCCTTTCATTGTTTCATATTCTTTAAAGATGTCTTGAAGATGAAATGTTTTGAACGAACTAGGAAAATCGAAACAGTCGAGTACAGTTGTTGCATCGTCATCTATAGACAAGAAACTTAATTATCCATCTCATTTAATCAGAATGGAGTTACCTATTATTGGACTAGGAACGGTTGCTGTGGGTGTTGATGGTGATGGAGATTTAGTAGGTAGTTTTGTTTTTACGTCTAAATTTAAAGATGCTTCCCAGTCCTCTTCTTCCCAATCATCTTTTTCTTCTGTCTTTGTTTCCTCTACTTTGGTTTCGCCTTTATCTGTTTCTTTTTTAGTAGTTGGTTCTGCTTTCCCTGTCTCTTGATTATGACTCTCAAGACTATCGTCTTTGTTCTTTTCTTTGCTCTCATAAATATCGACCAATTCCTATAAAGACAACGTGTTCAAAGGCTTTTTCCTTGATTTTTATACTCAAAATTTCAAAAAAAAAATCTTCTTACGCTTTTTGAGTTTTCAGCTTCCTCCAGACCTGTCAAGTTATTAATGCTGTCATTTGAGGGTGCTCTAAACTGTCCTCGGCCTCTTCTTTTGATATCGCTTTCGTCTTTATTTACGTTGATAGTAGAAGAAGATCGAGAAGTAGGAAGAGGTGCTATTGAAGAGTGCTGCTCTTGTTTGTTGCGTCTATGCACTGGAACATACGGTTGGATTATAGATCGTCTTGACTTATTTATACTTTCCATGTCTGTTTAAGAAAATAGAAATGAAAAAAAAATAATTTCATTAGGTTTTGGACTCCGTGACGAGCTTCTTTTGCTTAATGACAGCTGTCGTCAAGTCAAAACCAAAAAAAGGAGGAATGTTTGTTGATAGCCAAGTAACGCTTATTAACCTTCCTGGCTCTTATAGCCAAAAACTAGCTTTAAAATATAAATCAGGCCCATCTTTAGATAGTACATAATGAATCTTTGTAAGAAAAGAGTTTTCCTCTAAATCTTTTATTTATGTACATTTACAAGCAGTCTTATTCCAAGTGGGAGAATCTAGCTATAGGCAATACAAATAACATTCGACTTGAAAAAGCCAGCTTATCAACTCTCAAAAAATAATCATCACCACCGCTACGTTTTATGCATATAAATTGAATTTGCTTAAACGTATCTGTGCTACCATAAAGTTGCCGTTTCAGGAAGGATGAAAACATTTTCAATCAAATATATAAAGCCTTCATTTCATTACCTTCTTCTCTTCTTTCTGTCAAGAAAAAAAAGAGAATAAGCTAGAATAAGATGATATCAAGATCAAAAGTTGAGCATATTGTATCTTTGATATTTAACGGAGTGAATATCATTTTATATGCACTGGTAGTTGTAGCTGTCATTTTCAAATGCATCAAAGGCAATTTCGCAGATATTGTCATGGGAATATATGGCATGTAAGAAAATAGCTTATTCTATACTATTCTTTGCTATAATGATGTACTAATACCCTGAGTAGAGTTATGGCCGCTCTTATGATTGTGAACGAGCTACAAGAATTTGAATTTTCATATCATTACTTTTATTTCCTTTCTACGTATAGAGGAAGGGGGTTCCTAATGGTGTTGTAAGTATTTGAAAAACGCTTTTGCTTTGTTGCCTAACCTCTAGTTTATTGTACAGCTTTGGATGCCTTGTATTAGACACTGGCATTGTGAATATAGTTGTTGGGACATTGGTGTTAGCAGCAGGTCTTTTATACATTATTCTATCATTTACATCAAACTTTCCACCGCCAAACCCTATTACAATTAACTGGAGAAACTGGAATGACTTTTCGGCTGAGGGCTTAGATTTACCTCATCATAGAGGAGCTAATGATACAGTGGTGGTAAGGCTGAGTAGCTATTTTAACTTTATTTTATGTCTTAAAACTGTTTATAGAGTGAAATGCATGAGCGCTTAAAATCGCCAGCACCTATCGCACATAATCACCCAGTTAGTCTTAACGATATGATTGATCCAGAAAAGAAGCCCATGAAGCAGCAACAACAAAAAAGACGATGATAAATACAATTTCCTTTGTTTCTATTCAACTCTGACTACAGTCTGGATGTTTTTTCTTGCTATATTCTATTTGGAGAAAAGGGCATAGATAGCACCATTTTCTCTTGTAAATATGACACACAAATACCTTAACATGTATTTAGTATTATCTACTTTAATGCTCTTTGCTCTTCATTTGATTTACTGAAAATAAAAAAACACAATAGTTATTCTGATGAAGCGTTACTTACTTTATTGACTGATATTTGAACGTTTTATATAGGTTAGTAGTTCTGATACAAAGTACATAGACTACAATTGCATCAAAGAAATAGAGTAATCAAATCAGGCCCTTGTCTGCTAATCTCTAAGCAAAAACAAATCATTTAGATATTGTGGTGTTACATTCCAGTCGTTTCCGTCGACTGTAGCCTTCCTCTTGTGCTTGTCGTTTCTCTTCTCTTTTCTCTTTTGTTATATTATTATTATTGAAACTTTGTTGCTTGATTTCTGTATTACTTTCTCATTCTACTTGAAACTCCTACTTTCTGACATGATCATTTTCATGCATGATACTTTTACTTATTAGAATAGTCTTACAACTCAATTAGTTTTGCTTTATTACAAATCGAATTGCTTTATCTTAACGAGTTTATTATGACTTGCATCTTTTAAATTTAGAATTAATAATCATTTTCTCAATGAACGAGTATATAAACTGTTCAAATTATTATTCAATAAAGAGCAGAAGATTTTTCTCACTTTACTTTTACTTTAGCCGTTTGGGTTACTTATTAGGCAGTTGGTATTGGCTTAAATACTTATTTTTGCCTATTTGATTTCCTGGATATTGACATAGGAAGGTCTTTTACTTTATCATTTTTATTTGAGCTTTTATTTTCTCTTTTACTTTAAAATATTTACTTAACAATGTGGTGCTCATTACATACAATCATTCCTTTGGTTTGGACTCTGTTGTATAAACTCTTCTATACGTTACTGGTATAAAAATCAAACCTTGTCTCGTAACAGTGGTAAAGTGCAAAGTCTCAATACAAAAAAAAAGCATTTCATTCTGTTACAATTATTGAATGAGCAAAAAAAAACTGAGGCTACCAGGGGTCGAACCTGGAATCTCCTGATTCGTAGTCAGACGCCTTATCCATTGGGCCATAGCCCCTCAGTTATTTTGTCATGTGTGCACATTTAATTCGACTCGGTTTTTGTTTTTTTCCACGGTTTTTCTAGTGATTTTATTATGTTAACAAACCTTTAAAATCGACATCTTTTTCTAAAAAATTTTATTCAACATATATCTTCATTGTCTTTTGAAGGAGCTGTGCCTAAGGTTGTAATCTCTCTAATTGTGTCTATCTCTCTATAATTACAACAGTCTTTACAGTCTTCTGTTATTAATTATTGGTTTATCTCTTTTATTTGTTGGTCTCGTCGTTCAAGGTAAACACAAAGGGAAAAAGAGAGGGTTGTCAATTTTTTAGTGTTTAAATATTTTTTAACATTTTGTTGTAATTTCTCCGGTGATTTTATTATGCTAACAAATCTTCAAATTGGAATGGTACATGTCTCTGATGTTTCTTGTTGTGAGATGAAGAGAGAGTAGATCTTCAATAAGAGAAAAGGTAAGAACACAGAGAAAGTCCGTTAGAACTTGTATAGGTTTTTTATTTCTCCAAGAAAAATGTTATCTTTCAATTGCTATAAAATGTCAAGGTATTTATACCTTTTCTTCTCGGTCAAAATATTGTTTTGGGTTAGTGTTGTATACACAGCATTATTCATCCCTTCTTACACTAGTTATGCCTTAAAAGAGCAAGTATTAATATCATGTATAAATATATCTTTCAATCACAGTTTTATCCGCAGCTTCGATGGATGTCTTCTATCTTAGTTTAAACATGTTAAAGATCAGACCATCACATAATCACAAATTGACATCTGCATCAATACCAATGGTAGACGAGGTCTGTGCCCTGATCATGTACCCAGTTCTTGTGTACCTTAATCCATTCAACCGATTAGCTAGTGTATACACACTCAGTCCCAAATCAAGGATAATCAATTATCATACAAACAGTATAAATACAATACAAAATATAACCTTTAATAAAGCAGAACTTTTTTTGGCCGTTTTGGTTCTAATCGACTTATTGATTTGACCATTTTATTAGTGATTATATCACAATTTCCTCTCTCTTAACTTCCTTTCTCTTTTCTCTATGCTGTGATGTAAGAGAGAAGATAAAAACAAAGAAGTCGATTAGAACTTGTATAGGTTTATTATCCAAAAATCTATATATCTCTAGCTCTTCATTCTCTAGGTATTTATATATGAAGAGATGTCGGAGTAAGTAGTAGTAGAGTTCATGCAAATGACTGAGTCTCTATTATCATAGACTACTTTAAATTAATTAAATAATATAAATTATGGACTTCGGTTATACGTCTTGATCTATTAAAAGATACTTTGTCTTATTCAGTACAAGAGGTTCTTTTATGTCTATTTCTGATGTAAATTGATTATGATATATTTTTAGTATGTAATTGAAGACTTATTTAATGTCAGATCATCATATGCATATAGATTCTATATGTTCACAACACTCTATATATTATCTTCACTTACTCACTCTTTTTAAAAACATATAATCTTTTAAAGTTGTCGCTTTTTGGAGTCGTTACAGATGCAATTGACAAGACAATATTTTTAGGACAATAAAAGCAGCTTTTTTTTTGCGCTTTTACGAAAGGTTGTAGACAAGAGATCTACAAAAGTCTGTATAAATTTGCTATCTTTTTCAGAAATGAAATGCCAAAATATTAAAATTTGCATTCAAAGTTCATTGTACAGTGTGATTGGTAGAGAATTGGCCATCTTTTATAGAGATTGAGTAGTAAGTGAGTACTTATTCTACTACCATTTGATGCTCAAAATGTAGTTAAGTAAATTGTATCGTGATTCTTGACACTTTTTAGCCCAAAGAGAACAGATCTAGATGTAGTAAGCGACACTGAATAAATTCTCTAGAGAGCACCTTTTCAAATTGAATTTTGCATGAAAAACTGATTTGTAAGATGGAAAGCAAAGTAGAATTATACACACTACCTTCAAGTTGATAACATCGATAATTATGGCTGTATCATCTCTAGCTCTGTTGTAAATGATAACTTTTTCTGCTTTGTTACTGGAGTAGGCTCCATTTTTTTAAAAAAAAATCATAATTTGCATGTTTGAAGAGCTGTCATACAAACAAGATTAGTAGACATTCTTCTCGATTGAAAGCAATTGAGCGATTATCAAGGCATAGTTACTGCTTTTCTACCTTAATTCTATGGTTGAGATAAATGCCTTTTTAACTAATGATGTAAGGCAAGATTATTCTAATAGTTAATCTTAAATTTACAAAGAGCCAAGCCAAAACCTTTTAAAAGGTCAAGAAACAACTAGTTTTAATAACACTGGTTTTCGATAACAAAAAAAAAAAAATAACTAGACTTTTAATTTATCATATGTATATCACTAGTCAAACACATCCATGGCTATGAGCAAGTTTTTTTATTGCTGCTTATTCTGACTAGAGAGCAAAAATTGCTAATCACTTATGTTTATAGTAAGAAAGTATCTTGTTTTTGAATTGCACAACAGATGTGCTAAGAAAAAAAAGATGCATAACTGAAGCCTTAGCACTACTAGAAGAAGACAATTTTTGCTCAATAATATTCAGTCAGAAACAGACATTTAAGACAATTGCACTGAGTGATATTAGTAAAGAAAACGTTGTTATGCAGCAGCAGCAACAACAAAGATAATCCGTACATTAGAATGGTTTACGTTAATAAAGAAGGGTTGCCTTACTTTTAAACCATAATGAGAACTGAGCATTAATTTTGCAAGTAGATCCTGCTTTTATTTAGAATCCGTTGTATCAATCCTTTACTCTGTTTGTCAGTATTATAATTAGCGAAAGTGCTTGCTTACTAAGGGGTTGTTTTCAAATACAAAGTCCATTCAAGGGATTAAATGACCCGCATAATTTCTACTCTCCACCAATCAAAAAATTGTCCTTAATATGAATATGCTGTGTCACTCGTTACATTATGCAAGCTCAGCTGAAAAATCAGAGCAATATCAATACATTAATTGTTCCAAAGCAGTTCATTGAAACTGCTTGCATGTTCAGGTGAGACTGTTACATCAGTGTAACTTTTTATAACTTGTAGACCTGTATTGCTTCCCCAAAGATCGTTAGCATGACTCTTTAACTATTCCTTAAAAGGCCTATTTGACTTATTAGAGCAGGTTTAATCGTGTTTCTCCACTCCTGGATTAAAGTATAAAAAAGGCCGTATTTTATTTTTATAGAATTATTATCAAAACGTAATGGTTCTGTTACCTTCAGCTTTATCTTCTATTACATTGCTGGCTCTTTTTACTTCTGCTACTCAAGCTCTCAAGACATGTACAGTTGCAAAGAGCAGCACTGACGATGCCCTCACTATTGTTGATGCTTTCAAGACTTGTGCCTCTGGCGGTAATGTCGTCTTCACTAAAGGAACAACATACACTCTGAAGACCTTTGTCAAGGTGACTGGTCTCAAAGACGTAAATGTTCAATTCTATGGTACAGTCAAGCTCCCTGAATTCAACACAAAGTACAAAAACACAGATGCATATTTCAGAATTGAAGGTAGCAACATTAATTGGGATGGTGGTCGTGTGGGCACTTTCCAAGGCAATGGGCAAAAGTGGTGGGATTCCAACAATAGAAACTCTCCTACTACTCTCTACATGGTTGCTGATAACTCTGTCTTCAAGAACTTTGGCATTGAAAGTTCTCCTCGTTACCATATGGAACTATCCGAGTCCAAAAACGTTACTATTGAGGGAATTAATATTCATACAGTTTCTTCAAGCTCAAACGTTCCTCACAACACGTAAGTCATTCTCAGCAGTATTTATATGTTTCTCATTTATCTCGTGAATAGTGATGCGCTTGATGTTTACAACAGTGTTGATATCACTTTTAGAGATACTGTGATCACAAATGGAGATGATTGTCTTTCTCTCAAAAACAGTAATGTATTTGTTTAAAATATGAATAGAAGCTCACAATATTAGATATAACAAATGTAATTGCTACCAATATCACTTGTACAAATGGTCATGGGTTTAGCATAGGTTCTCTCGGTAAAGGCGATTCATGGGACTTTGTCTCAAAGGTTCAAATCTCTGACTCTGTATGTACTAATTGTCAAAATGGTGTTCGTATCAAAACTTGGCCTGGTGGACACGGTGCCGTCAAGGATGTCACTTTTGACAACATCAAATTGAACAATGTTGACAATCCACTTGTTGTTACTACACATTATTGCGACAATGCCGCTAAAAAATTCTGTAATGGTAACGACAACGTGTCTCTTCCTATTAGTGGTATCACATTCAAGGACATTCAAGGGTAAAGTACAATTGATTTCCTTTTTATTTTAGTAATTAATCAACCTCTATAGTTCCGCTTCTAATGTTGGTAAGCCAGTTATCAGTATCGACTGTGCTACACAAACCCCTTGTTCTGGCTTTACTCTCACTAATGTTAGCATCAAGCCTGGCAGAAAAAGCAAGGCAAACGTCTGCAAAAACTTGAGTAACTCAAAAAGCATTAGTTACTGCAATTAATAAAGACAATATATCTTAATTCACATATAAACTTCAAGAATAATACTCTAAGGCCCCTATTCATTAAAACTCAAATTGAATCTGTCTCTTTATCTAATTGGCTGCAACTGATGATGAACACAAATAATCGTCATGTTCTCCCATTTTCTAAGATTGCAGATCATTGGTACGGGTCTTTTATTGTAGTTGCACACTTTAGATCTGAATTGTTTTTAATGTATTGATTAATTTGAGAAGCTAGCGCTACACGCACAAAAAGTTGTATTTACTTCGTACAAATTATTGATTTATTATTTCCTAAAAGTATTTTTTTCTTTCTTAAAGACCGAAGATATTAATTCGTCTTTCATGAAACATGATTTTAGTTTTTAAACAAGTTTTAGGTAGCTGAGATTATATTACTCGCTGAGCAAGAAAAAATCGTGCCTTAAGGTCTATGTACCTAAATTCTGGTTTTAAATATACAGCTTGTTCATACAATGCCGCCTTATCTTATATTTCAAGGCATTCGAGTATTGTATAGCCTGACATGAATAGTTTTGTTAAATACATATTGAATATATGACTATCTGAGCTGGGTACTTTTATTTGAGCCAAATTATCTGCACAGTATGTAACACGAAAATGATTACAAAATGAAGCACAAAACTAATCAGCTAAACTACTTGTATCATGTACAGACAAGTCATGTTTGAGGTTATATGCACATTTTCCATTGCCAGAAGTAAACTGATCAAATCGATCACGTATTACAACTTTCTAGATAACTGAAACATTGTCTCTTTTTTTTTTTTTTTTGCTAAGTAAAACCACTGGATTCTGCAGAACATGATTGACTCAGAAACGAGAAACTTTTTTGAACAGTACTTTGTTCGCTTTTTTCTTGTCTAATTCCAATGCGCTAATATGAGATTTATTCATTTTGTTTTGTATCTAAAATTCAAAAAGAAAAATGCGTCAAATACTGCGTATTTACTCTTACAAACGCAACCAAATGGTTTCTTGTCAAACCTCGGCTTAAAGGTTCCCTTCTAAATTACTGGGCTTTTGGTTATGACTCTTTACATATGGAATTTAGAGCAAATAGGTACCTATAATCAAACAATAATCCTTCGCAGATGAAATTGCCCGGTTCTATTTGATACAATGCTTTAATCAAAACCTCAATTGCATATCTAAAAGAGAGATGATTGTCATTTTCTTGGCATAATAGCTGCTTCTTATAGAACTAAAGTCATTGAGAGCATTATAAGTATGAGTTTTGAATCTATGCTGAATTAAAGAGTTTGATAAACCTTGGTTTTTGTACATGTATCACGGCTACGAATAACTTTCCCGAGAAACCAAGTAATCCAATAAGAAAACGCCAATGTTTGACTTGAAGTTTTGATAATTGCAGCATAAGACAGATAGATGACTATTCGAGTTATAACTTGGCTTAGAAGCTCCAAAAATGGCAAAGGAGCTGATGCAAATAGAAAAAACAAACCGGGTAACTTTCTATAGAAAACCTTTATCTAACCAACACCACACAATCAGCACTGACACTTCTTGTTTGATAGCCATTCAACAGCTTAAGTTTTTTTTCATGGCTTCTTCAAGCTCTATACTCAAAAATCTAAAGTGGTAATATTTTTTAACTTTATTCAAATCAATTTGATTTCAAAGTTTATATGCATGCATATGCCCAATTTACCTGGAACATGATTTAATCACTTGTACAATCTTTTTTCTTCTAACGGCTAGGAACCAAATCTGGGAAAGATGGTATTATTCTTGACTTGTGATTGGACAGGATATACCGTTCAGTTAAAATTTATGTCGAGTGAAACCATCAATGCATGTAATATTCACTCTAAATGTTTTTACCAGGAACGAAAAAATATATAAATACAAGAAAAATTGATGGATTTCAATGTCATTAATCTCTTTACAATCATTACAATGGTTTACATTCCTTCTCTTTCTTCCTCTCTTGCCCTCATTACTGTCCTTGCCTCTGCTGCTCAAGCTGCTACTTGTACAGTTTCCAACAGCGGTAATGTTGCCAACAACATTGTCACTGCCTTCAACAACTGTAAGAACGGTGGTACTGTTGTCTTCAGCAAAGGTGCCACTTACAACCTCAATGACATGGTCACTGTCCAAGGCTTGAAGAACGTCAATGTCCAATTCTACGGTACTCTTAACTTGCCTGCCTACGACAAGAAGTACAGCGGAGGAAGCGCCTACTTTATCATTAAGGGTGACAAAATTAATTTTGATGGTGGATCTACTGGTGTCATCAACGGCAACGGCCAAAAATGGTGGGATGCCAAGGACAGAACTGCTCCTACTGTTCTTAGAATTACTGCTACTGGTGGATCCACTTTCTCTAACTTCAAGATTCTCCAAGCTCCTCGTGCCCACATTGGCATCACTGGCTCTGATGGCGTCACTATCAACAAGGTCACCATAAAAACTGTCTCTTCCAGCAGCAATGATGCTCACAATACTGATGCTATGGATGTCTCCAACTCCAAGAATGTTACTTGGACCAACTCTGATGTTACCAACGGCGATGATTGTTTAGCTATCAACGGCAATACCTCTGGTGTTCATCTCGACAATGTTCATTGTACTGGCTCTCACGGTTTCTCTGTCGGCTCTCTTGGTAAGGGCAGCTCATCCGCCACTGTTTCTGATATTCGTATTCAAAACAGTTCTTGTACTAACTGTCAAAACGGTGTTCGTATCAAGACCTGGCCTGGTGGAAAGGGTTCTGTCAGCGATGTTCACTTTGTTGGTGTTCAACTCAACAATGTTGACAACCCTATTATTATCACCACTCACTACTGTGACAACAACCAAAAGTCTTTCTGTAGCGGTAATGACAATGCTTCCTTGACCATCAAGGATGTTGAGATCAAGAGTATCACCGGTTCTGTCTCTTCCAAGGGTAGCCCCATTGTCAGCATCAACTGCTCCAAGAACACTCCTTGTTCTGGTTTCTCCATGTCTGGTATCAATATTTCGAAGGCCGCCAAGACCAAGGCTAACGAATGTATCAACCTCAGTGGTTCTAACAGCATTTCTTACTGTAAATAAGCAATGGTATAAATGCTGCTCTATTCGATAGTATACCTCATACTGATTTAACAAGAAATAAATTTTTTATTTTTTCTATGCTAGAGTACTTTTATTACACTTTATGAGCAAAATTAAGTTCTAGAAATTAAACAGAGTATGAGATACATAAGTAATATTTACAGTAAGTTATAAGAAAGAGCAGAAAATAGAAAGGAGGTATAAGAGAAATAAATTAATAACAAATATTAACCAGTATATGTGAGATACTTACACAGATACGAGGAGGTAGTTGAATATCATTATCTTGTCAATTGTATAATTAAAAATGAGATAGTCTTCAATTCACTATATTCATACAACTATACGCTTGATCGACAATATGATCAGCCAATACTAAGCTGTGATTGATGCAAATAGTGGCTACATCTAATATTATCCCTTTCTCTTTTTTGTTAAATAAACAATCCAAGTTTTTACTCCACGGTTTACAATGTTCATCTATTATGCTTTGGGGAACTTGTTCAAGGATGGAAAGTATGCAGTTTTTATTTGATTTCAGAGATTATTAAAATATATCCAATATTTTTTCTGTATGGCTGTATAAGAAGCTATTCGATTAAAGCCTGAATCTTATCTCACTTGTTATAAAAAGTGGATTCATCCAAAAATGAAGATAAACATCACGAAAATAAAGCAAATAACAAGGAAAAAAAGAAGAAAAGTCACCAACTACAATACTACAACATTGTTATATGTCGAGGATCTTCTCCTTTATACTCGTTGACTAAAAATATTGTTGGTTGACAACTCTACAAATATAACGCAGAAAATTACTCATTGATTATATACAATCACTCATTTTGCTTATGCTTTTGATAGCCTTTTCTAAGTTGGAAATTACATTCTACTTACGACCAAGTTGGGAAATACACGTTGAATCATACATATCAATAAGTGACAACGCAATTTGTTAATATTGTTGAAGACCTTGAGAGGTAAGATGTCCCTGATTGCTTAAAAGAGGAGACAAAATAGACAAGTTTAAAAATCAGCTCTTTATAGTCTTTGTAGTCAATCGAGAATAGCTTTGGATAAAGGAAATAATATAGATGACATAAAGCCTTTCTTAATTGTATTCTGGTTGAAATCTCATTCATTAATGTAATATCATACTGTTATAACTATATCTTTTTTTTCCCTTTGTATCTGACATCCTCTCTGGATCTTCTCAAAAATATTTCTTCCTTTACGGAAGGGCGATAGTTTAAAAACGGTTTTATATATACAGACAATATCTCGATCGCTTCAAAATACTCAATCATACAAGTACGTTAAATAAAGACTGCTTACATTTTGAAAGTGTTTGTCAAAGATGAGATGAGTTATTTAACAAGTTATTTGAGTGACTTGAAATAATGCTTATTATATCAACTATTACAGAAGCTCAAATGTTGCAATGCGTATGGTAATTAATTCTGCTTAATTGACAGCATGTAACAGACACTATATTGGGGCTTCTGTTTCACAGAAAATTTTCATTTGCATGGGACAAAGGAAAATCTCGTAGATCTTTTTAACGAGCTGATACGTACCATGTGACAGTTTGAAGCAAAAAATATCATTTTATGCATTAGTCTTAACAGAAACATTAACACTGCTCTTATCTCAAAAGCTTCAAGAGATACGAGGATAATTAAACCTTTTCAGATGATTAGTTATGCGCAATAAAATTATTTTAATAATCTTTAGTCGGAACTAGAATCATGCATAACAGCTTTATACTCAACTATATTTTTTCGAGTTAAGTCTTTTGTGAATTGTGCTCTTCTTTTCCTTATTTGTACCTAATAAAAAAAGTCAGATGAACTTGAGTTTAAAGTTTGTTCATCTAATGAGTATCATCACTTTATTCTCCAAATTTGTACAATTTTTCTATAAGGGCTTTAGACTATATTTGCATATGTGAATCAATAGGGTCTATACATGTGTACAGGTATGACAGTTACCAAATTCCAAGTACATAATGCCGTTTTTTCTATCATCAAAATAATATAGTAGCTAATCAACAAAACACACAATTAAATCGAACGATAAAAAAGAACGTAGCCTGGCTACAAATCGCACGTTTTTGATGACAGAATTCGTGAATACAAAATAAAAATTGTAAAGAACGAATTGTACAACGTAGTGTTGAATACCGAAATTGCTTTGCGTATGACAGAATTCGAGCATGTAAGGCATGTGTAACGCAGTTGACACTGAAGCAGCTTTTGTGATTTAGTATAAATAGCCAGATCAAGCTATAGATTCTTTTTTCTTTACTCTTCATCCAATTCCAATCCTTTAGTTCAACAATGGTTTACATTCCTTCTCTTTCTTCCTCTCTTGCCCTCATTACTGTCCTTGCCTCTGCTGCTCAAGCTGCTACTTGTACAGTTTCCAACAGCGGTAATGTTGCCAACAACATTGTCACTGCCTTCAACAACTGTAAGAACGGTGGTACTGTTGTCTTCAGCAAAGGTGCCACTTACAACCTCAATGACATGGTCACTGTCCAAGGCTTGAAGAACGTCAATGTCCAATTCTACGGTACTCTTAACTTGCCTGCCTACGACAAGAAGTACAGTGGAAAGAGTGCTTACATTGTTATCAAGGGTGACAAGATTAACTTTGATGGTGGATCTACTGGTGTCATCAACGGCAACGGCCAAAAATGGTGGGATGCCAAGGACAAGACTGCTCCTACTGTTCTTAGAATTACTGCTACTGGTGGTTCTACCTTTGCCAATTTCAGCATTCATCAAGCTCCCCGTGCTCACATTGGTGTTACCAGTTCCAACGGCCTTACTCTCAACAAGGTCACCATGAAGACCGTCTCTTCCAGCAGCAACGATGCTCACAACACTGATGGTGTTGATATTTCCAACTCTAGCAACATCAACTGGACCAACTCTGATGTCACAAACGGTGACGATTGTATGGCTATCAACGGTAACACCTCCAACGTCAAAGTTAATAACGTCTCTTGTAACGGTTCTCACGGTTTCTCTGTTGGCTCTCTTGGTAAGGGCGGTGAAAACGATGTTGTCTCTGGTGTTTACGTTCAAAACAGCAAGTGTACCAACTGTCAAAACGGTCTTCGCATCAAGACCTGGCCTGGTGGAAAGGGTTCTGTCAGCAATGTTCAATTTACTGGTGTTCAACTCAACAATGTTGACAACCCTATTATTATCACCACTCACTACTGTGACAACAACCAAAAGTCTTACTGTAGCGGTAACGACAATGCTTCCTTGACCATCAAGGATGTTCAGATCAAGAGTATCACCGGTTCTGTCTCTTCCAAGGGTAACCCCATTGTCAGCATCAACTGCTCCAAGAACACTCCTTGTTCTGATTTCTCCATGTCTGGTATCAATATTTCGAAGGCCGCCAAGACCAAGGCTAACGAATGTATCAACCTCAGTGGTTCTAACAGCATTTCTTACTGTAAATAAGCATGATTTCTGGTATTAGAGTGCTCTTTAGCAGTAGATATATCTTTTCAGTTTAAATCTGATAAATAAACAACGTTCACAACATTAAAGTTCATTTAAATTATATTAATGAAGCACAATACCTCTTAATAGATCTACACAAAAATTCTTACTAAAGCTATTTATTCTGTCATGAATTTTTGCTTGTCAAAAGTAAGCATCATCTCATTTTTAACTTAAATTAGTCTGATAAAAAACAAAGAAAAATTTATCGTTTGTTTTTGATAAACTATAAATTTCTTTTATTCTTTTTTTAGGATAGACAAAAAAGATGTGCAAGAGAGTCTTATTAATCAATACAATTCATAGATTCTACTAAGGTATTTGTGATACAGCTTTTCATTAAATAAGCCTTCATCTTGTACCATGAAGAGATTTTATGATTATTTCAATAATTGCATTAGAGGTAAAATAAGCTAAGCTTAGCAAGAAAAAGAAGTGTATTCGTTGTACACTGTGTTACTCACAAACTAGAAGCTAATATCCTGACAAAACTTGTAAGCTCCGCTCTTTCTTCTTTTTGCGTAAAGTCAATTTTTTTAGTTTTTGTAAGAATTTCAATTTGAAGCAAAAGCATGTGATGGATATTTAAACAAGCAAGCCATCTACTCACTTATTTCTATGATTACTAAAGAAGGCAGGGAATGATATTATCTTGATTTAGATCAAAAAGTTTGTAGAACGAATGACCCTTTTTAGTGCTTTAAAAAACTTTATTTAAACTTGTCTTTATGACTTTTCAAGTTCTATCATCTTGTCTGTATATTTAGTCTAAAACTTCATATTCAGTGTATACTCTTTCTTGTTTTAGTGTTTTACTTGTCTTTGAGTCTTTTTTTTTTTTTTTTTTTTTTTTACAGACATGATGTTTTTCTCAATTTACAGGACAAGTTTGCAATACTTATATATTGTAATCATTATAGTTACACGCATGTTTTTGGACATTGAGCCGACAAGTCATGGTCTTTCTATTGATTTAAGAGCCTAGGCGATGATCGCATCTCTACTAATCCATTGACATGTACCTTTTGTTCTTGCATGCTGGATGTATTCGCAAGAGTATGAGACTAGCTTTTGTTAATGCACACTCTCAATTATGTTTATATAAAGAGCATTTAAAGTCAGATATGCTTTCACAAACTTAGTCAGATATTTGTAAAGCAAAAATGAAGCGGAAAAAAGTGTTGGTAAAACGTTACAACAAAGTCGATCAAAAGAAATTTTCATAAGCTGAATTAGTCATTACTTAGTAAGCCAGAAAACCAAGCAGGGAGGGCAGCGGATGGATACATGCACCTCAAAGATCAGGAAAAAATAAGACCGAATGTCTGCTGAGAAGTGTAACAGTGGTACTTTTCTTTTCGCTCTTTCTTTATTTCTCTTTCTTTTCTTCATTTATTTAATTTAAATATGGAAGCCATTACGCATGAAACTTTCTTAAATATTTTATCGTTTTTAAGCACAAGCGACCTAAAAGAAGCACAATACGTTAGTAGGCGATGGAATAATATCATAAGAACACAATTTCTATACAAATACCTTCTTATAGACCACCATACTAACTTGGATAAAGCCACCTTGTTTTTTATACACAACTCCAGCTTCTCGCGTTCAGTCAGATCGCTTCAAATACATCATCCTTATTTCCATTACCAACCCACGACTTGCTTCCAACTAACTTCATGGCCACAGATATTCCCCAAGATTTCACATTTCAATTTATGCTTGGAAGGCAAAGTTTATACCGATCTTGATGATTTACCAGGTCCGATCATAGACGACGAAGGCCAAGTCATTCAGTGTCTTCAATGTGACCCAGCTTATTTTGAACCATGGCTTGAACTCCAGGATATCAAAGAAAAAAGCAAATTTATCATCACATCTTCTTTGCTCCATGCAGGCAATTTTGTTAAATTAACAAAGCTGGATATTGATTATAGCTTATACAACGACAATACAATTTTCTCAGCTCGAAAATACTTATTCTCTGCACTCGAGAAAAATGTGCCCAACCTAAAATATCTACATCTCAACAAGATGCCAATGTCCCTCAGCAGCTTAGACGCACTACATAAATGTGCGTCTACAATTGAGCACCTTCGCCTGACAGAAGTTAATTTCGTATACACAGATGATGCTGAATACAACAACATCGTTCCTGCTTGTTCTGTGAAACAACTTGAGCTTGATATGGTGTTTGACAAAAAGAGCGAGCATTCGAAAATCCAATTAGCACAGTATATCTCTAGAAAATACATCAACACGGAAGACCTGACTCTTCATTGTGAAAATGACTATGAGACAGAAAGATGGAACAAGTGTATGCTGGGTATCTTTCGTCGTTGCAAGAAGATCAAACAATTCGACGTGGGTGTTTTGGGGTACAACAAGGAGCTTTTACAAGTCTTGGATAGTATGGAATCATGCAGAATACCTCGTCGATACATGGCTACGGTGGGCAAGTTTGAAGAACTTAGATTATTAGCTGGCTCTAAGCAACGGTTCAACATTGAAGAAATGACTGTAAGTCAACAATGTCATGATAGTGGTCCTGAACTTGTATGTGTTCTGAGTCGATTTCCAAACCTTGTTTCTTTCTGTCTCAACAAACTTTCACCTTATTCTGCAGAAAAGACCAATCACCGACTCAATATACCCATCAACACATTACTTGGTGATCATCCCGAGCTATTGACTCTAGAATTGAACGATTGTAAAATCTACAAGGCCAATTTTGATTCGACACCTACTAGTCAAAATGTGGACCCTAATGATTATACCAACAAGACTGTTTATTATCCACTAAAGACTGTCAGATTAATTAATGTGATGCTATACAACAAACCTTGTATGATGGGTGGTGCCCTTAGGTCTACTGAAAACTGGTTTTTTGCTCGAATGTACCTGAGATGTACTAGTTTAGAAAGCTGTACTATTAAGTTTTCTTTGGCATACGAAAGCTTGAACAATATGCCTGAAGATCATTACCTGTACAATGAAGCTTGGGTCAATCCAATCATCATTGATTTTCCAGTAAATACAGACCGACTCAAATATGTGAGCATTCAAGTGGCAGATCGCAATCACCTCGTACTCGTCAATCAAGACCATCAAAAATATCATTATGCTTTAGAGAAGATACCGTTTGAAGAAAGAAGCGAGTATAGATTATTGACGGATGCTCGAGAAATCTCAAACCGCGATATTCTATATATTCGTTGTAAGAATGTGAATCGTGTGTTTGACCTTGCTCCTTTTAAAGACCCTTTCACTTCTTATTATGATGATGATGATGATGAACTTGAAGAAGACGAAGACTATTATAATCGATACGGAGGTGCCAATTATTTTGAACGCATATTTGATAATGATGGAGGCTATTATTCAGGAGGATATGGGTTTCGTCGTTCAATGTATTTAAACTTTTTACCCTTCACTTATTCTGAATGATTATCTAAATAAAACGCATTTTAACCCCCCGAGCTCAGGTCGTGCATAAACCTATGGAAATAGTGTGCATGACTGCTTTCAAATTTGTGGCCATACACTGCGACTTTTTTCATGTAGAGTGTATATATATATATATGTGTATACACAGGTGTTGTTTTTTTTCCTTTGATATTCTTCTTCTCTCCCTATATTCTTTTTCTTTTTATTCTCTCTGCTTCTTTCTTTGATGGAGTCCTTTAATCACAAACAACAAGATAAAAATACTTCACCTTTATTGCTTCACTCGGCATCTCCTTCTTTGTCAACCGCCACAAAGCCAAAAAACCTTCCACTGACTCAAGATACAAATTATATAGGCATAACTATTAGCGACGAAGCACCCAACAGTAAACAATACACAAGGTATTATAATAAAAATAATACCTCTATTCCTCCTCCACTTCCTCCTTCTTTTATCAATACCAGCCTAGCCAACACCAATACCTCTTCTGACTATTATATGTCACCTTGTTCAGCAACAACTACCTCATCTTCCTTTAGAAACAGTCATGTCATTCTAGAAGAAGAGCCTTCTTCTCCTACAACATATATCATTCAACCACCCAAATCTGGTGCATTTCGTAAAATCAATAGTCAAGCAGATTTACCAATGGCACACCATCAAAGATTGAGAGAAGGCAAACGATATGGGGTAAGTTGAATAATTCAGAAATGTACATTTATTCATTCTTTTTATCATGTAGCCACTGTATATGCTTACGATCGAACTTAAATCAACATATTCTTCATGCAGTGATGGATTCAAATATAATGCAACTAGTAATCCACGCCGTGTGCTAACGAAACCAAGTAAAGCATGTAGAAATGATGGATATGACAATGAAGATTTTGACTACGTTTTATATGTTAACGATATACTTGGAAGCACAGAAGGCCACAAGTAAGTTGCATTTTTTAAGGAGATTAGTTATCAGGAGTTAAATGGTGTTGTAAGATATTTGATTCTTGATGTGCTTGGTGCTGGTACATTTGGTCAAGTTGTCAAGTGCAGAAACACAAAGACACAAGAAGTAGTGGCTATTAAAGTAGTAAAAAACAAGTTGGCTTATTTTAAACAGAGTATGATGGAAGTAGCCATACTTGAGATGGTAACAAGTCAAATGTGCTTATTGTACGTATTCTCATACTGTTATTGTTAGTTAAATCAACGATATGATGAGCATGATAAACATCATTTGCTTAGACTAAGAGACACGTTTATACACAAAAAGCATCTTTGTCTTGTATTTGAGTTACTCTCTGTCAATCTATACGAATTAATCAAACAAAACCATTTTCGTGGACTCTCAACCAATTTGGTGCGTGTGTTTACAGCGCAAATATTAGACGCTCTTACTGTATTGAATGAAGCAAGAATCATTCATTGTGATTTAAAGCCTGAAAACATCCTGCTGAAAAAGTAAGTAAACAAGGCTTTTTTCTAAGGAAAGGTGTTCATCTATATAGTTTGGAATCGCCTACACTTAAAGTGATTGATTTTGGATCAGCATGTCATGAAGTACAGACAATGTATACCTATATTCAGTCCAGATTCTATAGATCACCTGAAGTACTTATTGGGTTACCATACACAAGTGCTATTGATATGTGGTCCTTGGGGTGCATTGCAGCAGAGCTATTCTTGGGCTTACCATTGTTTCCCGGAAGTTCAGAATACAACCAGCTTTCTAGGATTATCGAAATGCTAGGGTAAATTTGTTTCTTGTTTTCAATGACTGACCATTGACACTTTTTGTATATCTAGAACCCCACCTAATTATATGATTGAAGTGGGTAAAAATGCACATCGTTACTTTGATCGAGATACATCCACAGGCGAAAAACGATATGAATTCAAATCCATGGAACAATATGCTCGCGAACAAGGCAAGTCAGAACAACCTTCTAAACGTTACTTTTCAGCAAAAACCTTGCCTGATCTCATCAATAATTATCCTATTATGCGAAAGATCCAAATGACACCTAAAGAGATTGAAAAAGAAAAACAGAATCGATTAGCATTTATAGATTTCCTACAGGGCCTGTTAAACTTAAATCCTATTGAACGATGGTCACCCCAACAAGCGAAAAAGCATCCTTTCATAACTGGAGAAAAATTTACAGCTCCCTTTCAACCACCTTTTATTCCTCGAAAACAACACCACTCAAACAATTTGCCTTCTTCGAATTATCAGCAACCATTGAATGATAATCAGCAACACTCACCTACTATGCTAACAACAGGTTATCGTAATAACACAAATGGGATGCCAACTCAAAGTTATTCTGATGTTTATTTATCGCCTGCATATTCGAGTCTGCCTAACCATTATGAGAATACAAGTCATTTTAATGGGCAGTTGAATAATACGAATAAGCGATCGTCCTATGTACCACCACTACCAAGTGTAATTGAGCCACCTCATCATTTATACCATCATAACAGTAATATACTCGATGTGAATCACACAAATGGTCTCTATATGCAACAGAGCAATAATCATGCCCATGGTGGTAATCGGCCACGCGCAAGCACATTAGGTACAATGGAAGTTCCGCCACAAATCCAATGGGCAGCCATGGATCAAGCAGATGGATCATTAGCTACTGAAGGATCTCTTTACAGTCCTTATTATCCTTATGGTCAACCTCCTCCTCAACAGCAACAACAAAAGCCTCCTTATGATCTCAGTCATGGTTATTCCGATCCCAACAAGAGCGAAAGTCTTTTATTGCCACGCTGGAATAATTCTCAACGCACAATTGATTTAGAACGCGATGGGGATTGGCAAGAAGAGCCTACAATGTTTTTGCCACTCACAAGTACAAAATCAACTCCTCATAATCGACAATCGCATAAGAGAAGCAACAGTAGTAATGTTCGATTTTCTGATATGTCAAATCATAATGGGACACGGGTATCCACTAGTTTGCATCGATTTATGCGTGGACATGCTGTCCCACACAGTCGACAAGATTTAGAATGGGATGGTGTAATCCATCAACACACAACGCATGGCCAAATCGATAACGAATTGGACAAATCAAACAATCAACAATGGAAAAAAGACCAACCAAAGGATTGGATGATTGCATAGACTCTTTTTTTTCTTTTTTTCTTTTTTGGTGTGTCAAAATCAATAAAGGTTTTGTTACAAACAAAAAATATATCTCCATTGCGCTTTTTTTGATTGATAATGCAGAATATCTCTGTTAATTTCGCATGCAAATGAATGCAATGAAGTGTCGCTTCCAAGTCAATTCCATCGAGAAATACGGTGTAATAGATACAAGGTATACACAATGCGCACTATAGCTCATAATGATGCATCATATGCACTGAAATCAGATTCAATCAACTGTAATTTGGTTCAAGGTGAGGAGAGTATCATGGTAAATTTTGAAACAGGCAACACCAACTACTGGGCAGACAATGCAGAAAAAAAAAGATGAAAGGTTGTGGAAACCATCGCATTCTATTACTAAAAGTAGTCATTTTTGCTCATTTTTAAGCAAATTCAACTAGCATTAACCTATAAAATATGTTGTTTAGCATTGATAACCATTAAGAAACACGTTGGAATAATTAGACCATGAAGACGATTTTGGGCCCATCTTACCTGGTAATACCTTTACGATTTTGCATCAAACATAAAATTACCTGTAACTCAATCCAAAGGCAGCTTTTTCTATGTCAATCCATAGTAAAAATGAAGTTGTTAGTATATAAAAACATATTAGATATGATAAATATGAGAACGACTTATGAAAAGTGTACACGGCGCGTGTAAGATTATACAAACTATTTAATGTATAAAGTCACCGATAGCTATAGTAATCAGTATACTCTTTGCATTTTTGAACTCTACTTACTAAAGCAGACTATTTTATTTAAGATGTCAAGTCAATCTGACCTGACCTTAACGCATTTCTCAATCATTTTTTGTTTCTTGACCAAAATACAGCCTAAGAGACTCTAAAACTTTCAAAATAAAGACACTGTAATGTTATTTTTAGATAGTCAATCTACTCTAACTGCATGATTAATCTATTGAAAGTCATCAAGTTTACAAAAAGTGCAAGATCGTTGCCTTCAAAGATCAGAGCTGTAGCATTTTGGTTTTAAAAGCGATCTACTTGCTCCAACTAGCAACGCACTATGTTCTGATCAAAGTTAGATAAGTATTAATGATATTGTATTTAGATACTCCATCTCAGATGCCTTGTTGATGCAAAACAAATCTCGATTTGGATCCGTATTGATCGAGAAGTCAGCAATTAAAGAGTTTTTATAAGCATAAAAGAAGTATACAATTGGCGACTCAAGTTTCTTGTTAATTCAGATTAAGAGTCATAGAAACAAGCATGGCATTGACTGATAACTTTTTTAGGTCACTATTCGATAGTACACGATAAAGCTTCAATCAGTTTTATGTTGATTGGGAAATTAGAGACCGAAGTGCTTTTTATATTGTAATACCTATGTACCAAATGTAAGAAAGACATCCAAAATGTTCAAAAGCTCGGTGTTTGAACAACACAATGGTATAGTTGGTTGACCAGACTGATTTTGATGGGTCTGCAACAGCTATTAAATAGAGTTGCTGCAAAAGCAACAATTGACAGTCAGTAGACAGACGATGGAAGTGGAAGGGAGAAGCATGTTAAAAGGTAAGAGTAGGGTCCTAAAACGTATTTGGTCTGCAGTATGCAAACCCCCTTTTTTTTTAATAAAAGGATAACTTAATTGCATAACACGCAGCCCTAGTATATAGTGTCTGAAGCAAACCAAAGATTGTTCAAAGGCAGTCTACTGAAGAGAATTTTAGTTGTTCTAGTCGTCAGATCATGTTCATTAGTGAGACAAAAGATTGGAGAAATAGCAATAAACAACAGAAGAAAATGCATCCTTTCGATCTTTTCTTCTCGTCTTCATCTTATATTTTTAGCTCTAAAATGAGAAAATGAGAGTACTTTTTGATTTTTTCATTCAAAAATTTTAAATCTGTTTAACTCTATAAATCTCTTTATTTTTTTTTTAATTCAATTTACTTTTTTGAAGTAAAAAAGCAAGTTCCTAAGACCCTTTTTTTATTCTTACGAAAATATTCGCTTTTTTTTTCGGCATAAATATCATAACTGTATTGAAAGGAAAGTTGGCTATTCATTAATCTCTTTTAAGAGGCTGTTTTGAGCACACGATCTATTCTGGCCCCTAGTTGCTTGGACCGGATCAACTCATAAAAAACGCATGTAGTAAACTAGAAAAAAGAAGCTCCTCAAGAGAAAAAGGGCAAAGAAGGGATTTTTGAATGTGTGTGTCTAATGATGTTTGTGGAAGTGACTCTGTAGTCAAATAACGTACTTGTGTAATGGCATAAATTTTGATAGATTTGTATTTAGAATTTGTTTATTGATTGACACACGACCTAATTTGACCTTTGGTTGCTTGAGTTCGATTAATTTATAGGAGTGAATATGTTGAACTGAAAAATTCTTAAACAAACAAAGGAATAGAAACGTATGAGGAGAGAGTATAGATCTGACGATTTGTTTGAGCATGTGTTTGTAGATAGAGAAGGAAAGGAGGTAGTCGATCAATTGTTGAAAAAAAAAAAATGGGATGTTTGAGGTAGCATATTTTGTATAGGCAACGTGGAATAACACGGAATAAATAGATCCCAAAGCTTTTGCAACAGACGCTTTCAGCCTAGCATGGAATCAATTTCGCCATCCTTGGATCAACCCGCCATGGAACTTAATCAACACGTGCTTAAAGAAAATAATCAAGGAAAAGGTGCCATTAGCAACGTTGGTAGTCCTACATTGGATCAGTGCACTATGATTTCCGGTACTTCAAGAATTGGCAGTACAAGCACCAATTCTTCTGGACACTCAGCATCTGACTTTCCTCAGCAAGAACACACCTTGGCCGTTGAAACCGGCCTGGAAGCCATCCGTTTGGCTCTTACCCACAACAAATTCGATAGCAAGCAACTATCGGGACTATCCACAGAAACAATAGATCAGCAATACAGTACAGCCATCAGTGCCAGTTGTATTTATCAGAAACCACAACAGCAGTTCATCTTTTGGACACAAAAACATCAAGTGTCTCCTTCGTCATTCACCGCTGCACAACTGGTCAATTTTTTGCAAGATATGAAAACAGAAAACAATTTTCAATTGTCAACACTTAAATTATGACGATCAGCAGTCCTGCAGTTACATCTACATGCGGTTTCAATTACACAGGATAAGGTTCCAAAGGTTTTCATGAATGCAGTTACCAAGCAAGTTAGACCTCTGACAATAAATCGTCAAACAAATGACTTGAGACCAAGTATACAGTTTGTATCCAAAATTGACATCAAGCATTGTTCATTAGTAAACTTGCAAATCAAGACAGCGTTTTTGGTAGCGATGGCAGCCTTTTTACGACCTTCTGATTTACAACGTATCTCTCTTCTGTCAGCAACTCATGACAATCATGGCAACCTAATATTCGATACTATGACACCTAAAGAAACTAGACAAGGCGAATGAATTATCAAACCAGTATTTATTCATCCTCACCAAGTTTCGGACATTTGTCCAGTGCTATCTTTTCAAGCTCGAAAAGATCATCCGGTAACTAAAGTCAAACGACAGCCTGGCGTCTTGTTTGTCAACACCAAGCGCCATCAACAAGCATTCAAAACTACTACCACCTCTTCTTGGCTAAGAAAGATACTACGACAGTCTACAAGCGAATCAAGAGCCAGTGTACGCTCAATTGCATCCTCTATTGCGTTAAAACAAGCAGTATCTCTTGACGATATACAAACCCTGGACAATTGGGTTGATTCAAAAACATTCCAACACCATTAGCGGTGGGAACAATTGTCTACAGTGGACTTTACAAATCAAATACTTGGGGCAGATTTGTCTATTGTTCAACTAGAAGAAGGTTCTGATGATAATGATGAAGAAGAAAAGCAAGAGTTTTTTATGCTACTGAAGGATATTGATGTTTCTTACTCTGGATCAGCAATTTATGTTTACTGTTCTATGTTCAAAGATCTCAATACATTCTGGAGAGAAATTTGTTTCGACCTTGAATATCAATTTTTAGCATTTTTTTTTTCATAATTTATCAATTTTTATCAATTTTTTCTAAATTTATCAGTTTCTATCATTTTTCTTCTTAATTTAATTTAAATTAAAGACAGCAAAGCGTAAACGATGGAAGAAATCTTTCATTGAATGCAGAAATTTTCCGCCAAAAATGGAAGAACTACGCAATCAGAAATGTAAATCTCTCGCTAAGTTTTCACTTAAATATGGAAGAAAAATGTAATCGGTTAGTCTGTGGTGAGAGAGTATTTTTCTTTTAGTTTAAAAATAATTGTTTTCTAGAAGTTTTTTTTCTGTTGACAAAAATACCATACTTGCACATTGGTATCAATTTTGTCAAATTATTGATTTCATGGAAAAGGTTCTTCTGAACACATGGTCTAATGTGGCCTTTGGCTGCTCGGACTTGATCAGTTGATAGGAATGGCTGTACTAAACTAAAAACACCTTAAGAGAACAAAAGCAAGAAGAGATAGAGAGAAGGATGTTGACCTAATGATGCGTCTGGGCGTGGTTTTGTAACCAGAGAAGAAATGAAAACATTTGTGTTGGATGTTGGAAGGAGTAGATTGTTTTTGATAGCATGTTACATAGAGGTGGTTTGGGATAAAAGCAAGTGTATACAGGTCCATTTTGTACTCCTATAAAATAAAGAACGGACAGTCTTGAGTATTTCTGTGAGGAAACAATTTACAAGTCTCTGAAAGACAAAGAGCTTGGTCAAGGACACTCTTGCATTCTCTAAAGCCACCTTGAGCAGTGTTTAAGGACGATACTTGGCCTTGGAGAAGCTCTTTGATGCATTTTTCGATTGTTTTTTCCGGAGATAGTAGTCAGACTAATTAGTCAGTAGCTGACTGGGTCAGTCGAGTTGTCCTTCTCATGAATTGGGACTATTTGTACAGCTCGTCAATAATGAAGCGTGTATGGTCAACACCAGCACAGATCAAAAATACGGAAAATTAGAGTACCACTATAATTCTCGATATGCTCACAGGAAGCAGAGGTAGAGCCATAAAAGATCGTAGTAATAGCCGTAGATGTCAGGAACTTCTCATGAATGCAAGAAAATACATATATATTTTCGAACTCCATTAGCATTTATACCGACTTACAAGTATGCCACTTATGTACTCAAAAAATAAAATATCTCTTAGCAAAAAAAATAAAAAAAAAAATAAAACCATTACTTTAAAATAAATCAAGAATATTTTCTGCAATGACAAAAAAATTAAAAGAGTAGAAAATTTTAATTTTCTGTTTCAAATTAATAAAAAAAATCAATTTTTCATTTTTTTGTTTTAAAATAAATAAATGAGTCTACCAACCAGTTATCTCTTCTTTAAACTAAAACAGTAAGATTATCATCCGGTAGACTCGTTTATTTATTTTAAAACAGAAAAATTGAAAAACAAGTTTTTTCTCTAATTTTAAGCAGGAAATATGAAACCTTCTACTTTTTTATTTTTTTGTCATTACAAAAAATATTTCTGTTTTGTTTTAGAGTAGTGGTTTTAATTCTAAAATAGCGGTTTTTATTGTTTTTAAAAAACATTTTTTTTGAGTACGCAAATGGTATACTTGCAATTTCGGTATAACTGCTAGTTGACCTGTGAACCTAGTTTAAAATAGAACAAAACAACTGTTGTGAGATGAAGAGAGAATAGATATAAAATAAGAGAAAAGGTAAGAACACAGAGAAAGTCCGCTAGGACTTGTATAGGGTTTTTATTTCAGAAAGAAAACATGATGATTTTCAATTGCTGTAAAATGTCGAGGTATTTATACTTTTTTTTCTCGGTCAAAATATTGTTTTGGGATTAGCTTCTTGACTACGGATTGATTTGTTAGATCAGGAGCAATTAAGAGAAATGCCTTTAGAGGAAGTTGTCAGCTCAGCCAATAGTATATGATGTGACTTGAACTTGAATAAACTATTACATATTTGTCAAATGCCAATGCTAATGTATTTGTCAGCTCTAACTGTCACTTTACGAGGGCCATTGATAATAAAAGAATCACTAGGTCAATAACCTCTGACTATGAGGATGATGTAGTACTTCTAGTAGAATGAGTGAATGTCAGTGACTATAGATCCATTGCAATTGCCATATGTGTGATCTGATCCTCTGCCATAATTATTATTTACTAATCTATGCACATGAACTCATAGATGTTCACAACAGCAACCATAGCAATCATACATCACAGCGTCAACAATTACATTCTTGTTCCATCAGTGAAAGATTTCTGCATTCAGTAGAAGATTTCTTCCATTGCTTCTGCTGTAATGCCTTTAGCTTTAAAGAAATTAAATATAAAAAGAAATTGCGATAAAAAGCAATATAAAAATAAAAATGTTGTCAAAACATTAACATAAATCTACATAAACTTGTATAAAATTTGCATATATTGTCAAAGAAAAGGGGCATAAGAAACTAACAAAGAATTTTTTCACAAGACTATTATGCTAAGGAGCAAATTAATTCCAAGAATCCAAAACACATACAGTTCTTCTATTATTCTGCTCATCTATGGTCATCCATGGTCATCCATGGTCATCCATGATCATCCATGTCTATTCTAATTCATCCATGATATTCTTTGCTATTCTACCAATGTCCAAATAAGAGCAATAATAATAATAATAATAATAATAATAATAATAATAATAATAATAATAATAATAATAATAATAATAATAATAATAATAATCAAAATCAAACAAAGAATACGGTTTATTGAGTCAACAATAGGCTCGTATCTTTAGATAATTGCTTGCATAAGGGTTCAGCATGCTCTGCAGAGATCCTTGTTCCATAAAGGAATCTTAGATAGTACAATTGATTCAGATAAATCACTAGCTACTGCTGTACAAGGATCTGCATTAGATGAACCAGCCAATCTCTAACCAGCTCAGTGTGATTGACAGGTTGATGCATAAGATTTTCTGTTTAATTTGAGACATTTTAACAATAAGACAATGACTGCATAATTAGATGTAAGATTGTAGCTTTTGAGGTGTATGTACCTTGACTATAGATAAAGCAAGCAATCAAATTAGAGCTGTGAACAGATGGTAACATGTAGTTATTTGTACCAGATTTAATGAGTTATGACGCTTTCATGAGCAAACGTTCTCTTTCTTTTTTTTAAGCATTGTCTTCAAATCAGCATTCAAAGTCTGTTGTACATTGTGAAGGATGTAAAAGAGGCCGTTTTCAGTTGACATCGATTAGCGAGCGAGTACTCATCATAGTACTAAACGATGTGCATAACATTGAAAAGTAAGTCAGACTATAGCATTTGACACTTTTCAAGTCAAGAAAAAAATACACGCAGTTTTTGATATAACCAATAATAAATGTCTGGTATTAGATACTCTCTGCTTTGAAGATTATTTCGTTTTCTTTTCTATCAAGGCTAAGTAAATGCAAATCGATTTCCTAATAATAGTTCTGTCGTGCCAGCACTAATCTGTATGATTTCAAACAAACATGTCAAAAACAACTTCATTCTCTATTGTGGTCCTATCATCATCAGTAGAGATATCGTAGCCCTTTGTTTCTCTTGCCTTACACAAATCTTTTGAAGCAGAACATTTGTTTGCATGCGCAAGATACTACTATTATCAGACAAGACAATGGTATAAAAGTATGGAGGACTTTACTTTTTTTATTTTATTTTATACATGTGTTTATTTCAAAAAATGAATGGCATCAGTCTTTAGTTTCGCTTCATAGAGAAGTTACTCACAGGAGTAGCCACGAGAAGGCAACTGACTCGTACTCCCTCACTTCCTTCACTGACACCTTCCAGGCCCGCGATACACTGGGAATGCCAGATCATTAAAGAAGGATCCCAGTAACTCCCAGCAACTACCCTTTTTCCCGCTGCAGACCAACGCCTATATACCCCGTACCTTACTCTCGAGGCAGTAAGATAAGAAAATAAATCATCGACTAATAACAGGCCAGCAACGATTAGCATTGAACACTGAAAGCCACGGAGAGAGCAACACCAGTAGACAAAACCAACCAAATAGAGAGAAAATCCTAGAGAAAGCAGAGATATCAGCAAACGCATCCTTGGAATAGATAAGGTACTTGCCAGAAAACGAATCAGAGACAGAGACAACAAGAAACAACTACACTAGCTTTCGCTAGTATAGCGTCTACCGCAACCACACCTACCCCATACCATTGTTAGACTACAGATAACTAGTATATCCTCAATACGTAGCTGCTTAAAACCAAATAGAAAGAACCAAGCAAAGAAAAACAAGCAAAGAAAACGTACCAAGTAAAGAGAAAACTTCAGAGAAAGTAGAGATGTCAGTAGACGCGTTCTTGAAGTAGATAAGGCACAAACCAAAAAGAGAGAGAGACCATAAGAGACCAGAGTAGAGAAAGTAAAGAAACAGAAAGAAAAGATAAAGAAATAAAAAAGAGTGCTGCGTGCCTTTTTATAAGTAATTTTTTTCTTTTCCTTTCCTTGCCTTTCCTTTCCTTGGTTCTTTGTTTTCTTTTGATAGAGATCATCTCATAGAGAGGAAGCCCAATCTTGTGTTACATCTAAACTTATTTAGTTGCATAAAACATGCGATGAACACCCTACTTGTCAGTTCTATAAACAGAAAAGCATCCCCTTTTGCTTATTTTCTTTCTCTTTTCTATGTGCTTATCCCTGTATTTCTATTGAGTAATTCATTATTCTTTGCCCTTGATGATAAGGGAAGTTTACTTGTCATATAAATCAATGCGGAATGTATTTCTTAATATAGGACTTTGAATTGTAACCATTCCCAGTTTCCTTTATTTTCTTTCCATGAGAAGATCATCCTGAAACAATAACAAACTTTCTTATTCATATGAAAATGTCAATAACCAAAAAGCAAAGAAAAGCTTAGCTGTCTAAAAAAGAAAGAAAGAAAAAGAAAGAAAGCTATTTTACACACAAACTGAAAGTATTGATTACTAGTGCCTAAAGATGAACTAACTATCGTCTTTTTTTTTTTATTTTTTTTATTTTTTTTATTTTTTTTTTTTTTTATTTTTTTTATTTTTTTTATTTTATTTACTTATTTATTATTTTTTACCTTGATCCGTGCACTATGCATACGTTTACCACATTTTAAATCCTTGGGACAGTTGCTTACTTTTCCCTGAAAATAGACCCTGAGAAATTCGTCGCTTTTTTTTTTTCACTACAAAACTCATACTGATTGCTTCTTTTTCTTTCTAAGTGAATAGATCATAGACTAGTTCTAGACGTTATCTTTAGCTATCAGTTTAGTGATGAAGAAAAGATGACATGATGTAAACATATGTTTTATTTGGTGACACAAACAAGTACAAAGCAGACACTACACTTCTTCAGGTCTAAAAACCAAAATAAACGATACAAGTAAAAAAGAGTGGTTGTCTTTGATACATATATATACTATGATACATTGTTAAAAGCATATAAAAGCATGCAATATCTATGGCTCTATATAAGCGGAAGACTAAACTATTAGTAAAAAGTGTTTTCTGAAAAAGAAATAATATTCTTTTCTCTCTTTCAAAAAGAGAAAGCACTTACATCACATTTCAACAGTATTTACCTTTTTTTCTTTGAAGACCAAACTGTTTTGTTTCGCAAATGCCATGAGAACGAGTAAGGTTATATAGAGACCACAAGTTGAAACTTTTTAACAATGCCTTTTTTTAGTACCAGAAGATTAATACAATATAGGTTACCACGCGGTTACATACCAGATACAGATCAAATTAGCAGAATAGTAGCCCAGGATCAGTTTATTATTGATCTGATCACCACTTCGCTTCTGAGAGTTCCTTCAGGCACTTATAAGGCTGGCGACAATATGTTTATCGATGGCATAGAGTGTGAAGCTCTCTATATACCTCATTCATCAGATCTTGTAGACTTACCTCCTGTAGTAGCAGAAATACAACACACAGTGACACGCGAGTTTATGTATTGAGCCGTCCAGTACTGTCTGAATGTGTACAAGCGTTTCCACATTTTACCAATTTTATTCATCGTCTGTACCTCGAAAACAAAGTCCAAAACTCTGAGAGACCTCTTCAAATCTGTCCAAAACAAGTCTACCTCTTAAAAACGCCTTGCTGCCACTTCGGACTAGTTGCTTCATGCTGACCAAACAGAGTATCGATCCTTTTATCGACAATCACGATACCAAGGAATTGGATTCTTTGGTTGTCTTTGTACATTCTTGACTTCTGGCCAGCAAAACATAATCAGTATTGACCGATGGGACGACCCAACCAATGCAAAACTGTACTTGTCACAATGGAAATGGTCAAAAATGACAGAAAAACAGAGAATGATAAAGTCGAAGCGTTACAAACGATTTGTCAACAACACAAAATCAATTTGAGAAAATAATGACGACCGTTTTCGACAACCCCAGCCGAGCGCATCAATACGCAGAAGCAGGACGGCACTATAACGCAAGTCTTGAAGTACGACACAATGAAGCAAGAATTAAACAATACACCTCCAGAAGCAACAACATCAATGTAGCTTCCTAAAGACTTTGACGGCGCTTCTAGTTCTATAAATTCCAAATACAAAGATTTGATTGCATTCATCGATGCTTGGGAGCAGAATAACAAAGGTCGAATGAATTGGTCTGCCTGTTGGAAGATGGAAAGAAAAAAGGTCTGTTCAATGAGTACTCAAACACCCATAGCTTGAAGAATATATACCACAGAGCAAAAAATGATACCTAATCACCATTAGCACCGTTTATATGACAAATTAGTAATTAATAAAAAATTATCATCAGGATTATCCCAATGTTTTATCGTAAGAAAAAATACAGTTTTCTCATATCCAAACTTTTTTTTTGTGTGTTAATGACGATGTTGACGATGTTGCAATCTGCATTTACTTTATCCTCTAAAGCTATGAGCTAAAGATATTTCTCTTCATCTACATACTAGTTTGAATGAATTCATCAACCGTTGACAAACGTAATGCAACAGGAATTTTGGAGTAAGAAAGCATTTACAATTAAAAATGATTTTGTCTAATAAAAAAGGAAATTCTCTGAAATTAAGTTTGTCATGGACATTTATTTAAAAGAAATACACCAGCTCTAGTTAGATAATTCCAACAATTGTTTTTACCAAAGTAGACAAAAACGATGACATTTGTTTTCGAGAAAACGCCAAATTCCATAAGTTTGACTATATCGTACACACAAAAATGTTTGGGTCAGAAATTGAACAAAATTGGCTTTCAGTTGAAAAAGTGGTCGAGGGTAGTAAAGCCGTCGTTTGTCAGAGATACTTAAGACTTTTACTACAGCTATACATAGCGAGAAGTGCCTCCATAGTGTTATAAAGTACTGTGAAAGTATCAATTTTGCAATACGTATATAAAAAGTGTACACTATCGTCCAAAAGTGAGAATACATTTTCCATCTTTTTCTCATCTTTTTCATGGCAACTTTATTGCACTTTTTACACCATTAAATACGTTTCATAGTTATTCCTTATAAACTCTGACACTTTTAACCAAATTATGACTTTTGCTACCCAGGACAAACAGAAACAGAGAAGAAAACGTTGGTGTTTGAAATATCCAGCCCTTCTCCTACAATACATTTGATTCTTATCATGTCCAAAGATGCTCTCTTTGGACTCGAGAGTTTTCAAGGTTATAATCTTCTACTTGTAAATACCTAAGCCATTGCTTAGAGGACATCTGTTACAAATGCCTGTCATTCTAGAGCCGAGATTTAACAGTTTCTCTCTTTTGATCTTGCTTTTACATACAACCCTTCAATAGAACTGCTAGTACACATTTAAGAAGAGTTATACACGGACAGCCCCTAAGCCAAAAAAAAAATGAGGATCATTGTTTCTTTTTATGGCAAATACTTGCTTATGATCAATAAATAACGTTGCAGTAATGATTAGCTACAGAATTTAGGGCTGCTGATTTAATGATAGTCAATAAGCCTGTTTTTTGTAACATACAGCAAGTGAAGGACAGAGAAAAAAGAAAAAGAAAAGACACGTTATCAATTATTTTAAATACTAGTGTATATACTTTATTGAATAAAAAGATAAAAAAGAAACTGGTACTCTAGCCAAATACTGTAAGTATTTGTTTCCAGGAACTAGGACGAGAACATTCGATTTCTATAAAGACAAAGCAAGTGCTTCCACGTTTTGTCTTTCGTATTTTGAATAACTTTCGATGTTATTAACAACTTTGTTGATTTGCGTAATGTTAGAGGGTCGATTTACTCACATTTATGCAAAAGCTTACGCTTTTATATGCTTATTAACAATGTATCATAGTATATATATGTATCAAAGACAACCACTCTTTTTTACTTGTATCGTTTATTTTGGTTTTTAGACCTGAAGGAAGTGTAGTGTCTGCTTTGTACTTGTTTGTGTCACCAAAATAAAACATATGTTTACATCATGTCATCTTTTCTTCATCACTAAACTGATAGCTAAAGATAACGTCTAGAACTAGTCTATGATCTATTCACTTAGAAAGAAAAAGAAGCAATCAGTATGAGTTTTGTAGTGAAAAAAAAAAAGCGACGAATTTCTCAGGGTCTATTTTCAGGGAAAAGTAAGCAACTGTCCCAAGGATTTAAAATGTGGTAAACGTATGCATAGTGCACGGATCAAGGTAAAAAAATAAAATAAAATAAAGTAAAATAAAATAAAAAAAATAAAAAAAAATAAAAAAAATAAAAAAAAATAAAAAAAATAAAAAAAAAAAGACGATAGTTAGTTCATCTTTAGGCACTAGTAATCAATACTTTCAGTTTGTGTGTAAAATAGCTTTCTTTCTTTTTCTTTCTTTCTTTTTTAGACAGCTAAGCTTTTCTTTGCTTTTTTGGTTATTGACATTTTCATATGAATAAGAAAGTTTGTTATTGTTTCAGGATGATCTTCTCATGGAAAGAAAAATAAAGGAAACTGGGAATGGTTACAATTCAAAGTCCTATATTAAGAAATACATTCCGCATTGATTTATATGACAAGTAAACTTCCCTTATCATCAAGGGCAAAGAATAATGAATTACTCAATAGAAATACAGGGGATAAGCACATAGAAAAAGAGAAAGAAAATAAGCAAAAGGGGATGCTTTTCTGTTTATAGAACTGACAAGTAGGGTGTTCATCGCATGTTTTATGCAACTAAATAAGTTTAGATGTAACACAAGATTGGGCTTCCTCTCTATGAGATGATCTCTATCAAAAGAAAACAAAGAACCAAGGAAAGGAAAGGCAAGGAAAGGAAAAGAAAAAAATTACTTATAAAAAGGCACGCAGCACTCTTTTTTATTTCTTTATCTTTTCTTTCTGTTTCTTTACTTTCTCTACTCTGGTCTCTTATGGTCTCTCTCTCTTTTTGGTTTGTGCCTTATCTACTTCAAGAACGCGTCTACTGACATCTCTACTTTCTCTGAAGTTTTCTCTTTACTTGGTACGTTTTCTTTGCTTGTTTTTCTTTGCTTGGTTCTTTCTATTTGGTTTTAAGCAGCTACGTATTGAGGATATACTAGTTATCTGTAGTCTAACAATGGTATGGGGTAGGTGTGGTTGCGGTAGACGCTATACTAGCGAAAGCTAGTGTAGTTGTTTCTTGTTGTCTCTGTCTCTGATTCGTTTTCTGGCAAGTACCTTATCTATTCCAAGGATGCGTTTGCTGATATCTCTGCTTTCTCTAGGATTTTCTCTCTATTTGGTTGGTTTTGTCTACTGGTGTTGCTCTCTCCGTGGCTTTCAGTGTTCAATGCTAATCGTTGCTGGCCTGTTATTAGTCGATGATTTATTTTCTTATCTTACTGCCTCGAGAGTAAGGTACGGGGTATATAGGCGTTGGTCTGCAGCGGGAAAAAGGGTAGTTGCTGGGAGTTACTGGGATCCTTCTTTAATGATCTGGCATTCCCCAGTGTATCGCGGGCCTGGGAAGGTGTCAGTGAAGGAAGTGAGGGAGTACGAGTCAGTTGCCTTCTCGTGGCTACTCCTGTGAGTAACTTCTCTATGAAGCGAAACTAAAGACTGATGCCATTCATTTTTTGAAATAAACACATGTATAAAATAAAATAAAAAAAGTAAAGTCCTCCATACTTTTATACCATTGTCTTGTCTGATAATAGTAGTATCTTGCGCATGCAAACAAATGTTCTGCTTCAAAAGATTTGTGTAAGGCAAGAGAAACAAAGGGCTACGATATCTCTACTGATGATGATAGGACCACAATAGAGAATGAAGTTGTTTTTGACATGTTTGTTTGAAATCATACAGATTAGTGCTGGCACGACAGAACTATTATTAGGAAATCGATTTGCATTTACTTAGCCTTGATAGAAAAGAAAACGAAATAATCTTCAAAGCAGAGAGTATCTAATACCAGACATTTATTATTGGTTATATCAAAAACTGCGTGTATTTTTTTCTTGACTTGAAAAGTGTCAAATGCTATAGTCTGACTTACTTTTCAATGTTATGCACATCGTTTAGTACTATGATGAGTACTCGCTCGCTAATCGATGTCAACTGAAAACGGCCTCTTTTACATCCTTCACAATGTACAACAGACTTTGAATGCTGATTTGAAGACAATGCTTAAAAAAAAAGAAAGAGAACGTTTGCTCATGAAAGCGTCATAACTCATTAAATCTGGTACAAATAACTACATGTTACCATCTGTTCACAGCTCTAATTTGATTGCTTGCTTTATCTATAGTCAAGGTACATACACCTCAAAAGCTACAATCTTACATCTAATTATGCAGTCATTGTCTTATTGTTAAAATGTCTCAAATTAAACAGAAAATCTTATGCATCAACCTGTCAATCACACTGAGCTGGTTAGAGATTGGCTGGTTCATCTAATGCAGATCCTTGTACAGCAGTAGCTAGTGATTTATCTGAATCAATTGTACTATCTAAGATTCCTTTATGGAACAAGGATCTCTGCAGAGCATGCTGAACCCTTATGCAAGCAATTATCTAAAGATACGAGCCTATTGTTGACTCAATAAACCGTATTCTTTGTTTGATTTTGATTATTATTATTATTATTATTATTATTATTATTATTATTATTATTATTATTATTATTATTATTATTATTATTATTATTATTATTGCTCTTATTTGGACATTGGTAGAATAGCAAAGAATATCATGGATGAATTAGAATAGACATGGATGATCATGGATGACCATGGATGACCATGGATGACCATAGATGAGCAGAATAATAGAAGAACTGTATGTGTTTTGGATTCTTGGAATTAATTTGCTCCTTAGCATAATAGTCTTGTGAAAAAATTCTTTGTTAGTTTCTTATGCCCCTTTTCTTTGACAATATATGCAAATTTTATACAAGTTTATGTAGATTTATGTTAATGTTTTGACAACATTTTTATTTTTATATTGCTTTTTATCGCAATTTCTTTTTATATTTAATTTCTTTAAAGCTAAAGGCATTACAGCAGAAGCAATGGAAGAAATCTTCTACTGAATGCAGAAATCTTTCACTGATGGAACAAGAATGTAATTGTTGACGCTGTGATGTATGATTGCTATGGTTGCTGTTGTGAACATCTATGAGTTCATGTGCATAGATTAGTAAATAATAATTATGGCAGAGGATCAGATCACACATATGGCAATTGCAATGGATCTATAGTCACTGACATTCACTCATTCTACTAGAAGTACTACATCATCCTCATAGTCAGAGGTTATTGACCTAGTGATTCTTTTATTATCAATGGCCCTCGTAAAGTGACAGTTAGAGCTGACAAATACATTAGCATTGGCATTTGACAAATATGTAATAGTTTATTCAAGTTCAAGTCACATCATATACTATTGGCTGAGCTGACAACTTCCTCTAAAGGCATTTCTCTTAATTGCTCCTGATCTAACAAATCAATCCGTAGTCAAGAAGCTAATCCCAAAACAATATTTTGACCGAGAAAAAAAAGTATAAATACCTCGACATTTTACAGCAATTGAAAATCATCATGTTTTCTTTCTGAAATAAAAACCCTATACAAGTCCTAGCGGACTTTCTCTGTGTTCTTACCTTTTCTCTTATTTTATATCTATTCTCTCTTCATCTCACAACAGTTGTTTTGTTCTATTTTAAACTAGGTTCACAGGTCAACTAGCAGTTATACCGAAATTGCAAGTATACCATTTGCGTACTCAAAAAAAATGTTTTTTAAAAACAATAAAAACCGCTATTTTAGAATTAAAACCACTACTCTAAAACAAAACAGAAATATTTTTTGTAATGACAAAAAAATAAAAAAGTAGAAGGTTTCATATTTCCTGCTTAAAATTAGAGAAAAAACTTGTTTTTCAATTTTTCTGTTTTAAAATAAATAAACGAGTCTACCGGATGATAATCTTACTGTTTTAGTTTAAAGAAGAGATAACTGGTTGGTAGACTCATTTATTTATTTTAAAACAAAAAAATGAAAAATTGATTTTTTTTATTAATTTGAAACAGAAAATTAAAATTTTCTACTCTTTTAATTTTTTTGTCATTGCAGAAAATATTCTTGATTTATTTTAAAGTAATGGTTTTATTTTTTTTTTATTTTTTTTGCTAAGAGATATTTTATTTTTTGAGTACATAAGTGGCATACTTGTAAGTCGGTATAAATGCTAATGGAGTTCGAAAATATATATGTATTTTCTTGCATTCATGAGAAGTTCCTGACATCTACGGCTATTACTACGATCTTTTATGGCTCTACCTCTGCTTCCTGTGAGCATATCGAGAATTATAGTGGTACTCTAATTTTCCGTATTTTTGATCTGTGCTGGTGTTGACCATACACGCTTCATTATTGACGAGCTGTACAAATAGTCCCAATTCATGAGAAGGACAACTCGACTGACCCAGTCAGCTACTGACTAATTAGTCTGACTACTATCTCCGGAAAAAACAATCGAAAAATGCATCAAAGAGCTTCTCCAAGGCCAAGTATCGTCCTTAAACACTGCTCAAGGTGGCTTTAGAGAATGCAAGAGTGTCCTTGACCAAGCTCTTTGTCTTTCAGAGACTTGTAAATTGTTTCCTCACAGAAATACTCAAGACTGTCCGTTCTTTATTTTATAGGAGTACAAAATGGACCTGTATACACTTGCTTTTATCCCAAACCACCTCTATGTAACATGCTATCAAAAACAATCTACTCCTTCCAACATCCAACACAAATGTTTTCATTTCTTCTCTGGTTACAAAACCACGCCCAGACGCATCATTAGGTCAACATCCTTCTCTCTATCTCTTCTTGCTTTTGTTCTCTTAAGGTGTTTTTAGTTTAGTACAGCCATTCCTATCAACTGATCAAGTCCGAGCAGCCAAAGGCCACATTAGACCATGTGTTCAGAAGAACCTTTTCCATGAAATCAATAATTTGACAAAATTGATACCAATGTGCAAGTATGGTATTTTTGTCAACAGAAAAAAAACTTCTAGAAAACAATTATTTTTAAACTAAAAGAAAAATACTCTCTCACCACAGACTAACCGATTACATTTTTCTTCCATATTTAAGTGAAAACTTAGCGAGAGATTTACATTTCTGATTGCGTAGTTCTTCCATTTTTGGCGGAAAATTTCTGCATTCAATGAAAGATTTCTTCCATCGTTTACGCTTTGCTGTCTTTAATTTAAATTAAATTAAGAAGAAAAATGATAGAAACTGATAAATTTAGAAAAAATTGATAAAAATTGATAAATTATGAAAAAAAAAATGCTAAAAATTGATATTCAAGGTCGAAACAAATTTCTCTCCAGAATGTATTGAGATCTTTGAACATAGAACAGTAAACATAAATTGCTGATCCAGAGTAAGAAACATCAATATCCTTCAGTAGCATAAAAAACTCTTGCTTTTCTTCTTCATCATTATCATCAGAACCTTCTTCTAGTTGAACAATAGACAAATCTGCCCCAAGTATTTGATTTGTAAAGTCCACTGTAGACAATTGTTCCCACCGCTAATGGTGTTGGAATGTTTTTGAATCAACCCAATTGTCCAGGGTTTGTATATCGTCAAGAGATACTGCTTGTTTTAACGCAATAGAGGATGCAATTGAGCGTACACTGGCTCTTGATTCGCTTGTAGACTGTCGTAGTATCTTTCTTAGCCAAGAAGAGGTGGTAGTAGTTTTGAATGCTTGTTGATGGCGCTTGGTGTTGACAAACAAGACGCCAGGCTGTCGTTTGACTTTAGTTACCGGATGATCTTTTCGAGCTTGAAAAGATAGCACTGGACAAATGTCCGAAACTTGGTGAGGATGAATAAATACTGGTTTGATAATTCATTCGCCTTGTCTAGTTTCTTTAGGTGTCATAGTATCGAATATTAGGTTGCCATGATTGTCATGAGTTGCTGACAGAAGAGAGATACGTTGTAAATCAGAAGGTCGTAAAAAGGCTGCCATCGCTACCAAAAACGCTGTCTTGATTTGCAAGTTTACTAATGAACAATGCTTGATGTCAATTTTGGATACAAACTGTATACTTGGTCTCAAGTCATTTGTTTGACGATTTATTGTCAGAGGTCTAACTTGCTTGGTAACTGCATTCATGAAAACCTTTGGAACCTTATCCTGTGTAATTGAAACCGCATGTAGATGTAACTGCAGGACTGCTGATCGTCATAATTTAAGTGTTGACAATTGAAAATTGTTTTCTGTTTTCATATCTTGCAAAAAATTGACCAGTTGTGCAGCGGTGAATGACGAAGGAGACACTTGATGTTTTTGTGTCCAAAAGATGAACTGCTGTTGTGGTTTCTGATAAATACAACTGGCACTGATGGCTGTACTGTATTGCTGATCTATTGTTTCTGTGGATAGTCCCGATAGTTGCTTGCTATCGAATTTGTTGTGGGTAAGAGCCAAACGGATGGCTTCCAGGCCGGTTTCAACGGCCAAGGTGTGTTCTTGCTGAGGAAAGTCAGATGCTGAGTGTCCAGAAGAATTGGTGCTTGTACTGCCAATTCTTGAAGTACCGGAAATCATAGTGCACTGATCCAATGTAGGACTACCAACGTTGCTAATGGCACCTTTTCCTTGATTATTTTCTTTAAGCACGTGTTGATTAAGTTCCATGGCGGGTTGATCCAAGGATGGCGAAATTGATTCCATGCTAGGCTGAAAGCGTCTGTTGCAAAAGCTTTGGGATCTATTTATTCCGTGTTATTCCACGTTGCCTATACAAAATATGCTACCTCAAACATCCCATTTTTTTTTTTTCAACAATTGATCGACTACCTCCTTTCCTTCTCTATCTACAAACACATGCTCAAACAAATCGTCAGATCTATACTCTCTCCTCATACGTTTCTATTCCTTTGTTTGTTTAAGAATTTTTCAGTTCAACATATTCACTCCTATAAATTAATCGAACTCAAGCAACCAAAGGTCAAATTAGGTCGTGTGTCAATCAATAAACAAATTCTAAATACAAATCTATCAAAATTTATGCCATTACACAAGTACGCTAATTAACCCAAATGAGCTTGTATATTTGAGGTGGTTGTTTAGCTTCATTAAGCTATACAAAAGACAGCGCAAATTTTGAAACAAAGCTATTTTATTTATGTACTATGCGAGTGCGTCATTAGAAGAATAAACTACTAAGCAAGATTATATAAATTTATATATATATATATAAAGACGTAGATTTTTACAAGGGGTCCTTCCATAGCTCGGTACTGTAGACAAAAGTTTCAACTATAACATTACTTTTGTACTGTAACAGTTGTATCTATATTAAGCAATAAACTGGGTCTAGTTATTTGATTTAGCTACGGCTGACAACACTACTAAATTCAGGCACAACTTTAGATGAATGGCTATTTTTAAACATGATCAATGATGTTTATTTTGACACTGCTTCTAAAAAGTTACTTGGCACAAGCCCTGTTCGAATCACTTTTTGATTTCTGCGGTTCAACAAGCTTGCTTCCCACCAGCCCTGTTCTTCTTCTTTGTTTTTGGAAATAATACCGAGCAAATCACCTTCTTTAAAAGCAATTTCACCTTCGTCCGCAACATCATAGTCATAAAGAGCAATAGCTAAATTTAGTGTATCAGTCAGATATACACATATACAAAATAAGCTTACCAAAATCAATGAATTGACCAGAATTTGCTGTGTTGCTTGATTTGACAGAATTATCAGGGCTCTTTGCATTCACATTATAAAAGTCTTGAACAAAGCTATCTCTGCGAAAAGAAGGCTTTTCACTAGTGTCTTTCAAAAGCATGCGTTCTCGAATTGTTTGTGCTGATGGCTGTTGAAAACTTGGACTCTCAGCAAAACTGCTTCGTTTGCTGCTACCATCAGTTCCTGTCTCTTTCGAAGAAAGAGAATTAAATGGATCATAAAAATCGTTCGTAGTACTTCTCACAGATCCATAAGGAGAATGGGTTGTTTCAACAGTACTCATACGACGTGTTGATAGGTTGTCATAGGGCTGTCTTTGTTGAAAGTATTGAGATGAAATATTACTTCTTCTTTGTTGTTGCTTTTGTAGTAAACTAGGAGAGGAAATAGAAGCAGTGGGTCGAATATCAGGTTGTCGAGTATTTTCTTCTTCTGTACGACTGATACGTTTAGCATCAAGCTTTCTCAACATATCATCTAACTCAAACGCTGCTGCTTCAGAAGGGGAAGTCACATCATATTCATCGCCCATCAAATACTGATCATTTGCATTGGGCTGGCTGAATCTGTCAAGTGAGGTAGGAGTTGAATTCATGTATTTACTAGCATATTGCTCTAAACGGCTTGGTGTATTAGTAGCTGGATCTGTCTTGATAGAAAGTGGTGCATTGGCATTTTGAATAAATGAAACTCTTCTGTTAGTTTCGAAGCTATGCTTTGTTAATAAAGAAGGAGGGGAATCGTCGTTCTGGACTTGCTGTAAACGAGAGGATTGATCTTCTTTTTTTTCTACAGAATCACTCTTTTCAAGACGAGTTTCTTTGTCAACAGACTTTTCCTTAATTTTGATTTCTTCTACTTCGCTTGAGATCTTTTTGTCTGCGACTTCTTGTCTTGTTTTTTCGTGATCACCTTCATTTTCTGGCTCAGATTCTGTCTCTGTGATATATTCATATTCTTCTTCATCCTCTTCTTCATCTGATGGATACACTTCCATTACACCCACCATCAAGACTGGTTCTTTAGTAGGAGTCTCAGCCACATGCTCTGCGGTAATCTGTTTATCTACACCTTTTAGATCACTTTCAGCATCTGATCTTGCAACAATAGCAGAAGGTTTCTTTGGACTATCGACTGTACCAGACACAGTCGAGGATCTCTTTCGTTGAACAGGGACATGAGACCTATCTTCGGATTCACTTTGTTCGTCGTTATCCATTGTATCTTTGAAAGCACTGGACGAATGCTTTGAGTCTTTTTCTTGGTTGGCTTCATAGTATGCATGTATCTTAATGTATTCCATGGGATCTACATAAAGGCTTTAGTATATGAATCAAGACGAATAATTTATGCTTACTTGGAATCACTGTGCTGGACTTGTTCTCCTTGACAAATTCCGTCAAGTCTTCTTGGATATTGATATTCAAAGCTTCGGAGTTGATACGTTCACAAGCTTGGACTTCATTTTCAAGATTGCCTAGCATTAGATTTGCACAGTTGGATAAGTTTGATTTGAAGAATTCTAATCTTTCTTGCTCCAGCTTTTCAAAGCTCTATGCAAACATATATTCAGCATCCTTTTCTGTCATTTCAAAATGATGGCATTACCTCGCATGTCTTTTTCCATTCTGTATTCCATTCATCTATCACCTTTTTAAGGTCCTTCAATCCTTCATCATATACCTTTTTCAACTTGTCAATAGTCACTTCTGCTGCTTTAAATGTCGCCATTTTATCTTTTTCGTTTGTTTGTTGTTGAACCAGTAAATTGGCTTTTTCGATTTCAAGGTTATGACGCTTATGAGCCTATGAATCAATCAATATCTTATGATTTTCTTTCAGTATGTTTAACTTACTCTACGTACAAAATGAACTTGAAGTTGTCTGTTGTTGTATAATTTTTGAATGGAAGTTTGAAGCTGTGAATTTTATTGAGAAGTAAGTAAAATACCTTTAAACCATCTTTGTTACTTACCTCTTTCCTTAAGGATTTTTGTCGATTGAGTAGCTTGGTTAGAGGCAAATTGATATTTTCGCGCAAAAGATTTGACAGGTGTAAATGAGATTCAGCAATCGATATAAACTCCTTCTGCATAGCATTCATAGCAGATCGACTAGAACCATTCTCTACACTGGATGGCTTTTGCTTTTGAGCAATTTGTAACAGTGTTTTACCATACTCTTCTTCCAGCAATGCTCTTTTTTTGTATATATACATATCAGTATAACCTCCCTTTTTTTTCTTTGAACTCTTACATACCTTGCTTCATAAGCATGTTTGAATCGCTCACAAGTTTGTTTAGCACCTCGCATTCTCTCCATCAAGATAGTAATACCATTTTTATCAATACTTTCCTGTCATAAAGATGTAAACGATTATCTTTTTTATTTACAATCCAGGTCTTACCCAAAAACTATCTGAGAAACTCATTGTTGTAGTCATTTTAGAAAGGATAAAATACGTAATTAGAGTGTATATATATATAAATAAGAAAGAAAGAAACAAGAAAGAGTAAACTGAAGAAAAAAATATATAGCCTTTTTCTCTTTGCAAGTCGTTTGTTTACATCCGGATTTCCAAATTGAGATATAAGTGCTTTGATCTTTCCCCTTTTGGTGTTTCATGAGGAATTGAAGCTGCGGGGCTTTTTAAGCATGATGGCTATAAACAACTTGACTTATCCAGCGCATTTTCTTTTCCTAGGGATCAGAGATTTTGTTGGATGCATCACGGCAAAATAGAAATAGTTTTTTTTAACAATGAATCTATTGTTTCAAGAAAAATTATGCAAACGACAGCTTTTACAGTAATTTTACATTAAATTTAGAAGATCTTCCAACCAATACTTAGTGATAACAACTTACTCGTCTAGTATTTAAATGCTTGCGAAATGCAAATAGTAGCTTTCACTAATATATGACCTGCTTTGGGGAAGAAAAATGAACATGGTCAAAAGGTTAAAAACCAAACATTGAACGGAGTATCAAACACGATTAAAACGCGATCCAAAGCGCGTCTGATTTTTAGCTACCCTTTTTTTTTCTCTCTCTCTCTTTCATATCAAAACAAAACATGGACAAGCCTACACCTCGTATCAACTCTGCCTTGAGAGAAAAATATGTCGGCAAAGTAGTTCGTCTTGTCGGCAAACTCCATTCTGTAAGTAACTGTTTAAAAGCATCGTCTCCTAATCTGTCATTAGCTTTCTGGCAATACCGCAGTATTAACTGCTGCTGATCATGGACAAGTCATGGTTAAATTAAACGGTGTATGTTTGTTTATAATAAAAGTTTTTTTTTTTACTCATGTATCTATATTTATAGGAAAGTCAATGGGGCACTGATTATGTTGAAGTTATTGGTCAAATTGAATCTGACTATACCTTGAGAGAATTCAAGACAAATAACCTTGGAAATTCATTTGGTAAGTATACATCTAAACAGCCATAGCTAAATGTTTATATGTAGATCTTGACTTGGCAAATAAGGTGATTGAATACGCTCAAAAACTTCCAGACATGTTTGAATAAATGTATATATTTGTATTGGTATAAACACAAGCAATTTGTATGGCTTTATTATAGTAAATGAGAAAAAGGATGCAAATAATAAATAAAAAAAAAATGCGCATATATACACAATGGTCTAGTTCTCTTGACCTAGTTGTTCGGCTAATTCTCTTCCTCTGTTTTGTGCAGAAAAGACGGCTTCAGTCATGACTTTACGAATATCATTGGATTCCATAGAGTTAATGGCAGCTTCAGTAGTACCTTTTGGAGAAGTTACTTTGCGACGCAGAGTAGCCAGATCGTCTTCAGAAGATTGTGCCATACGAGCAGCACCAATACATGTTTGAAGTGTTAATGCCTTTGCTTCTTCAGCGGTTAAACCAGCTTCTATGCCGGCATTTTCTACACATAAAAAGAAATAAGCTACCTTTCATCACAAACAGACAACTTACGCATGGCTTCCATAATCAAAAAGAAATAAGCAGGACCACTACCACTTATGCCTGTAACAGTATCAATCAAGGATTCATCCTGTACCCAAGATACTTGTTTAGCAACTGCTTTCATGATATCTTCAGTCAATTGTCTCTGTTTATCATTCACATGATCTGTAGCAAATAAGCCAACTGCACCTTCTCCTATTAAAGCGGGTGTGTTGGGCATACAGCGAACAATAGAAGCACTACTTGAGATACGAAGCCATTTATAGATATCCTTTGTAGTAATACCAGCAGCAATTGAGACAATCAATGTATCAGGACGTTTTGAGATCAATGGGCCTAATTCAGACACAACAGAACGGAGGATTTGGGGCTTCACAGCCAGAATAATCACATCAGCATCTTGTACGGTGTCTATATTATCACTGGATCCAATCATATCAGGATACTTGCTTTGCATATATTGACGACGTTCATCAAAGGGTTCAGAATAACGAAGAAGAGAACTTGGATGTCCACTTGACTGAAGACCACACAAGATAGCTTCAGCCATGTTACCACCACCAATAAAAGAAATAGCAGGTTTGGCTGTTTGTTTAATATTTGCAGAAACCATATGGGAAGCAATGGTTTGTATTCTTGAAGTAAAAGACATGTAAATTCATGTTTTTATTTTTTGTGTTATTTTATGCAATATATGTATAGCTATGACGACATTTCTATTCTTCTTCATCTTCTTCTTCTTCGTCTAATAGCTTGGGTATTTCATACAGATCATTTTCTGATAAGGCGCCATTTCTATGGTTTTTACCAAAAAGGTTAGATTCTGAATCCAAATTTATCATGACGTACCTGAGCAAAACGTCTTCAATAGCATCCACATCAAATCGGGACCCTACTTGGTCAATGATTCTTACCAAATTGGCTATTAATAAGCCACCCTGATAAGCCAAAATAGTGGGTGATCCAACAAGATCAAAATCCAGGTCTTCTGCAGACACACGAATAAATTTGGCCAAGGTATATTTCTGGCATAACTGTCTTAGGTGATCATCCAATTGCTTGCAGGTATGAAGTCTTTCATCAAAAATATGAACAATCACGGGTACTGTCTTCCATTCATTATCGATCTCATGAGCATAGTTATCACCATCAATTGTGGCCACAAAACCAAACATCTTGTGTTGTTTACGAACAGCATGATTTCCTTGCTTGAGTTCCCTTAATCGTTTTTCTCGGTATTGTCTTATGACTGCTTCATCCTCGTCTTCTTCTAATTGAGGGTTGCTCTCTAATATCAGTAATTCTTCTTGATCTTCAGCATATGTTGTGGTTGTGGGGGCTTTGGCTAAGATACGTGCATTGTATTCTGCACGTGCTTTTGCTGCAGAAGCTAGCTTTATTTGTTGGTGATAATCATAATCTGCCTTGACTCCTTTTGGTCCAGTCTGGGGTCCTGACTGTCTTGTGGAGTGAGACTAAATAATAAAGTTAAACTTTTTTTATGTGTGTATGTGAAAATTAGAGAAAAAAGGGACTTACTATAGGCTCATCTGAAAACTCTTGGTCATCTTCAGAATCAGTTTCTGGTTCAATACGATTCTTGTCGTTGTCTTCAAGAGACGCATTTTGTATTTGCGCCCAAAGTGCGTCTTCCATATTTATTAATTATTTTTTTAAAAAGAGGCGGAAAGAAGAGAAAAAAAAATAGGAGACTAAAGCTTAGAGAAAACTGTACTTGAAAATACGTCGTTTTCATAGTGCCAATCATTGGTTTTATCTTGTCTTGTCACTAGTTTTTTCATACCGCGCACAGCTTCATAGGATACTTTTCTGTTTGAATTTATCAAGAATGGTTTTAGAAACAACAATGTTTGAGCTAGGCTTGTTTGATCTGTTTCTGCCAATATGTCTACGAGACCTGCTTCAAAGCATGCATTCGCTTCTAAACGGTATCCACCTGCCATCCATTGCAATGCCTTTTTTCTTCCTACAATCTGAAGTAGTCTACGCATTCCACCCCATGGTGAACTTACACCCATTCTAGTCTGTACAAAATGAACAAATCCAGTCTGCTTTGACATACAGACAAAATCAAACCCTACAAGTAATTCTGATCCACCTCCGATTGCCCCTCCCGTTACCACAGCAACCGTAACCAATGGCAAACGAGCCAACCTATCAATGGACTCGTGCATTAATTGATTTAATGCAAGTATATCCTGTGGTGTTTTAATAAAATCACTGGCGAATCTCAAATCTAGATAATGAGTGCCATACAAAAAAAAAACAAATAAGGAGATTTACCTAAACCAGCACAAAAAGAAGTAGACCCTGCTCCCATAGCAACGAGAGCAACAAGGTCGTGTGTATTTCTCTCGATATGTTTGATGGCATTGTAAAATTCAACCATCATTTTACCTGAAAGTGCATTATGTCTTGAAGAATTATCAATCGTTAAGAGCGCAATACCAGGTTTAAATGATAAATCAAGGTGTATACTGCCTTGTCCTTTATCTGCAAATTGTTGAATAATCGCGTTCATAGAATAAATAAAAGAGAAAGAGAGAGAGGATCGCACGTGAGTGTGTTGTTTTCGTGTAATAAGGAATGCCACTGTCTTTTTTCTATTTTGCATGAAAGACAAAGAACCAATAAAAATAAAGCGTAATTCAAACAACGTGTCATTCCCGACTTTTCTTTCCTTTTTTTTCTTTTATGGATTATCCTACACAACCAGCTTCACTTAAACGAAGAGCAAGTGAATCGGAAGCAGACCAAGTACTTGCTCTTATTCAACAAAACAACACTCGAATACCGCCCCCTTTACCTTACTTACCAAGTGACTATATCCCTTCACCTGATAGTCCTCGGCATATTGTGCTGGCTACACCCGCACTGACACCCCACGGCAAGAGACAGAGGTCGCGGTCCATCGGGTATCCTCTGGTAATTGAAAATGCACCTAGTGGTAGTGGTAGTGGCAGTAGCAGTAGTTCTTCCCGAGCAATCACTTACAACAATAACCGAGAGCACTTTGAACTTGTGCCTTACCGCGAATGGACTATTATTGCGTAAATAATAAGTTGTATCTATCAGACATGATATTAATCTACTCTATAGTCGAAACAGTCAACGAGGTCAGCTTGTGCTTTATAACCGAGATGATCAGACTGTCAGTGTCCAGACCTATGTGCCTGATCATCATTTTCCTGGTTTGGATACTGCAGGTTTACAGGTGATAGGAAGACATTGAGAATACATGATAGATATTGATGGCTTAGGATAGATAAAACCAGAAGACCAAGACAATTGTCCTTATTGTCACCGACCTATGCCAGCCATGCCAAAAGAAAAAGTAAGAATATGTGTATTAACGAGAATACTGACCATACTTATATTCTTTAGATGAATGCGTCCGACTATATGGATAGAAATTACTTTCGTTTATTAGCTTCTTCTCAAGCTAATACAGCTGCCAAGTAAGGCATCCTGTATACTCGCATTGTCAAATATACTGACCAATCTCTTAAAGCTCCCCAGTCCAATCTCGATCCAGTACATTTAGCACAGATACAAACAAACCACATTCAATAGGTGCACAGAACTTGAATGAAAATGCATTTAATCAAGGCTATTACTCTAACTTCTTTGTTGAGCTCAACAAGCTCGGTAAAGGGTTTCGAGGCAGTGTGTTTTTATGTGAGGTAAGCATGTAAGGCAAGACAAAGTTATTTAGAGAAAATGGAATAGCATGTATTAGATGGAGTTAAGTTGGGCAAGTATGCAATCAAAAAAGTGGCTATTGGCAACAATCATCCATGGCTTGTTCGAATGTTACGCGAAGTTCATTTGTTGGAACGATTACGACATCCCAATATTGTGAGCTACAAACATTCATGGCTAGAATACAATCGATTGACAGCATTTGGACCTGAAGTTCCTTGCTTGTTTATTCTGATGGAATGTGCTAATGGTGGCAACCTTGAAGAATATCTGGAGTTTGCAAATAAACCAACTGAACAACAGGAACAAGAAGCCCAGGATAGCTCAAAACAAAAGCAAAAAAAGTCTTCTAAAGAACTCAAAAGAGAACGTATTAGGAAACAATATCAAGCCCAAGAATCATTCGAAAAAGAGCATGATGTATTGCAGACACAGAGTGAAAACAAACGACTGTTGACCATGACTGAGATTTGGTCCTTATTTCTGGATATTGTTCAAGGTTTAGCTCATTTGCATCAACAAAACATTGTTCACCGAGATTTAAAACCACCCAATCTATTACTGCAATATGATGAACGAAACAGTCATGCACGTCAGGGAATGTAAAGTATGTTGAGCAAAGAAGCATGTTACTGATGTCTCATTAGCCCCCGTGTACTTATCTCTGATTTTGGTGAATGCGAAGATTTGGACGATGATCAGATAGATAATAACAGAACAGGAGCTACTGGAACATTGGAGTTTATGGCACCTGAACATGTTCGACTGGATCCAAGAGGCAGAAATACGGTCGACTATTCTCCAAAAGCAGATATGTGGTCATTAGGCATGGTTCTTTACTTTCTTTGCTACTCTAGACTTCCTTACAGTGTCATTGATGATGTGGATATATTACGCACTGAAATCCTTTCATTTCAAGAAGTTTGGTTTCCAAATTCACGACTGGACATTTATAAATCAGACAAAGCACGCTACACCGAATCCAGCAATAATCCTTCCATTGTCAACGATATACCCAATGAACTCAAGATTTTGATACGCATGTTGCTTTCCATTGATCCTTCAAAACGACCTTCTTGTAATGAAATCTTGTCCAAACTTCGAAGTCTACGTAGAGACAACAACATACCCTTTGATTGGCCATCTCCAACCACTACGACTACAGCTACAAAATCGTCATCTTCTCCAGTACCTACAGCATCACCAACAGCATCTACATCAAAAACTGCCTTACCTCCTCATCTTCAACCGTTTATTGTAGAAGCAGAAGAAGTAATAAATTCAAAAGAGGATTTACCTTTTGTCGAGACAAACAAAAGATCGCCTATACATTCACCAGAAGTCCAGCATTCTTCTACCTTGAGAAAAAGACAGCGTTTGTTTGGTCATGAAGAAGATTCAGACGGTGATGTGATTATGTCAGACATTGAGCAGGATACATCTAAAACCCGTTTATTGCTAGGCTCGCCTGATCTTGTTGAAGCATCAAGTTCATCCTGGTTAACAGATAGACAGGTGATGCTCTTGCTTAAGACAACCACAGCTTTATTTAAAGTAGCTTCTTGCACTTATTCATGCTCGCCGTATTCTACAAACCCGGCCATACTTTATCCTGTCGTTTTTTTGGCCATGCTCGATTTCTGGAGTGAATCTCATTCGCCTAGTTTGATATTGTTGACCTTGCACATTATTTGGATCATGACGACCACTTTGTTTTCCGGATTATGCGAAGCTTAAAATAGCGGAGTCAAGAATGGATTTGTCATGTAGCGTAAATGTGTGTGTGGGAGAAAGCACGCAATTATCTTTAATTTACTATCATATCTCTTTTTTTCTCTCTTCTTTTCTTTTCTTTTTTTTTTTTACAAATGCCTAATAATAAATCGGCTAAAGCAGATTTTATTGCTGGAAAGTAAGTAGAAAAAACTTACATGTCAATAATGATTAATATCTGAAAGTTTTGGTGGTATGGCTCAGGTCATAGTGGGTCAACCACTCGATACAATCAAAGTTAGACTTCAACTAGATCAAGGCAAATTTAAAGGTGCTTGGGATTGTACAGTCCAGACAGTTCAAAAAGAAGGATTTTTTGCCCTTTATAAAGGTAAAAAACAGAGACTTGATATGACACACATATGAATCATCATCATTTTGAGTAAAGGAATGGCAAGTCCAATCATAGGCATTGGTGCAGTCAATGCGCTTTTATTTGCTGCCAATTCTTCTATCAAAAGTAGGCTTCAGGCATACCCTGATCAGTTACTTTCATTGGATAAAATTGCACTTGCTGGTGCTGGCGCTGGTCTTGTAAACAGTATACTTGCTTCTCCTGTTGAACTTCTCAAAATTAAGATGCAAGCTCAGTTTGGCTCAAAAGCAGTACATGAAGGACAGCGCTTTTTTTCAGGGCCTATTGATTGTGCTCGATACCTTATTCAACGGGATGGTGTGGCTCATGGTCTGTTTCGTGGATTATGGGCTACAATTGTCCGTGAAATACCTGCTTATGCGGGATTTTATACCGGGTTTGAGTTTACAAAACGATATTTGACAGATCAGAATAAGAAAGAAGCAAGTGTGCTACAGTTGATGATATCAGGTGCTGCAGGAGGCGTGTCATACTGGACATGTAGTTATCCTTTGGATGTAGTGAAATCGATTGTAAGAGCATGTGTTTTATATACAAAGGATACTTATACAAGATATATAGGTTCAAAGTCAAGAAAAGCCACCCAAGGGACTCTATGTTTTAAGCGTATTAAGACAAGTGTATAAGCGTGGTGGATTTGCTAGCCTCTTTCGTGGTTTTACAACTTCCGTTCTAAGAAGTATTCCAGCTGCAGGCGCTACTTTTACAGCTTATGAACTTTGTATGCGCGCTTTCGAAACCAATAGCTGGTAAAGAATCGGAGTTGCCCTGTCAAATATGATCGGATCAAATATGTATATGCATAATAGACAAAAGTTTAAAAGAAATTTATTTGATTCCATGCAGAGAAAAAAAAAGAGAGAGAAAGAGAAAAGAGTAATAGAAACAATTTAATCGGCTTCATTATTTACTTGAGTAGTTTCAACCTTGGTTTCTTCGTTTTGCTTGTTTTCGCGAAGAGCAGCAGTACACAATTGACTCAAGCGAGATAAGCTTTCGTGTTGATCTGTGGTAGCTGGAGAAGCAGTGCCTGAAGCACTTGTAGCAGGCGTCATGGATTGTTTCTTTTCCCCATTACTTCCTTTAGCTTCAAAAGCGCTTTCAAGAATACCTTGAATTGCTTGATGATAGTTGTTAGAATCGGAAGAACTGTTTGGGTTGTTTTCAGTCGCATTGTTTGTCTCGGTATTGTTCTGGACATTATTGCCAGTCTCGTTACTATTATTGCTACCACTGACCAAGACAGGAGCAGGATAAGATGGGTAGACAGGATTGATCACATATTGAGCAGATAAAAGAGTGTGGTCTTTACTGTTGCTACTGTTGTTGTTTGCATCATTACCACTATTGTTGTTATAGACTGCATTGACAGCATAATTGTAAGAGTCATAATTTTGAGCATACTGACTCAATTGGGTAGGATAGCCAAAGTCAGGAACAGAAGCACCTCCGGTAGGAGTTGTAGCTACACTGGCAGCGGCTGATGGAGGATGTGCGAGGCCTTCAACAGGATTAGTAGAAGCAACTGGCGTTCCCATTGCTGCTGGAGGAGTGGCTGTAGAATTGAAGGCTGTTTGCTGTTGCTGCTGCTGTTGTTGATTCTTGACTTGTTCTTCTATAGTGTGATGTAAGTAAATGCATACTAATTTTCTTTTCTTACCGCCTGCTTTTTGTCTTCTCTTGTATGGACCACGCTTAATTCCTTTCTTGCGCTCTTTTCTGACTGAATTTACGCAAGAATCTGCAATACCATACTTTCGACAACGTGGGCAAGGTCTTGCATCGTCACACTTCTTGCAAGCTTTTTGACAATTGGCTATAATAAAATTTTGTTAAGGCATACATCATACGAAATATGTCGTCATCAACAGAATGAAAATTTTTTTTCTCATCCGAGCTATGCTCATGGTTCTGTATGATAAACAATACTTACTACATGCGTTTTTGACCTGGTTTCTCTTTGGTGTATCAGACTTTGGGAAAGGAGCACTTGGAGTGGCCAATGGTTGTGCGGTGCCAGGTACAGCGATAATAGGTCCGTTGCCAGCAGATTCCACTGCTGAAGGCGTAGTGTTTACCGGTGTACTTGGAGTAGCAGGTTGGTATGGGGAAGAAGTTGCATAATTAGAAGGGTAGTATGGTGCCATAGACTGCATTTCTTTGACTAAAACATGTAAAGAAGACCATCAATATCACTAGAATAAAAAACAAAAGAAGGCGGCGCTACAAACGGACTCTAAATGAAAAAGAAGAAGAAAAAAGGGGAAACTTTTTTCTCTCTTTCTTTTCTTTTCTCTTCTTATCGTTGCTTTTGCCTTACTCAAATAGATACTTACACGTTCACTCCTACTTGATTATCAGAGATAGTGGAAAGAGAGAGAGAAAAAGAGAGAAGAGAAAAAAGAGAATGGAATTGCGCTAAAAACATAAAAAAATAACGACTGCGGAGAATGAAAACGCGAACAGGAACATACGTAGACAGCTGCAGTGATTTATTCTTAAAAGCTGTAATATAGTATATATTCACATTTACTCCCCATCAAGGCACAAATGACAGTTTTCTATGAATCAAGTGTGAATGATAGACCTTTAAAGATCAGTGCAAGCACGGAATAGGTATAATGGTTTGTGATCTCGTGTTATTTGAGTAAAATGAAGAAATAGACATTGTTTCTATAATAGAATCACTAATATGTCTGCACATTAATTCATATTTGTTCTTTTTAGAGCTTTGAGAATGCATTTATTCGTGGCTCTACTGACTTTTTGTATCTTGAGCAGTATCAAAGTAACACGCACACACGCAAAAATATTTGTTGGAAATTAAAACTAAACATGTCGATTATTATCCAGTAGCTTAAGAAATCGAGATTTTGCTTAAAGCAAGCTGAAGATGCTTTGGTATAGTAATAGAAGCTGTAGATCTTGGGCTTTTAATTATATTGATATAGAAAAAACTACAAAGTCGCTGCTAAAATCTTGAGCAAATGGGCAAAGATATTTATGAGGTTTTTCATTCATATCTCATTTTTTCATAGTATAATAGACAGGCAACTGCTTTGATCAAAAACCAGAGCCTTTAACATACATTTTGAGTATTTAAACTTGTTGATAGCTTTATTTTTCATCTTGTGACGTCAAAAAGAAGCTCAGAAGTTGTCAAAATGACGATTTTCATTAGTAGTACCCTTTGGTCAAAAGTGATTTTTTAGCCATTTCTTAGAGATCGCTTTTTTTTTTTTGGTTCAGATCAACTCCAAAGGTGCCTCGTATGTTAGTTATTTAATTTTTATTTTTTTCGTACATAAACAGGCTTTATGCTACATTCATATTGTCTAAGGAAAGAGGATTTGTATGACTTGTCACCTTCAATACTGAAGCATTTATTTGCCTGGTATTTTTATTAAGTATATAGACTATTTCTGCGCTACCTTTTAGAACTATATTTGATCGAAGCGTTCAATGATCATTTGATTGCATTACTTTGCATTGAATGTTATATTTGAGGTGTTCTCAAGTTCAGATCCGGATGAGTCCTCTGGATTTTTATATTTACTCATATACATAATCACAAATGCTGTGGCCATTCTTTATTTTTCGGGCAACAAAATTTTGATCTTCTAAAGCAAAGAGCTGAAAAAGGTGAAAAAATAGGTGGGGCCTTTGTAATAATGTATGAGATATCTCTGGTCTAATAAGTAATTATACGACACTTTAACTTTTTTTGCGATATCATTTTGGGAAAAGGTGTCCAAAGGATTCTCCCGCATCTGAACTTAAGAACACCTCAACTGTATCATATTCGTTAATTTTTAATTGCCAAATTAGGTATATGCTTTTTAAAATAGAGCCTCTAATTGCACCTGCTACTAGACTTGTGTAATCAAATGTTTGATAATGATACTGACGCATAATGTAATACTTTATGGTTGGTTCTGTATATATATATATATATGTGTGTGTGTGTATGTGTGACAAATGTGCTTCAGTTATCTTGACTTGAAAAAAGAAAGGAAATTTAGCAAGAGCAAATCTTTTTTTTTTTTGAATGGTTCACATATTTATTTATATTTTTATGCAATTGTCTGTCAGGTCTCTGACTTTTCATTCGCCTCCTTTTTTCTTTTTTTGTGTAAAAGCAATTGCTAATCTATCATTTAAGAGACTATTCTTTGCTCTCCTTTTTTTTTTTTTTTTTTTCATAAGCCCATACGTTTATGAGGTCTATAATTAATCTAAGGTAAAGGAAGGGGAAAAAAAAAGGCGTGGATTTGAGAGAGTAAGTAAATATGAACAAATTTGTACATATTAACATACATCAACTCTACCCTATTTAAATGTGCTACGACTATAAGGCCCCGAAGCATTTATATGCAAGTCATACAAACAATAGGTTGCTTTGTGGTTCTCTGACTTATGCAGGACATGTATAAATGTGTTCGAGAAACAATTTCATTTGTGTTCATATATATACTGATTATAGCATAAAAGCATTTTATATGTATGTGTTTTCAGCGTGCAAAGAAAAAAAAAGTTGGTAGCACGTGTTTTTGTGTGCTTCTTTCTATGTCACTTTCTTATATAAATCCATTTTGCATTATTTTGTTCTTTATCATTTTTATTTTTCCTTTCGTTTGTTATGATTAGCACTTCTGTTTTCCCTTATACCTTAAGCAAAGTCAAATCTTCATACCCATATTATGTGAGCATTGGATAACTATGAAAACTAGATTTAGCTAACATTTTACTGGTAGAATAAGACTAGAAAATCCATGCAGCCTGTTTATAGGTCCACATCCAGCTCTGAAATTGATTATACCAATTTATATATTAAAAATCTAGACCCCAATGTTGAGAGCATAGATCTGTTTAACTGCTTCCGAAAATTTGGTCGTATCGTCTCTGCTCGCGTAATGAGAAACGAAGAAACACGAGTTTCTAAAGGCTTCGGCTTTGTGAGCTTTAGTTCCGCAGATGAAGCACAACTTGCCAAACAAGAAATGAACGGTGTTTACATCTTGTCAAAACCTATCGTGGTTACTTTCCATGAACCTAAAAAGCCTCGAGAAAAAGTCATCTCCCCCACTGTTGACAAGCTCGCAAATCAACCCATCCATAGCATACAACCATATCAAGACATGATGACCACGGAATCCATCACCTATCCGTCTCACAAGAAATTATTTGAACACCAGAAAGTAAATAACTACCATCAAGGCAATGATTTGAGATACCATAGCAATAACCCTGAACGACGTCATAGCACTTTGAATGCATCTCATTTACAAAATTACAACAAAAATAATACCCATCAGCAAACGAACAAATTTCTTTTGCCTGTAACAACGACAACAACAACTACAAATAAAGATAAAAGAAGAGAATATCAAATTATTGGAACAAGCGTAAAGAATAATATCCGGCCTCCTAGCATGTATCAACAGGTAATACTAAGATAAACGTGGCATGGTTGACTGACGACTATCTAGACACAACACAAGACAGGTGGTACAAGTTTTCCTTTTCATCATACGCCAAATGTTACAACAAACACAAATGCTGCTGAGAGAGTTGCTGCACCGATGACACCTGGTATATTTCTATATACACAATCCTTCACAGGGGATAATATCACTGTTAAAAAGCACCGCTTACCCTCTTCACTTTTAGATCGTAATTTGATCTCAGCGTGCAGTCAACAAGATTTGTCTGGCTCTTACAGGCGTAGTTCCGTTGAATCATCACCAAGCGGGTCTACCGGAAACAGCAGTTCACAAGATAAAAGAAGAAATATTGTTACTCAAGCAGTCATGTCAATTGAAGAACTTCAAGACACAAACTACATCCAAGATATTGTGGATTTATTGCTCACTTTGAAGAAGAAAGACTTAGCCACTTGTTTGTTCAACAATGTCTTTTTAAAATCAAGCGTCAAGCGCGCAAAAGACTCTCTTGATGTCTTTCATGAAAAACCGCCACAAAAACATGCACCAGAACTACCAAAACCCAAAGTTACAGTGATTGAACAAACCGAACATTACCAACAAAAGAATAATGGCGGCTTATATGGCGGCTTTAACAATGTAATCTCAACAGCACCCATTTTTAATGCAACACATCCTTATTATTGTCATCCATCAAGTCACCCACAAGCACTTAGTGAATTCTTAAAAAACGAAATTAAACTTCCTCCACAAGGATCCAAGGCTATACCCATTGTAGCACCAAAACAAGTACAAAATTCGACATCTCAAAACAACTCTTTGCATCAAGAGATTGAAAAGTTTCTCAAGACCCTGGAAGGTCTAGAGCTTTACAAACAAAAACAGCTTTTAGGAGATCGTCTTTTTCCGCTTGTCAAGGTAAAATTAAAATTTACATATTCACGGATTGTAAGTCTAATCTTTCATGTGTAGGCTACCGGCATCAAACATGCTCCTCGTATCACAGTTCAGCTGTTGGACAATATACCTCTAAACGAATTAGCTTACTTGATGTATGATAAAGAGAAACTTAAGGAAAATATATCCAAAGTTATTACCAAATAAACCATTACTTTATGCAACAACAAACCATGTTTTGTAATTCATGCAATTTCAAATAAAAACAAATACAGTATCCTCGTGATTTGGTTCTTTACTTCAAATCAAACCAGTTACTGCAGCTAGCGCACTCTTGATGCGTTCTATATTTTCTCCTTTTGAAGGCTTATTAAAAAAAAAAAAGGAGTGTGTGATATCACTTTTTATATTCTCTGTTCATCATATCTATTGAAACAAATAAACCAAATTAGTGCGGATACTTTACTCGGAAAAGAATCCGAGTGTGTTATCTAAAAGACATGTTCGCATGGAAAACAAGTGATATCAAAGACATATACTATGAGTATGCATAATGGATTACCACAGTTGCTTTGTTTATGCTTTAGCTATTGAAATATTTATTATCTTTAGATAAGCGTAGGCAAATAAAAAAGCATTTCTGATCATCTAAAGACAGTCTTTTGAGGTATGTTACTTTAGAAAATTTGAAATATTGATTTCTATTATACATGTATCATTTAAAGAACTAAGTAGGTGTTTCAAAAGCCATAACCATTAGCAAAGATACGTGAAATATGAACATATTACTTCTCTAAGCAATAGTTTGCATAAAAAGGGAATGACAATTGTCATTTTGACCCCACGACGATTAGTTGCTAAAATAATTGTAATCTATACATGATTATGATGTAGTAAACAATCATGCAGATGCGTCTTTTTCTCATCATGATTTGTCTTGTCTATTTTAGCAGCTTTGGTATATGAATGAACGAGATAGCTGCTTCTGATATGTAGCTCTTTTGAGGATTTTGATGAAACAATATCCCTTTTGATAGATCTAACATTCATCGTTCTTAAATTTTAAAATATAGATTGCAGGAAAAACTCATCATAGGATGGCATTCTATTATCAATTACTAAACTATTTGCAAAGATATAGAACCATATTGAGTGCTGATAATGTAAGTGGTAAAGTACTCAAAAGCGACATTGTAATAAACCTTTAACTAATCTTTCAGTAATGGAATATTGACAGTCCCAGACCATCTGAGATCTACTCGAAGTTGAAATATTACGTATAAAGCATTTGATTCGCTCATTTTTCTATTTCCGAATTATATTTACAATAGGTTTTATAATTTTTAATGGTCTATCAGCCATATAGGCCTAGCTAGCTCAATCGGTAGAGCGTGAGACTCTTAATCTCAAGGTTGTGGGTTCGACCCCCACGTTGGGCTATTATTTTTACTGAATCGATTTTCGATTTTGTGAGACGTTCTGATGAGTGTAATTTTAGAAATGTCGTTTTTTCTTTTGAATTATTAACTTTTAAGATCTCTTCCTTTACAATTTTGAAACAAACCCTCTTTTAGCCTGAGGATTCAAAATATAATGCTCATTGTATACGCTCTAGACATAAATCTATCGGTACAGTCAATAATCAAAAAAAAAAAAAATAAACCATGATTGACTTTCTTATTCTTATGTATTTTACATTTTATTTAAACTATCAAAGTCATTTATTTGTTGGTAAAAGTAGCAGCTCTCTTTTCAGCAAAAGCATTCATGCCTTCCTTTTGGTCAGCCTAATTAAAGAAGTTAGAGAAATACGCGCACTTAAAAAAAAACTTACAGTTCCAAAGAGAGCTTGGAAGAAAATACGTTCCCAACGCAAACCAGCACTAAGAGGAACTTCAAAAGCTAAATAGAAACAAATGAGTGTTCTGCTTTTTGTCGTGGTACATGGCTACTTACATTTGTTGATAGCTTCCTTGGCCATCTGGACAGAAACTTGACTCATGCTAGCAATAGTAGAAGCAGTCTTGACGGCTTCATCAACAAGTTGATCAGCAGGGACAACCTTGCTAACAAGGCCTGTCATAGAAATATAAATCTATTGTGTACATACACATGAATGAAGGCTTACCCAAGTTGAGAGCTTCTTGAGCATTCAGGTTGACATTGCCGGCCAAAATCATTTCCATTGCCTTGGATTTACCAACGGCCTTTACAAGACGTTGGGTACCACCGGCACCGGGAATAACACCCAACTTGATTTCAGGTTGACCAAAGACAGCCTTTTCACCAGCATAAATAATCTAATGACGCGTATAAGATACATATTATCTTGAACTTGTTCACTTACATCACACATCATGGCCAATTCACAACCACCACCAAGCTAAAGAAAAAAGAAATGAATAAGATACATAAAAAGATGATTAATTTCTTACAGCATAGCCATTGACAGCAGCAATAATAGGTTTCTTGATTTCAGTCATTTCAGCCCAATGACCCAAGAAGTTAGTCTTGTAGGTATTAACAAAGGTATGGTCCTTCATTTCCTTGATATCAGCACCAGCTAAAGTGGAAATTAAAAAGGAGTTGGAAACATCGCATAAACACATTACCTGCAAAAGCCTTTGTGGAGCCAGTAATGACAACAGCACCAATGTTCTCATTGTTATCATAGGAACGAAGAGCATCATTGACTTCAGTAAAAAGATCGGCACACAAGGCATTCAAAGCCTTAGGACGGTTCAATGTAATTAAACCGACCTTGCCTCTGGTTTCAGTCAAGATGTGAGCATAAGACTTTTCATCAGAGGTACTAGTGACAGCCTCTGTAGAGAGAAAAAGAACGCGTCAATACATGCATTGCTTATCTCTTGTAACTTACGACGCTGAACAAAAGCAGTCGAGAAGCTTCTGGTAGCAATAGACTTATTTGCACTCAAAGGTCTGATGAGAGAAGGGCTAACAAAGTTTCTAAGCATAATGTTTTTGCAGTAAAGAGACAGAGGGTGAAAGAAAAACAAAGAAGAAGAAAAAGAAAAGAAAATAACGTTTTTAAGAGAGAAGAAAACGGAACTTAGATTTTCAGTTTAGTCATCATATGAATTACTTTGACATAATGAAGTGAAAAGCGCACATTTTTTTCTTCTCTCTGTCTATTTCATGCCATAATACATCTTTTATTAACTTCTTTTTTAATGGTTTGTCTTATTTCAGGGCATTCTTTTATTTTTTTATTTTTTTCAAAAGGTGTAAAGAATGAAAAAGATAGTTTTCCCATGGTTATCGTCTCAAATTTCCCACGATATTAGCTAAAAAAGTGTATATAGCCTATATAAATCGTGTTAGATTCTGTTTTGATTTAGGCATGTTTGTTTACCCAGGACGAGTGTGCCTGCACCCGTAATTGTGCCAATCATATATTGCAAAATCTGTAGTTTAATGCTTTCCATTTGCCTTTTGAGTGCCTGAATTTCACTTTCAATTTTGCTGTCAGTTTGTTGCAACCGATTATGCTGCTCTATTGTTTCATCTCGAATTCTTCCTTTATCTAGATTCAAATCTAATCTCACACCAGCTTGGCTACGAGTTAATTCTTCACGCAATGTCTTTTTCAGTTTTTCAATTTCTGCCTTTAAGCGTTCATTGGCAGACTTGACTTCTTCCACATCACGTCTTTCCATTTGTTGTATTTCCTGCTTTAGTTTTGTAAAATCTTCTTTATAACGAGTGATAGTCTATACTGATATAAATATACATATATATCTACATTTCTTTCTTACCCTTTCTTGATCTGCCTTACTGACTAAATCATTCGTTACATTAAATGTACTACCATCATGAAATTCAGTATCAAATTCTATTCTGTACATTTGATTTCTACCTTTCATCCACCACGTCATCAAGGGCATGAATCACTGTTCTTGCTTGTACTGCAGAAAAACCTTCTTGTTCCAAAAGCCGAGCAAATCTTTCTGCATCAAAAAAAGGCATATGAAGCTTCTGACTTGCTTTTATGTTAGTAGCTGCTTTTGTTCTTAACCATCGTGTGCTAGGTTGATGTGAAGTGTTATAGAATCGATGACACTGTCTTGATTGACTTTGTAAAACTATACATACAGTATTAAGCAAATAAAGAAAAAACGGTAATAAAAAAAAGGGAGTTTTATTTACGTTTAAGTCGCCCAAGACAAGATCTTGCTTGATGAAGAGTGTTCATGATGTATTTCAAAAAAGAAGAGAGTCTTTTAAATTCCAAACAGGCATTACGAGCCCAGCTGTAAGGATTTAAGCCCAGCAATGTTGATCATTTGAAAGAAGGTACAATCAAGTACGAGATGTTACTCTTTGGACAGGACTTGTCATGTCAAACTCTTCTTCATCACCATCATCATCATTGGATGTCACTTGAATATAAGGGTTATTAGGATAAGGTCTAAACTTATAGCCCACAAAGACATAGAACAAAAATGTAGTCACTTCATTCACTGCTTCACCAAACCAAGTAACATATTGAAATGGTAGACAAGCTTGAAGCAACTGAACAATAATACGTGTAATATAGATATAGACCAAGGTCACCAGATAGAAAGAAGACCAAAGTTTGTATTTGTTCAGCACATCTTGTTCTAAAACAACAATTAGCTGTCATGGTCTATCTATGTTAGGTTTTTACCTTTGCCGTCAACAGAAGCAGCAGATGCTAAATGCTTTTTTGTCTGAAGAATTGTCCATAAAATAGCACTACAGCTTGCAAGATCAATAAGAGGCAGTACCGTATTCTAATCAATAAGTATCTTAAAATTTCCTTCTTTGTTTCTTCTTTACCCAATAAGGCCAATCACTTGATCCAAGGGCAGTTTCGTTGCCTATTGCTGAAGCGATGTTAGCCAATACTTGCAAAGGAATAATCATAGAAATAATGCGTTTATCTCGGGTAGATAAAAATGGCTTGATAAACGTCCATCCTGATGCCAATAACACTGTATATAATATGAATAATGGAGTCCATAATGCTAAACAGGCTTACCAATAATCAATAGACTAAGAATTCCTTTGATGCTATTCCATAAAAAAGAAAGAAAGAGGCTCAGTTATTATACATATATGTGTATGCTTTTACCAAGCAAAGACATAAAATCCAATTTTCCAGCCTTCTGATAACAAGCCCAAGCGCATATAATGATATTTTAACTAATAAGAGTTGATTAAATGGATTGAAATGAACTTTCTTCTTACAGATAACAATAACTTGTTAATAACAATACACAGCAACAGAACAAACATCAGCCAATGCGCTCGGAATACCTGTACATTGTTCTTGTTAAGAATAAGCAAACCAGTCCAATAGACAGCGATTACTGCATAAGCAACGGAAGAAAATGCATAAACATAGGGTAAAGGAATATCACCAGCTGACAAGTAATTTCCATTAGGGTTAAGCTGATCTACTAACAACTATACACATCATGAATATTGACCATATAGACTATAGAGATTTACCTTAAATGATACTCTGGATGGTCTGCAACTCACAAACAAGACTTCCCATAGACCTTGCTCGCCTTCTTTGACTTCTATTGTTTTTGTCCACCTGCATACGTTAATTATAAAAAACACAGACGATAGATCAACATACTCTGTTGCTTGTTCAGGTAAATATTCTACTAAACTAACTCCATCATTGACTTCGTCTCGAATAAAACTATTGTTCAGAAAACACTCTTGATCATAGTCTACAAGGATATGATCTCGGTCTCCATAACTATTATATTCTTCCTGTAATATTCGACCTTTTCTTATATAGAATGCTGCTACACCACCAGTTAATTCATGCCACTAAATAATAAAGTTCAATCGCTGCACATAACCATAGGTGCTATTACTTTCAAGTCCATAAGGTTTAGAGTTAAGCGACCTCCAGGCAAAAAACCAAACTCTGCAACCTCGATCATATTACGATCATCGTTTTGCACGATCAGTTCAGGAGAAGCCTTGATGGTTGCTATAAAGTTGAGTAAAAAAAGCAAATAGAGACAATTCGTTTTTATTGCAAACTTCATTTATTTTCTTTCGAGATATGCAAAGCCAAAAAAAAAAAAAGAAGAGAAAGAGAAAGAGAATAAGTAACAAACATTTGAATTTCAGTTAAAGGTTCTCAGCCAAGAAAAAAAAAAAAGGTATTATGTATTAAAATATATAATCATATTCAGATAAATATACATGGCTATTTCTTTTAATAGCTGTTGTTGTTGGTGTGATTATAATAAGTGGGTTCTGGGTGTGGCATATGTTGTGGTGTTGGCATAGGAGAAAAAGTGGGAACAGGTTCTCCAGTAAAATGACCACCAACAGAGGCAGGATCATAGCCAGCAGGATCAACGTAAGATTGACGGTTATAAGGTGAAGAAGCATCGTAAAGGGGTTGGTGGTGCATTGTTGGGTCAACAAAGGGAGATGTGTGTTGTTGAGGTACAGAAGGAGGAGGAGAAGCAGAGGTTGGGTAGTGATGTTCTCCAGCATAAGCAGAGCCTTCATGTTGAAGTTTTTGACTGTCATTGTATTCGTCTTCGTAATATCCTCCACTAAGACGACCACCAGGAGCATATCCGGCAGCCATGCGCATTTCTTCGTCTTCTTGTTGTCTTCTTTCTTCTAATTTTTGCTGTTTGTTGATACGATGTTCATTCAATTTTTCTTGTATCAGTGTCTTTTCTTTCCAGAAATTAATGCCAGTAATAGCTAATGTAATGAACCATAAAATACAGGTAATCCAAGTAAACGCGGCAGAAACTTTAGCCAAATTACACTAAGAAAGATTTAGCATAGTACTTTTTGTATTCTCTCTTACCTGTGTTGCCCAAGCACTAGTGTAAGCAGAGCCATAGGCTTCGGTTAAATCGGCATCATAAGCACAATTACTGTCGTCATTGGAATGAACAGTAATAGCAATACCAGCAGTAGCCCAAAGGAAGGAATTAAAACCACAAAAGATCAAGTTGGTTCTGTTCTTCATACAGAATTTACCAAATTTCTTGAACTTGTTGTGATGTTCATACATGTAAGGGAAATAGACCAGCAAAAAAGGAGTGGCAATTGTAAACAAAGCCACAAAGAGTGTATAGTTAGGTCCTGGTCTGCCTGCGCCCTATACAAAAAAAATAAGAATGAGCATGGTTTCTTTTTTGGCCGAGAAATACTTGCCAAATAGCGCGCTTCTGTGGCTATCAACGGAGCATCAACGCATATAGTTAATATTGTTGTAGCGCCTGTAATCAAATGGAGAATCTTTTTCGATAAATCAAGTTTATCTGTTGTTTGTTCAGACAAATCAATTGGCACGTCTAGTTTAAAGCCGGGCATAATAAGAAACAATAAAGAAAAAAAAAGAGAGAAAAATAATGGCGGGCTGATTCTTTTTGACTTTTTTAAATAGGTCATTCCTCAGCCTCTTTAATCAAATTAAGAAGGTTGTACAAAAACATTTTTGTTCACATTTGAACAAAGAATATTGGTCCCGATTTCTTTGGTCATCGTTACATGATGTCTTGATTCATATATATGGGCTAAACGATCCTCCAAGACGGAACACGCTTGCCCCTCGTTCATTACATAGAGGAAGATAGACCGATAAAATAACTCTTGCTTGTTTTCTTTTGAACCCGGAAAACCTCCTTTTAAACTGACTGAAGCCTTGGCTTCTCCTTCTCTCTTTGAATTCCGAATGACTTGTTCAAGCAAAGAGAAGAACAACTTGTTTATTGAACATAGGCTATTGTTCCTGAACACTTCCGAGAATTTCAAATCCCCTTTTTTGTGCATATACAAACTCATTTGGCAGCACCGTATTTGATTTGCTAAAAGCTATTATTAAAAATAATTTTCTTTTTTTTTTAATCATTAGATATTTATGAAAGTGCTTTCAATAGTACTCTTGCTATTCCCTTTGGCTTTAGCCTATAAGCCCGGGGATTCAATACCAATTTATTATAACAAGATATTCTCTTTGAAAAACCCACTGTCTTATAGTTATGACTCGTTGGGCTTTGTCTGTCCAACGCAACACAGTTCACGAAAAAAGAGTCTATTGGTATTTGACCAAGACTTTCGTGGGGACAGGTCAATACAGAGTGACTACAAGGTAAAAGACATGCTTGACACCTAGGGCCTAAGCTCATCTTGTCTCGAGATCAACTTTTTAGAAAGTCAAGAATGTCGGCTACTTTGTAAACAGTCTTGGCGTGTTGAAGACGCTATCCGAGTAGAAGAGTTAATTTCGGACGACTATCTTGTAGAATGGTAACCTAATTCATGCCATTGTTTTGAGCTAACCATTCTCTAGGGAATTGGATGGTTTGCCTGGTGTTACTGTCTCTTATACCAATGAAGCCCCTGAGCATAATTATCGCATTGGATTTCCTTTAGGGTTTAAAAAGGTAAAGCATTGTTGCCAAGAATCATACTAAATGTTCTATTTTTAGGGCGATGCTACTTTTATCAATAACCATGCTATCTTTCAAATACTTTACACACCTTCTCAGGAAAAGTTTGGTGGTTATGACATTGTTGGATTTGAAGTCTATCCTGATTCGTAAGTTGGCTGGTGGCATCATAATTATTGACAAATCTGTAGAATTGCAGACGGTGAATGCACAAAGAAGAATGTGGAATATGCATTTCAGGAAGTGACTATCCGTAGAGCAACTGTTTCTTTTACTTATTCTGTTCAATGGAAAGAAGTTCAAATGCTTCCCAAGAGTCGTTGGGACGCATTTCTTTTGAAACCTAATCCTGACAGACATTATTATGCCTTGCTGAATGCTATGATTGTCGTCATGTTAGTATCTAGTCTGATTGGTTTGATTTTATTCAAGACAAAGCAAAAAGACAGTAATAGCGAAGACAAAGATTTTAAGGTAAAAAGGCGCCTGTTCTATGCATTGTATTTAACGAAAGAATAGATGTATGACGATGCTGATGACTTTATTGGTTGGCGTTTGATCAATCGTGATGTGTTTAGAAGACCTGTTTATGGTGGTCTATTGACACCTATCATGGGTACAGGAATCCAACTCTTTATGGTCTTTATTGGTTTGACATGTAAGTTTAATGCAACAGGCCAAAGATTAATAGAGAATAGTGTGTCTTCAATTGGGATGGTATCATCCTGCTCAACCTGGATCATTGGCACGTTGGTTTACTTTCTTGTTCTTGTTGGGCGCGTAAGTAAATGATGAGTTCAGTCTATCTTTTTGACACGGATAACATAGTATTCCTGCTGGTTATTGGAGTGCTCGTATCTACAAAGTGTTTAGGGGCAAATCTTGGGTCTTGAACAGTATTCTTGTAAGTTCAGTTATATAACAACAATACTTTTTAACATCCTCTGTAGACTGCTGTTGTGTGTCCAAGTATCATGGTGATCCTCTTGTTTTTTATCAGTGTGATAACATGGTTTAGACAGTCATCCCTTGCCATTTCGTTTTCTGGTTGGGTTTCCCTGTTATCAATCTGGGTTCTCTTGTTGGTGCCTCTTACTTCTTTAGGTGCTTATTTTGGCGAGAAAGCAGAACGTATTGAGTATCCCTCGCGCACAACACAAATCCCTCGTATGATCCCACCCAAACGTTGGCATCAATCCAATACGGTCCGTGCTTTACTCGCAGGCATACTTCCTTTTGCTGCCCTGTTTCTAAACTGGCATGAACTCTTGACGTCTATCTGTAGAGGAGAATATACCTTGTCTGTCAATTATACAGTATGGGCCTCTGTCTTGGCATTGATGGCTGCTGTTGAAGTGACAATTGTTTTGATCTTTTTACAACTTTGTGCTGAGGTAAGCGTGTATTGTGCGTATGTATGTATTAATGCTGTTTAGGACTATCATTGGTGGTGGCAATCATTTGTCATTGGTGCCTCACCTACTTTCTACATGTTTGGGTAAGTAATTTTTAACAAGAGGAGTATGATATAAACATGCTCTTGTTAGGTATGGTGTCTTTTATTTCTTGAATAGCTCAAACATTCAAGGCTTTGTGGGTGGATCTATTTACTTGACGTACTTGTTACTGGGTTGCAGCATGGTTGGTCTATGTACAGGTACACTTGGTTTCTTAAGTGCATATATGATCATTAGACGCATTTATTCTTCTGTCAAGGTAAACCTATCTCTTTATGGATCTGTTACTAACACGGATGACATAGGTTGATTAAATGGAGCAAACAATAAAATAATAATAAAAAAAAGCCCTTATTTATTGAAAGTCTTTTCCAATAGTAACATCTTCTAATGCAATGTCTTCATAGTCTTCTTCCATACTACTTGGTTGAGCTGTATGTGCTTCAAACCGAGGTGCTTTTTCGCAATTGTCAATATCAAATGTCATGTCTGCAGTAACATGATCTTCGTCGTTTTGTCTTGTTCTGTTGGTTCCTGTGCCTGATGTATGATGGTTGGATGTGACCTTTGTAAAATATCAGAAAAGAAGTCAATATTATCTATCTTACCCAATGAATAGTAACCACATTGACTGTGACATCTACCGTACAAAATGTCAAGCAAATCAATCCTCTCTGGTGACCATGACTCAATACAACTAACAAGACATTGATAAACGAGACAGACAGACACACAAGTGAGGCAACTAAGGTTCTCCTTGCTAGTTTATAGAGCCTTGAGATCTTCCAATTCGTACGTGTGTTTCGACCAATGTTTGTAAGAGGATGCATGAAAAGCCAAGTAAGATACAGATTAAAGATCTATAAAGAATGAGAAGCTTTGTCTTTTTTTCATTTTTGCTCTTTACAAAATCATAAACCTAACATCCATTATGATTAGTTTGTTAAGTCTATAGTGAAAAATAGCTTACCAAGAGTGGAATACTAGCAATATCTTGCAAACCAATAGTGCAAGTGCCATCCGGCTCAAGGTAAATATTTCTAAAGCTCAACTAATCAAATTGTTAGTTAAATCATAAATAAAGGAACACAACATACCATTAAAATGAAAATGATAGCATAAGGAAACAACATCAACAAATGAATCTTATAACGTCTTGTCTTGAGTCGAATGGTTTTGACAGCTGTTACTAGATGAACTCGTTCTATAAGCCTTTTTTTTTTTTTTTATCAATTTATATGCTGCTTCTTTTTTTGTGTTAACCATACCAAGCATAAGTGACTACTTTACTGCCTGCATAAAAGAAATCACAAGCAAGCATACCCAAGGTACATGAGACGATATTATCTATATAACAAAAAAAAATGAATGGACGTTATTAGTACATGGATACTTACGGTTGTTAGTTGATACGACAATAATGGATGTAATAGAGAAAGCCAACGAAAACGAATAGAGTAAAATAACAAGTACACGGCCATAATTTAATGATTTTATTTTCTCGCCATATGTCTTTGATCCGATAGCAGCAGCCAGGACAGAAATACAAGCTAAAGAAATCATTTCAGACACAAGTTCCATAGTATCTGGATTGGTTGATTCTGAATAAACGAGAGTGTCTACTGCCATGCTAATGAAAAGAAGAAAGAGAAAAAAGAAAGGAAATCGTACGCTCCTCCTTTTTCTTACAAAAGACATGTATACAAATGGACCATAGTGTTCAAAACAAGTTTCGTTTGACCTCCTTTTGTTGATGCTGTTTTACAAAAACAACTCATAGGCTGACACACACACACACACATATATATATATTTTAAAAAATTAACAAGGAGGATAGCTGTACAGAAGATCATCAATTTACCAAACAAAGAGCTTATTATGGACTTATATAAAAGAAACTTGAACCTCATAAGTCAACTCCTTAATTGACATTAACCGCACAAAAAGTAGACAAGTTTTATATTAGCCAATCATGATCCATAAAAATACGCGCACATAAAAGACACACTATATAGAAAAACTTCCTTTTATTTTTTTTTTTTTTAAATTCAAGACTATGCAATCAGCACAAACAGAATTAGACTTTATAAACCTTTACTTGGAAGCTCTTTCAAGCAAGTCTGTTCGTTATGGACAGGACTACACAACCCATACTTGGCCCACTCAAAGAATTAAGGTATGCTCTCAAGATGGCCTCAATAACAAACCTTTTCATATTGCTTATTAGAAAGTACCACCTACACCCGTTATTCTAGAGAAAGGTACGTGTTTTATGTGCTTGACAGTTTAGTCACCTATGTCTGTAGCACCTGTTGCACCTGTGTCTCAGTCTGTGGATGGAAACAAACTTGAAGTTACTGTCAAAGTATTGAAGCCTTCTTCACAATTTACTATTGGTGGTTTGTCTCCCAATAATACTGTGGCTCAATTGAAGCAACGTATTTACCAACAACAAAGTTCTCTTCCTGTCAATCGTCAACGTTTATTGATAAAGGGAAAGGCTTTGCCTGACCAAAAGACATTAAATGAGCTTTCTATTCAAGAGAATGCTGTTGTACATTTGATGGTGACAGCTGCTCCTGCTCCCTCTACAGGTCGTTTTGGTGTTTCTGCAGAAGCTGAGCAAAAGATGTCTAGCCCTGAATTTTGGTCAGCCTTGGAAAAGACAGTGATTGAACAACTTGGTGAGACAGATGCCAAGTTAGTTTTTAGTAAAATCAAGGGTTCATTACAATAAAAAACTATTTATTACAAGCATATAGTATATTAAGAGATTAACAATAGAGAGTATATATAAATATAAAAATACAATATCATTATCATTATTATGCATCCAAAAGCCATCCAGCAACTACTTTTTCTTCGTCTGTACTGTCAATTAAGTCTTCTTCTTCAATAAACCATTCTTCATCTTGATCTTCTAAAGGATCTGTTTGACAGCCACGGTCCATAGAGCGTATTTTCCTTTGTGCGGGGCGAGTAGACGAAGATGGGATCACATAAATCATATCAGCATGTTTATCGACCGGCGATAGCTTCAATGGTTCCTCATCTTTTATAGGCATGAGTTTGTGATTTGCTTCATATTGAGTACGAAGATCCTCCCATAGTTTGTTTGTATCTGACGCAGCCATTATCTCAAGGGCACTTTCATGAAACGAAGGTGGTCTTGATCCCATAGAAGCACGCTTCAGAACCATACTGGAGGGCCTTTCGATGCGTGGTGGCCTTGTTGGCTTTGTGTCCAACATGACATTTTCAAGCGGAGGAACACCTCTTCGCTTATAGAGTCTGCTTGAATTGGACCGATGAAACCGTATAGGTTCTTCTTCTTGCTTGTCTTCTAGAAAAGAACGTCTTGAACGCTGAGAAGGACGGGAGGCTACACTGGAAGCAGGCGTTAATGGTGGACTATGAGTTGTCTCGATTGCATTGGCTTGCTTTGTGTTGACATAATGATCACGACTTATACGACGACGACGAGGAGGAGGAGAGATAGGTAAAGAAGAGTCTCTGGTAGGTTTATCCAAACTCATTCTCTCTAAATCCAAAGATAGTTCATCTGGTGGAGAGCTGGAGACTTCAATGGACTTGAGGCGAGTAGGTGTTAAAGAGACTCGTTTTGTGCTGCCTGATCTCAACAATTCGTCAAAATCGGAATGGTCACTAAAAGAAGGCGAAATGGGTGATGTGATAGATGGCGTTTTTGGTCGTTTTGTAAAGTAATGCGAGATGGAGTTACGTTTCTCTTTACCAAAGATCTTGAAGCGACTTTTACTTCCTGTTGATTTGACAGTACCATCACTCAATACAGAGACAGGGCGGTCATGGAGACTTTCGCTTGAACGCATAGAGGAATTAGAGGTCATGATGCGAGAATCTAGACTCTTGTCTTCATTTGAACTAGAGTCGTCTTTTTTGTATGATGAGTGCGTATTCAAGATCCAAATTGACTTACATGTAGAATGACGCTTGTTTCTTAAGAGTACAGGACTTGGTACAGGGGAAGGAAGTGATGCTGTATAATACATCGATGCTCTTTTCTACACAACATATCAGTATAAATTGAAACAGGCCATGTATACCATTTACTTCCAACTTGTCTTTCAGAGTCATGCGACGAAACAATACATTGATTTGAGGATCACCCAACAAGGTAAACAAGACCTCCTTAACCCTGATATGCTCAGTATCTGACTGATCTGCAGCAACAGCCACCGAGTTAAGGATAAATTCGGCCATGTGCTCAATAATGGTCGTAAGATAGACAATCACAATAGATGCAATCACCATCGAATTCTGCTGAGAATCATAATGTTCAATTTTTTTGTCGGTCAGTTTTTCAAAGGCCAAGGCACAATAGTGAAAACAGGCTTCTTGCACCATTGGCACGACTTGATTTAAAGGGAAAAATCCGCCATGATTCAAAGATCGCATTTTTTCATACATGACTAAATCGTGCTGGTTGGACTCAATCGCCTGTCTTAATTCAACTTCTGCCTCGACAAGGGCACTTTTGCCAAGTGAGTCAGGTAGTAAGTGAGTCACTGCTGCTTTTAGGCGCACAAGGTCTAGAGATGAAGCAGAGATCAACAAAAGTGCAAGAAATTCATCAATAAACATATTTATGGCTTGTAGTGCATCACTTGAGATACGAAAAGGGCCAAGTTCAGCTATAATAGCATGAGCTGCTCTCTGACAGACATACGAGCCTATTGAAAACAAGTAAGAAAAAAAAAAACAAAAAACAAATGACAAACTAAAAGATCACCTTTTGACATGGTTTAGATGAGTCAAAGCTGTTCTTACAAGGGATCGTATTCAGTCAATAAAAAAAAAAAAAGAAAAAGAAAAAGAGGATACTTTAGTCCTCAAAAAGTATTTCCAAATAAATAGGAAAAACAAGGGGGGAAGAAGGAGGGAGGAAGGGAGGGGGAGAGAAAAGAAGAGGAAGAAGGGAAAAAAGTGGAAAAGAAGAGGCTATTTTTCTTCTTTATGCAGATGTAAATTAGATGATCGATTGCCACAAATCATCGTTTTGACCGATCTATATAGACTGTATAGCAGTTTATTTTTACTACGAAGCACTATTCCCTTTTTAGTCAATTCATTTACAATGCGTTGCAACAATGGGGGACAACACCAATAGGCTAAGTTTATTACATAATCAATATGGACTTGAATAAAATGAGGCATGTACGTCATTTTAACACTTTTTTTATTTTATTTTATTTTTCTTTCTTTCATGATACGCGTCATAAATAAGAGTACTTTACTATTAAAGAAACAACATATTCTCCCGAGATCAAGTCTTGTTTTATTTCAAAAGACTCGATACTCTAGTTCTTTACCAAATTCACATAAAATATATGCTTTACCCTTTAAACTTCCTGAAGAGAAAGTACATCAAATTGTAAATATCGCTTCTTATGTAAATCAGCATGCTTTCTTTGGTATCTTTAAAATCTTCAAGAGTGTAAGCAATTCATCGCGTTGTGCGTATCATTCATCTGTCCTTTAGATATTCACTCGAAAAATGCCAGAAGTGAAAGAAAGTGTGTCATCCATGCAAGTTCGTAAGGCCTATCTTCCTCTTTGGTATTATGATATGGCTGTGTCAGCAGACATTACGCCCTCTTCAAAAGACGAAAGTGAGTCTGCCGAAACAATACTCAAGACCATGGGCCCAGCACGTCAAATGTTAGGCATTGGATTTGACTGTTATTGGCCTGGGCATGTATGGGATCCTGTCTGTTATCTGAGTCTGGCAAGGTCCCTCTAACACGCATAGAAGACATGGTCCCTTTCTCTCCTGAACTTTATGAATCCAAAGACGATATAGAAATCATACCTTTCACAGTCAATCCGCTTGTCGATATTGTAGAACGTACACCAAATGCACTTGAGCATCTTACGGTTGATTCACCCACACATAAATCAGGCATCTTGACCATGCATCAGGCCAAAGTCCTCTTTAGTTCAGTTTATCCTATTTATTGGCCAGTCTACATTGCTCAGTTCACAGTGGATCAGAAAGAGGAGGATAAGCCCAAGACAGTCGTGATTGCAGCACACAGTGATGATCCTCCTATCTATCAATGGGATTCGAGTAAGAAGGGAGCAGAGCAATGGATCAATAATGGCCCTTGGGTCAATCTGGATGTGACTGAACCTGAATGGCAAATGGGATTTGGTGCTCAACCTCCTCTAAGATACTTGGTCCATCGATTCTTGACAGAAGTCGTAGGCCAGTTTCAGACAACGACCATTGATTGGGATGATGATCGTATTCAAGCTTATCCCAACTACCAACATCAAAACAGAGAGTATTTAAAGCAGTTATTTAAGGTCTGGGCTGAACGTAACATGCTCTCACGTATTGAAGGATTGGATGAGAACCAAAGAACAGTGGGTTTACGTAGAGGATCTACAGCAGAATCAAAAGACAAAGCAAAGCCTCTGATTCAAGTCCAGACAGTAGGCGACATTCGTAGTGGCATTGAGAGTAGAGTAAGCCAAGAACTTGCTCGTCTTGAAGAACTAGAACCTGTCTGGTACAAAGAATATATTAAGAAAAAGAAAAATGAACAATAAAAATTGTCCTAACAAAAGTTTCCGATCCTCTTTAACAAAGTATGGCCATAAAAAGAGATAAGGATCAAACCCGAGTTTTTCTTTCTTCTCTCTTTCAATTTCCCGCAATTTGTCATGACAGCTTATAGTACATTAAGAAATCCTTTATTAGAAGACTATCACACACATAACTTTAGCAAGAAACTCAAGGACTCTCAGCTGTCACTCAAAGGCTTGTTTAATCCCGCAGGCATCCGAATCTCGAGTCATCTTGGTCATCGAAAAATCGTTCCGTCTTCTCTTTCGAGTTCTAAAAAGGTGAGTTGTGATCATGCTGGTCATTGTCAACAACAACAACAGCAACAACAGCAATATCGCTACCTTATTAAAAACCGTCGTGAGCAGAATGAACCCTTGGTTCACTATAATGGTCCTTATGAAACTCTTGATCAATTACCGGAAGAAAAGTTGGCATGGATCACAACAGAGACATTAGATAGTCAAGAATTAAGGCACCCTTTATTGGACTATCCGCGCTCTATTGTGTTTCGTAAACCTTACTATCGTCATGCGTAAGTAGAGTCTATATTTGTCATCAACTTGATGGTGTTCTATAGATCATCCTTAGGCTACTACAGATCAAATGAACAAGCTAGTGTGAATAAGCCGAGAGCTACTTTTTGTCTTCGAAGCAAGTATATCATTTAGATTTAATCTACTAAACGTACCTATAGTCCTACAAGTCATTAATCAGAACTCTTCAAAACGTAAGCAGACAACATATAACACCCATATTTACTCTCTATAGCATGTCTTGTTCGCTCTTCTATGGAAATGAACAATCAAGTATTCTCAGGATCTTTTGCTGCCAGTCAAAAGTGTGGCAAGCATGGATCTCAAACTAATTTTGATGAAACTTATATTCTGTAAGTTATACTTTAATGTCTAGGCTATTTATACTGCTTGTTAGAGATGTGGATACATTTTCTACTGCTACTCTTTCGATTTATGCACAACCAAAGACTGCATTAAGTATGTTAAATTCCCGCTTTAGTCAGCCTGAAGTTTGTTTGGGAACACAAGAATTCAAGATACAGATGAGACCCTCAGAAAAGAAACTAAAGCGGATCACAATACAAGACAAAGAGAGCCATGATCAATATCAGGTGTTGATCGTGTTTGGAACTTATGTGAGCTCACGTGTGATGACTTTGTTGGACAACAAGCGTATATATGAGGGATTTCTGACTGTATATACCAGAGGGAAATTAATTCCAGTAAGTTAAACAACCGTATATTTCTCCTTCACTCACATTGCTGTCGATAGCGATGGACACGTTATTGGGCTGCTTTGTATCCCGGTCATATTGAATTGTATGATTTTGAATATAAAGAGGTAACACGATACATATAGATCAACGTGCTGATCTCGCTTGCTCTTAAGACAAAAGATCCCCTTTATAAAATATCACTCAAGGCATTACTGGACGTATTTCATCCTCCTACAGATGACGATGAAAGATTAGTGGATGTTGGGTCACTTGGCTTAGCTTTACAGTTCTCAGAGGAGAGTTTGATGGATAAGATGATAAACCCTGACTTTGAATATCGTATGTATATTCTGCCTGATGATCTAGAGAAATCGCAAGAATGGGAACAAGCCTTGTTGCATGCTGCTTCTTTGATTAATGAATTTAGATATGATGAAAGTTACAGTGCCATAAAAGTAAATACAGAAGACCAACAGGATTCAAAGACAACGATTATTTATTCCAAATTTCTTTGGTAAAAGAAAGGAGCTATGATTCTATCTATATATATAAAGCCATGTGTTCTTTTTTAATTGTTTATTTTTAGGGTCATTTTATATTGAGCTAATTGAGTTTCGGAAACCTCGCACCTATTTTTGTTTAAATAGCCCTTTTTTATCTTTTTTCTCTTTCTTTTCTTTGTCTTTTTCGAATGAACTTTAACAAACAAGTGATTGATATGCAATTCATTTTTTTGTTATTATCACCATAAACATTCTTACATATCTTTGCTATTTAAATAACTATTAACACACATACACACATACACTAAATATTCAATCATGGTTGCTACATCTAATGTTGCTTTGCATCAAAAAAGACCTTGTCACCATGGACACCACTCCAAGCATGTAAATACACCCCTCAGCCATACACTTTCTTTGATTGAACACCCATCTTCCCCTATTCGATTCTTAATTTTAGACTGTCCTACAGAATCCACATTATCATTTTATATGGAAGAATTCAAGAACTTAGATGTTTCTACTGTTGTTCGTTGCTGCCAACCTACCTATAGTTCAGAAGCACTACTTCAAAATGGCATTTCTGTTGTAGATTTGCCTTTTAAAGATGGAGGCATAGTAAGTAAATTTTACGCTATATTTATAAATGACTCATTGTGAAACAGCCTCCTCCACACGTTGTACATGAATGGCTTCATGTGATTGAAGAAGCCAAGACGAAATCAGTCCAATACCAACAATCACTCACGATTGCTGTTCATTGTGTAGCTGGACTAGGTAGAGCACCTGTACTTGTAGCTATTGCTTTGATCGAACTTGGTATGGCTCCCTTAGATGCCATTGAATACATTCGAGACAAGCGACGAGGTGCATTTAATAAACCCCAAATTGCATTCTTGGATGGCTATAGACGTAAGCCTACAGGAAGTCAGTATTCTCTCCGAGTATCATTGGGTAGAATGTTTGGGTTTGGGCCAAAGACAACCATTGTTTCTCAACAAACTTAATTTATTCAACGTCATAATAATCAACATGGCTACCAGATTCGAATTCGTTCTTTTCCAGCAGTTGGCATAACTTGTTGGCTGAATCTTGCATTTGTACCAATTTACCCTTTGAATCATAATGGTTAAATAAATAAATAATTACCTTCATTTACACTACCTCTTTTTTAGCTTTTGTGTATAATTCACGTTGTTCAGGATCGCCGACTGTTTCGCGAAGATGTTGCTGCATTTCATTGTCAAGTGGTCCAGGAGCATAAGACAATGCACGAATAGAAGGCTAATCTTGAATAAATATCTCTACAGCTTTTTTTTTCTTTCTTACTTCTTCTTTGGCCAATACTTGCAATAGCATATCACGGGCTGATTTACCAGTCGCATATAGTCCAAAATGAGAGAATGCTTGGACTGCCAATAATGAAGAAATATTGACGACGGTCAACTCAATGAGACCATTATTAAGTAATCGAATGAACCCAGATCTACAAAAAGGTAAGTAACATAGAGCGTCATCATTATATTATTTACACCAAGGCAACATAAGAACTAATGTTGAAACTAACATAGTCTTGGATCTCGGATACAGTATAGTCACTGATCTTTTTGGATAAATCACCTATTGATCCAGCGTTGTTGATCAAGTAAGCGTTTGTAATTGGCGCAACATCCGTTTCTTTCCAACTCTACTGTTATCAATACATCACTCTATACTCGAAAAATTTACCTTGAGTAATTGATCTAATTTGTCAATCACTGTCTCTTGAGCTTCTTTAGCTCCTTCCAAACTAACGTTAGCAATGATATGACAAGAGATCTCGGTGTTGTCGAGTTGAATACGCTCAAGTTGAGAAGCATCGCGTCCAACTAAAACAACAGTCGTCTTGTTTTTTGCCTTAGCTGCTATGGTTTCGGCAATAGCCTTTCCAAAACCTCGATTAGCACCAGTAATAATATAAAGTGAATGCTTCAATAACATGGGAAAATAAAATAAAAGAAGGGGTTGTACAATAGCAAGTTTTTATTGTTTTATGTCTTCACAGAGTATTCGGTCTTGAATTTCTGCACGACACAAAGGACTGGGAAGAATTAGCTTATGTAGAACACATTCAACTTACCATAAACTCAAGGCTTTTGCACAACGACCACCTATACCATCATGTTTACAAGGCATAAGCATTGTATCTTTTGGCTCTGAAAAACAAATAGTACAAAGAGGCCCATCCCAGTCATAATCCTCCTCCTCCTCCTCCTCCTCCTCCTCTTCTTCTTCTAGTTCTGTACTATCTGACTCGGGTGATGGTTGTTGTGCTATATCATCTGCACCCACGCGAGGCCTTAAGGGAGGCTTGTTCATTGGTTGATATGATTTTCCATGTGATGTTACACCCCGCTTCTTGACCCACCGCATTACTCGTTTCCTGAAATCATGATCTAATGCACCTGCTTCATGAATACCTCGAAACTTGACTGTGGTAGGTGGCGGGTACATCCAAGGCCGTTCACCAAAATTCACAAGTGCTTGTTGATGTGTTGTTAAGCTAATAGCTGGATATAAACCTAAACCTTTCACAGGCTTTTTATTCTTTTTCTTTTTCTTGCTGTCGTCCATTGTTTGCGATAGGATGGGCGTAGTGGGTTTTGGTGAATGTGTTATGCTCGGAGGTGTAGATTCATGCGTCACAGAGGAACAAGAAGACACTTCTGAACTCTTTCGACTGTGTTTTCTGTTTGGATGCTCAAATTCAACTGTCAGACCTAGATCACATCCATTGATATAGTACGAACAAAATCCATTATCAAGGTCAAGGAAACTGCCAATCACATCGCCTGCTTGACACCGTATCTTGACCTTGTTTTGTGGGTAAACTGCGGATCCATCTGCCCATACTGCTGTTCGATAGGTGTCAAAGGCAAAGCCATTCTATGGGGAACACGTCAGTCGGTATATCTTATTTGTTTGGTACTTTACACAATCATCGCCCACACCATAACCCTCCTCGGGAGAAAAGCGGCATCGACTTGTTGCCCAGCCAATTTGCATAATTCCATTACTTAACAATAAAGTTTCATAGTACCATTTGTCTCGTTTGACACAGGCAGTAGCGCGAACAGATTCAAAATGAGGTCGATCGTTTCGAAGCTAGTCATGTTAAGTTTTGTATCCAATATCTTACACAACTTACTTCTAGACCATTGCCTCCTATCTTTAAATGCGGTGTAGAATCAAAAGGGTTCATAATCACTCTGGACTGCTCTAAATCCCATGGACAAGTAATCTGATAAAGATAAATCATCATTTCTTTTCAAAGTCTCCTCTACCTTTTTTGCATCAATAAATACATGGTCTAAAGCCCACCTCGAGCATAATCCTAGCTGGACGTATTTTGCCCATTCTTCTCGAAGTGGCCCCTTTGGAGGAATAAATCTTGAATCAAAACTGTTAAGATTCGAAAATGCCGAAATATCTTCATGGGTTGATGTGGATTGACTGCTGAGTGTAGAGAGCGTAAGTGATGATTTTGTATGAGGCGTTGTTTGTTCTTCTGTCATGGCAAGTGTAAACATACGTTCATTGGCCACTTCACATTCTTTCACGACAAAAAGTAAGACGGAACGTATATTGAAATCGTGGGCAATGATGATGTCCTTGACCGTTCCTTTTTTTTTTTTTTTTTTTTTTTTGTAAGCATCTTTTTTTTTTTTCTTTTCGTTTTTTTACCTGTCAATGCAAATTTCTCTAAAGCCAATAAAGAAAATATACGGACCATCAAATCTTCTTGTGGATCCGATATGGATCGCATCAGCATATCACCCACATCTTGATGCCATAAAGAAAGGCACATCTCGCCTGCAAATTTTTCGGCAAGAAGAGACCAAAGAATGGCTGCATTCAGCTTAAGTTTTGTTTGTTCCGAATTTTGAACAGTGGCCATCAAATTAGGTGATGTAGGATGGTTTGTCTCAAACACTTGGTTCCGTAGCGCTTCTCGTTTACTGGATGATCTTTCAAGTTTAAACCGATTGGAGATGAGTGAAATCATGCGTTGAATTCGGCTCGGTTTTCTGTTAAGTTTGGAGATAATGACAGGTGAAACAGCAAGCATGGTGTCTCTTGATGGCAAAGCTGCTCTGTCTATAATATGGCTCAAGAATGCCATGGCTACTGGGCTATCAGGGTCCAAGTTGCTCGTGATGGTGCCAATAAACGCAAGATAACCCGGTCCTTTTAATTTCAGTAAGCATCATAAGAGAGAGAGAAAAACAATACATACCTTCATAGGCAAGTGTAAATAAAGCATCTAAAGCATGCACCATATGCCTTTCTCTATCATAGAATTCAACTTGACTTTGATCAGACGGTTCTAATGAAGGCTGATTTTCGCTTGAATTGGATGTGGATCTACTAAGTCTTCGTGTTTCATTGGGGGATGTTTGTGACATGTCATCTTGCTCAAATTCTTGAACATGATTTTGTGCTATAGCTAATATTCTTTTCCATGAATTTTCTACTAATCGACCAGCTTGATCACTCATAGGCTTAAAAGCCAAATCCATATTCGGCATACTATTCTCTTTCTTTTTTATTTATTTATATTCCTTTGCAGCAAGCTTAATACGAAAAGAAATGAAAAAGAAAAAAAAAAAAAAGAATGATCTTTTTTGTTCTCTTTGAATTGAATGATATGATGGGAACCGAGGAAAAAAAATAATAATAATAATACTGTTTAAACAAACATATGAGTTCACTCATTTGTAAAAATTTCCTCTCATAATTTTTTTTTATTATTTAATTTGAGACTATTCTTGTAAATCATAACTATTTATAAAAGCTAGAAGGTTATTGTTTGATACTACAGGTGCTGACCATTTAAATGAGAGTGTGTTCACGGTAGCAGTTAAAGCAATGGCTTGGTATAATTCTTGTACATTGGCATATGTTCTTTTGGAGAGAAGAGCAGCAGCAATACCCGAAACATGAGGATTGGCCATACTGTTCATATAACATGTTAAGCCATTTTGTTTTCTATATGCTCTACATTACCTTGTTCCATCTAGTATCTTGGACTGATTTGGCCCATTGATCCAAGTACTTTCAATTTCTGATCCAGGTGCATACAGTTGAACACAACCACCTACATTAGAATATGCTGGCACATCATCATTTAAATCGGAAGCACCGACTGAGAACACATGCGGGTTGGAAGAAGGAGAAAACAGACAAGCATCTGAGGCAGAATTACCAGCAGCCACAAAGACTGGAATATGATGATCCACAACCACTTTTGTCAAGATGTCATCAATCAATTGAGATTTGGGCCCACTTAGCGAGAGATTGATAATACTTTTGCCTGGTTCAGCGACTGTAATCACATGAGAAATACCCTTAATAATATTACTGAGAGCTCCATCACCTAATCGGTTGAGGATTTTGACGGAATGCACATTCGCCTTTTTAGCAATACCATAAAGACTGCCTGCAATTTTACCTGCAACATGTGTACCTGTGTTATATTAGATGGTTATTTAGAACCGGTTTTACTTGCCATGGCCTCCTAAATCAGTGGGACCTTCTTCTTCTACAAAATTGGCTTCATTGGTGGCCCTATCACCAAAATCTACATGGGCAATATTGACACCAGTATCAAGCACATAGACATGTACACCTTCACCAGCGAATTCATCAAATGTATAATGACTCAAGTTATTTCTTTCATATCGTGTATTGATACGAGCGAGTCCCCAGCTAGATGCTACTTCTGTTCTTAGGTTGGCGTACTGTACTTGTGCCTTGTAGATATGGTTTGGTTCGACATACTCTACAGCGTACTGATCATGCAGATAATCAATGAAAGCATTGTCAGAAAATATGCCAGACATCACTGTAAAGTTATCGTCAAGCGCAAACAAATCAATAGCATCAGGTACTGAAAATGATCGACGATACAAAGATGGATCGTCTTGCTTTTTCCGAGACAATGTATAGGCTGCATGATGTGAAAGTATAAAATTATGGGCTATCAACACCATCAACATAACTCAATAGAAATCTTCTTTATTTACCTGTGGTTGCATTCATCATTGATTTTAGCTTGATAATATGAGTTGGTTGATCAATTGTTTTAGCATATACAACGTACAGCACTGTCAGAAGTAACAAAGTCAATTTCATAATGAACATGTTGAAAAAAGAAATAAACAAACTTTTCTTTCTTTTTATATAAATGCAGTTCAAATGAAGATAGGTGAATTACACAACTGCTAAAATCATCCCATGGTGATTTTTTTAATAACAAACAATTCTAATTTTTTTTCATTTATGCAAATGTGATGCTATTGTCCTTCAAAGTCAAATTGAATGTCTTGTCGAAATCTTTCTTTAAATCTGATTTGATCTTTTCTGATTGAGGGTGTTGCTTGATAAGTTCAATGGTCTTTTTACGAGCGTCTTTTAATGAGGTTGATTTGCCTTCTTTCAAGACTTCCTTCAATGCTAATTTAAGACTCGTTGACACATTCTCGTCTAATTCAGTTGGACTCCAAGCTGTCAATTTTGATTTCTTTTGCTTCTTGGGTTCCTTTTCTTCATTCTTTCTCTTTTTTTCGTTGACTGGGTTGTTTTCTTCGTTCTTTTTCTTTTCATTTAATTGATCAATGAGTGAAACGGGCTTACTGTTCTTGTTATTATTGTTTCCTTTCACTGGAGCATTCTATAAAATAAATTAATCAAAAAGTTCACTTTTTTTTTTTTGCAAACTAACCTTGTTTTGATAAACATGCTTTTGAAACTTTTGAGCTTCAGTCATACAAGAAGTATGCGATTGATAGGAATTGCCTTGAAAGGTCACTGAACAATCAATACAAGTAAAAGTAGCATGGCAACGACCACCATGTTGGTTCAATTTGGGCTTCTTAACAATATCGCCACAACCGTCACACTGGAAACTAATAAAATAGTAAGCATATCATGATAAGACAAAGAGGCAAACCGTACCTGACCATATTATATAAAGAAAGTAAAAAAAAGAAATATTTGTCAAAAAAAACAAAAAAAAAAGGTTCTCTCAGCCACCAAGATTTTGATGTCAGATTAAAGCAAAAGGGAAGTTTATTACACAAAGGGATTAATTGGCAGAAGAACCAGAAGCTTCAGCATTGTTATTAGTTTCATTGGAGGTATTGTTAGAAGCCATTTGCCAAGCGGGAATACCAGCACGAGCACCACTATTGTTAAGTGTGGCAGATAAACGGGAAGATAAACCATCAGTTAAGTTAGTAGATGCTTGAGAAGCAGGTGTGGTAGGTGCACTAGAGACCGAATCAGAAGTAGTAACAGCACGTCTGCTAACAAGAAGGGATTTAAGTGATTTCATTTCGTTTTGAAGATCAACCAGAACTGCATTCTGTGCCTCCTTGTTACGTTCCAAAGTCTATGATATCATTGTCAATTGGTTTATTCAATTCCCTTTCTCTCTCTCTCTCTCTCTCTCTTTTTTTTTTTTTTTTTTTTTTTTTTTTTTTTTTTTACCTTTGGCACCAGTTCCTTTAATGCATCCATATCACTCTTGACACTCTTAAATTCTTGATCTCTTTGTGCATCACCTTCCTTAAGTTCTTTGATGACGGTGTCGAGATTTGTAAGTGAATCATCAATTTTTTTAGATTGTGATGTAACGGTTGTAAGTGCTGTGTTTGTTTGATCTTTAATCTCTTTTAATGAATCCTCCACTTTATAAACAAAAAAAGAAAAAAAGATTAATCATCCAGTCTTATGTTTGTTTGTTTTTCTTTTACCTGCTTGGAATTGAGCGTCTAATTTCTCTTTGTCTTCTTCTAGTTCTTTTTGTGTAGGTACCTTAAACCAAGGACCAAAAAGACGCTATGCATCTTATGTTAATACTCTTATTATCGGTTGAATGTTTACCTTAGCCAATGTCCACACTCCATAACCCACACCTCCAGCTAATACAGCAGCAATAAAAATATCTCTCCAGTCATAAGCAGGTCTGGCTGGAACAGGAGGAGGTGCATGCTGAACCATCATACCCGGTTGTTGAGTAGCCATGGTACCTACCTGAGGAGCGACAGCACCTATTGACTTGCCGTTAACACGAGCCATAGCTTCTTCAATTTCTTCAGAGGTCATTCCCTTGGACTCTAGAAAAGAAACTTTTTTGGCTAAAGGTGCTGACTGAACCTTGGGATCAGATAGGAATGAAATAGCAGAGGTAATAAGGTCTTCACGCATGGTTGGATAAAGAAAGGAAGAAAAATAAGGAGAAAAAAAACTGTGGGGAATTGACTAATGCTGCTTATTAAACAACTTCACATGAATCCAACTCAAAACAGAGTCACAAACTAGATGATTCGCATAAGCATTGTTCCTGAAACTTGATAATGGTCAAGCATTGTTCGGCATGGATCCAAACAAATAAAAAAAAGTGTTTCTCCATATCAACTTGTCGCGTCTCAAAATCTTACTTGTACATTCACTGTAGAAAAAAATGATATTCTATAGAAAAGTGTCAAAATAGATATTCAATGGGTTCATGCAATTTTCATGCAATATAGAATTTAGATATCAGGTTTCTTATGCACTACTTCCTCTTTTTTTTTCTCAAGGACCACCATATATTAGACATGTTCGCAGAGTACCGGGTAGAGAGGGACTGGTTTGAGAGCATACCATCCACTCCAGAAAGCAGCCACTTTTGCGTAATTGTAGTCATTTTAAGAAAAACAAAACAGAGGAAATAGGTAATACTAGGGGCGTCCGGTTTTCCAAATTAGGCCGTTACCCCCCAAAAACCTCTACCTGCCTGTGCATCCCTACCCGAAATTTTTGCACTCCAAAGGAGTTTGGATACAATTATTGTGACAAAGAATACGAGGCATTCATTGTTGTCATGTCTCAAAGCCACTCTCTCTAACTTCAGTAATGTCATGTATTATAGAAAATCTTATTTGTGCACAATTTTCCTATCGAATAGTGTAGAAATAAGTGCCCTTTGACTATACGATGTCTGCTAAAATGAGTCTTTTTTGTGTTGATTACAGTGTATCACGAACTTTGGTTGCATTTTTGAAGCCAATGCTCAAATTAAGTACACTTTTTCATCTTATTGAACTCGTTTTATTTTCTTTAAGAGTATCTAGAGATGGTCTTGTCTGATTTCGGTTGGATCAGGCCTACATTGGGTCATTCCAAAGATTCTTGATCGAGTTTTGTTTTTTCATCTTCACGGACCTCCGTGGATCACCCCCCCCATCGGTCAAAAAATGAGTTTCGCAAAAAAACCAAACCAATGGTGCCATTTGATTCCTGAGCATGAAAGAACATGTTCTAAATGAAAAAAGAGGCCATTTTAATAGTCTGGTTGTCGAGTAATAGCCCATCAAAGATTGGCTTGTTTAAGCTGTGTTTTCAGCATTTTTGCTCTGACTGTCATATGCAAGGTGCTAGCAATTGACTCTTCTGAAGCATCTTATGTTATTCTGAGTGCCAAATAACATAGGGAAATAGAAACATGGGCCTTCTGTATTCTAGATGTGGGGTAAATGGACATAGGACATACATGCTGACTGTGTGCGAAGATTAAAGAAAGACATAACTCCACTTCTTCTCGCCGCAATAAAAATCGAGCTACTTCTAAATCTCGGACAGCTACCATTTTGTGTAGAGTGAATGGAGTGGTTTCCAAACTCTGTTTTATATTGAGACAACCTTATGGTCTTTGTTTCATATATGGGGCATTGCTTTTCTTTAGAGAGCCTAGCCAGAGACTTGGGTAAGCAAAGATTAACAATGAGACGAAATGGAACAAATATAAAGTGTTGATCCAGTTATTTGATGAATGGTTGAATATCATTTTGATTGAAAACCTATGAATATAGATGAACAACCACATATGAAAAAATATAATAGTAAAAAGTCTCTCAAAGCAAACAAATCTTTCTTAATCTTCAACTATAAAACTTAATTGAAAATGTGAATATCTATTCTCTTATAACAAAAAATGCATTTTAAACCTTCTTGCCCAATCAAAGTATATGAATAACTCAACATATAAAAGCTTATTTCAGGACAAAATCATGATCGACACAAGCAAACAAAATAAGATGAGAATGAATGCACGACTATGCTTCATGTAATAAGAAGTGACGCCATGCTTCAATCCTTTGTCTTTCTTTACAATATCTTAGCTCCTACCTAAACACACACCAGCATCTGCGCGCAGAAAGTGAAAATGCCGCGTTTTATGTTTTGACGCGTTTTTTTTTTCTTTTTCTGTATTTCACTTCCTCTTAAAGCAAGATGGCAAGACCTAAAAAGACCACTGTGGTATGCTTGTTTATTTTTATATACAAAAGATGTCAAATATAAACGTATTAAACATAGGAAGCGTCTTCACAAAGATCTCTTCGTGTCAGAACAGTTCCTGATATGTTTATAAAGCAAAAGACTGGTAATTATCGTATCTACAAATGACCTTTATTCATGCCATATCTTAGTTGCTAATAGAAGACGAATTATTCAGAACGACGATTCGAGTGAAGAAGAAGCTGAAGAGGACGAACTCAACTCATCTGAAGGCGAATCTGACAGTGAGAATGAGATGCAAACCAAAAAAAGAAAGCCCACCAGAAGAGCCAAAGGAAAAAACGTTGCTTCTAATGTTGTTGTTAGTTCCAGCAGTCGATTATTGGAACAAGTCAATGACTCTTCTCCTAACACCCAGAATAGTTTGTATGGTAAAGATACTTGCTGAATTCAATGAGTGTGGACCTAACTGATTCAAATAGAAATGGCCTTATCGCCTGAAAGCAGTATGGATGATATTGTAACTGAATGGACAAAGAAATACGAATCAAATCAGCGCAATGCTCTTAAGGACTTGATCAATTTTGTTATTCGTGTGAGTACACCATAGTCTTTTATATATATAGGCAAATATTTATTTAATGTATACAGAGTTCTGGTTGTTCAATGGCAATTACTGATGAAGCATTAATGCAAGAAGATGGCTCGCTCAATACACTTCAAGAATTACAACAAGAACTGGGCAAAGTAAGTTAACTAAGCTCTTTTGCTGTACTAACAAACAAGTAGCTTCCTCACACTGAATACCCTATTGTTTCTAGAACAAAAGAACATAGAACTCTGAGACGTAACTTGTTAATCTTTTTCCAAGAACTTATTGATCAATGTCAACATGGTGCTATTTATGACGGTGTCTTGATTGAAACCCTTCAAAACTGGCTAACTACAATGTCTAGCTCTGTCTACCGTCCTTTTCGCCACACTGCCACACTTGTTGGTCTCAAGACGATCAATCAGCTCTGTGTAGTGGGTGAAAAAGAAAGAAATGAACTGTCGATTGTAAGCCGACAAATGTCTGCTGAAAAGAAAAAGAAGAGTCAAAGCAAAGACAAAGTGACTCTGTTACACCAAAAATACACTGCTATCCAGGGCAGATGCAAAGACTTGGAAGAATATCTTGCTGAATTCTTTGAAGGCATTTTTGTCCATCGTTCCCGTGATGTTGAATCCATTATTCGTAGTGAATGTCTTAAAGAACTCTGCAGTTGGATGCAAAACTTTCAGGGTTTCTTTGTTGATAATACATACCTTCGCCACTTTGGTTGGTCCTTCAATGATCCTAATGCAAGTGTTCGTTCTGAAGCACTCAAGTCTATTATTAAGCTCTATAAGATCGAAAGTATTGCTGCTAAACTCTCTGTGTTTACCAACCGCTTCAAGGCTCGCATTGAAGAAATGGCATTGTATGATGTTGATGTCTCTGTTCGCGTACATGCTATCCAGTTGTGTAGTGAACTCTTCAAGCTAAAGATTGAAGTGTTAAGTGAGAATGGTCGGAGCCATTTGTCTGACATGATTGCTTCAGACTCGGCTCGTATTCGTAAATCTGCTGCTCCTTTTGTAAAGGCCTTGATCGAAACCAATTCTATTTCTCCTCTCTTACAGACTATCACTCGCTCTTTGACTGGAGGTCGTCGCAATACCAACAATGTCCCTGTTAACAAGGTCTGGGTTACTTTTAAGGCTTTTGCTTCTTTCCTTGTTGAACAGACTGCCAATTTGATAGAAAAAGAAGAGGGCTCAGATAAAATGCAAGTTGATTTGGAAGCATTGTCTAGTGCTCTTATTGAAAAGCGTACAACTATCATTTCAAACATTGTTGAAGCTCTTTGGGAACAATTGCCTGAATTGCAAGATTACCAAGCTTTGTCTGACTATCTCTGCAGAGATCATTCTAAATCTCAACAAGACGATCATATGGATACTACTAGCAGCAGTAGTATTGAAGACTGCTATCGATTGAACGAAGAAGAAGAGACAGTTTTGATTCATGTGTTTGTTGCTTCTCTTCATACAGCGCTATCCAAGGGACTCGATAAAAACTTGCCTGAAGGAACCAAGGATAGACGCAAGTTGGATGCTGCCTTTTTTGAAGAAACCAAAAACGAACTCTCTCGTTATTTAGTTCAAGTCTTGCCTCGCTTGTTGACAAAGTATTTTGATGATGCTAACCGTATGCAACAACTGGTTACTATTCCCACCTTGATGAATTTGCAAGTCTATGTTGAATTGCGTGCAAACAAGGAATACGATGAATTGATCGAAATATTGAACCGTGTCTACCTCAGTGCTATCTTGACAGATCTCTTAAAGAACTGTGCTGTTGCTCTTGGTCATATCATGAACAATACCAGTCTTATGGAAGTCAACAATAGCTTTATGGAGGATCTTAAGCTTGCAGTTGTTCAACAAGTCAGAGAAGTCTGCAGTGGTAAAGATATGGTTACTGCCAACTATACAGCTGCCTTGATTCACTCTATCTCTGTCAGCATGCTTCGTCTTGAATACCTGATCAACTTTACTGATTCTACTGTTGCCATGGACGACTCTCAGGGCATGAGTACAAGTGTGATTGAATATACCGGTGCTCTTGTTGATCGTGCTGCTTTTGGCTATGAGAAAGAAAAAAACATCAGCTTATCAGCTATGGCTGTTCTTGCTCGCTACATGATGTGGAAATGCCATGCTCTCTCTATTGCTTCGAATGCTGCTGAAGTGGCCCCTGTGATTGAGCGTCGTCGTGATTGGGCTTTTGACAAGTTCATTGAACTTATCAAGGGCGTAGATGTCAGTCCTTTAGCTGAAGTACGCTCAGCTGCCTTGGGTTATTTAGTTGATGTTTACTGGTTATTCACAAGCGATCTATTTGAATCGTTCGGATTGACTCGTTTAAAGACGCGTTGTCCTAGCGATCTTCAAAAATCATGCGCTGACTACATCACTGAACAAATCAAGATTTACAAGCAATTAGTTGATGATTTTGATATTGACGATGAACCTTCTAAACAAGCACTTTCAGCTCACAAAGAACTACTCGGCTCATCACTTTCTAGTTTTTCTCGTGGTATATTGGTGGGTGTATTTGATATCAATTATGCTGTCTTGTTATTGAGTGAATATGGTAACAACGAACCTGTGCTGGATGATGCTGTGAAGGCTTTGGTTACTAAATTCCAGATGGATTTGATTTCTGGTGAAGTTGCTGCTGATGGCATCTGTCGAGCTTATTTAGAAGCACTCAAGAAGTCATTCAATACACATATTGCTGAATCGAGTCGTTCTTTTGAAAAGACAGTCAAATTAGCTAAGCTAGAAGCCACTTCTTTAAGAGAAGCTGATAAAGAAGATGTTGCTAGAAAGGTGCCTCCTCAAATTGTCTGTGAACGTATTCATTTGGATGGTATTACCTTTGCTATCTCTAAGGCTACTGAAGCATACAACAAGAACAAAGATGAAGACAGAGATAATGCTCTCAAATTCTTCAAGGTACTTAATGCATTTGCTAAAGATCTCTCTCGTGCGCGTGATATTGCCAAGATGTAAGTATTAAGAAAAAAAAAAGGCAATGTTCTGATTGCTCACTTGCTATAAGCCATTATCATCTAGAGGATACCTTAAGAACAAGCGGTTTGTTTGTAGAAGAAGGTAAAAAGGAATGGGAGCATTATGCTGCTTACGTTCAGTCTATTGATCAAGTATTGAAGAAGAAGGGTCTTAAATATGGTAAACACATATATCGTGTATGGCTTTGATTAATTTGTATTTAGATGCTACTAAGCGAACAACCAATGCAGAGACACCAGTGGCCCATGTCTTTGATGATATTGAACTTGGCGATGCCACTGTCCAAAGCACGAATAAGCGTACATTGACTGATGTTGATATGGATGTTGACGATGAATCTGTTGCCAAGAAACGACGCGAATAATGTAAATATCATCATCTTTTTTTTCCCCCTCTCTCTATCTTTCTCTTTGTCGTATAAAATAAACAACTTTCACCCTGTGTAAAGGATTGGTTCAAATTGAGTTTTATTGTGATGGGTTATTCCTTTATATTTATTTATAGCTTGGTAGGCTTTCTGTACACTGTAGTAGCGGCAGCTTGTGCAGTGGGAAATACTATAAAATGAATCAGATCAACACTAATAACAATAAGGCTTACCTAGCATATCGCATATATTAACATGAGGTGGTCTTGAAGCTGTGAATGTAACAAGTTCAGCTATATGAAAAAAAAAAAAAAATTGAGTTAAACGGCTTTATGTATTTGAATCAAGCTACCAATATCTTGACCAACAAGTGGCTCTACACCCTTATAGACATTGTCTGCTTTTTGTTTGTCTCCATGAAATCGAACAGTAGAGAACTCTGTGTTTACCATACCCGGACAGATTTGGCTAACGCGAATAGGTGTATCCATCAATTCAAACAATAAAGAGCGAGTGATTGCATCGACTGCATGCTTGGTACCTAAACAGAATTTAATACACACTCTATTTCGACCCAATAGACTTGTACCACAATAAATACTCCCACCAGGATAACTTTCTTTTCCAGCAACAGACCCAATATTGATGATATGTCCTTTTCCGTTTGCTTTCATACCATGTAATACTGCTTGAGTCACATACACCAATCCTTTCACATTGGTCTCAAACATGGTATCAAAGGCTTCTTCGCTCACGTCTATTAAATGATCTAAACCAATCACAAGTCCTGCATTATTGACCAATACATCAATGTCATCTTTCCATTCTAATTTTGAAAAGGCTTCATCAATATGTTTCTTTTTGCGTACATCAAGGGACATGGTGTGAATATGAATATCTTGATGCTTGTTTGAGAGTTCATTCTTTAATGACTCAAGTCTATCTGCTCGTCGGGCTGCTAGAATCTATCTTTTCATTAAGTACGTGGGAATAAAGTACGTCAATGATATACCAGATTAGATCCTTGTTTAGCAAATTCTCGAGCACACGCTTCCCCAATACCAGCTGAAGCTCCTGTTCTATAATGAATGAGTAATTGTTTGTTCTCAGTCATATAATTACATCAACACATTCTTTTTATGAAGACGAGGATGATAAAAGCGTTTTTTAGTTAAATGAAATGATCTTTTTAAAAACATGAAAATAATAAGAAGAAGGCGCATCATATCAACTTGTCGCGTTTCAAAAGCTTGTCGTATTTTGAAATTTCTGTTTATAGGAACTTTGATTGATACAGTCTTACATATTTTCCTTTTGAAGAATTTGATGTCTCTTGAGGTTACTCTTAACAACCGAACAGTATCTATACCAATTCACTTGTGTATAGGGATGCTATCCATGACAACATACGAGCTCTGACAGTACTCATAGGTATCCAAAATATCAGAATGATTGCCTAAAAAGCGCAAATAATGACCAGTGGTAGTCTTGGCTTCAGAGCTTTTTCTTGGTCAAGCTTTCTCTTTTTTGCCAACTTCTACAAGTTGTTTGGTGGCTACACTGGGAGCTCAAATACTGATGTTCACAACTGCATATAAAATTGGTGTCTCATATTTTGAAGCCCATACAAAGGTAATTCAAGCTTTCATCCAGATTCTACAGTAACTTATATGCCATACGGCGGCCATTTTAATAGTCTGGTTGTCGAGTAATGGCCCATCAAAGATTGGCTTGTTTAAGCTGTGTTTTCAGCATTTTTGCTCTGACTGTCATATGCAAGGTGCTAGCAATTGACTCTTCTGAAGCATCTTATGTTATTCTGAGTGCCAAATAACATAGGAAAATAGAAACATGGGTCTTTTGTATTCTAGATGTGGGGTAAATGGACATAGGACATACATGTTGACTGTGTGCGAAGATTAAAGAAAGACATAACTCCACTTCTTCCCGCCGCAATAAAAATCGAGCGTTTGCTGAGAACTGCATAAAGAAGAAGCTATTGAGCTTTGGTGCAGTGACAAGAGCTGTTAATTTTTGCTTTTTGAGTCTATTGATGTAAGGATCACGACAGTTTTGCTGCTAAAGTCTTGAGCAAATGGACGAAAATGTTTATGGAGGTTTTCATCCATATCTTATCGCTTTCATAGCATCATTGGCGAGCAAATATATTCAACAAAAACTAGAGTCTTTGACGCTCATTTCAAGTATCTAAGCTTGTCAATATTTCTATTTCTCGTTGTATAGCGTCAAAAGAAAGATCCAAAGTTGTTAAAATGAGCTTTTTTCATGAGTAGTGCCCTTTGGTCGAAAGGCATAGTGTGGTCATTTTTCGCAAGTCAATTTTTTTTGTTCAAATCAGCTCCCAAGGCATCATGTATGATGATAAACACTGTTTGTATGCACCTAAAGTACTTATGCGTGTATAGACAGGCTTTGAAGTAGCTTCGTGTGCGCATTTTTGGCTAGAGAAGCTACATTAGTCATAAGAGGTATGCTTTTATTTGCATAATTCAATGAAAGCAACGGCAACTAGTATCTAAAATGAATAACTCGTGATATATAACTTATGGAAAACACAATAAACAACAACATAATGCTGTCAATTGCTAAAGTAATCAGTATTGATAAGCTCTCTTTAAATCCTGATCAACAAGTCGTTCTGCACGGTGTATGTTTATGAAGAACAAGAGTAATAGTCATTGCACTCATGCCTAATCGATTTATTTAATAAAGAACGTCTTGTTCACTGATCAGATCGGCGTGTCATGTTATATTTAATAACAGCGTCTTCGATCTTTCTAAAGAACTCCTCTCTACTATGTTTGTCGGAAATAATCAAGAAAGGCTCCCAACTCATGTTTCGCAAGTAGATAGCTATACCAGTAGGTTCGCGCTTGATTGTCTGGATTTCCGTAAAAGGTTCTTGCCATTCCACTGTCAGTTTTCGAGTTCGGATAAGCATCAGTCTGTTTGATGTGAGCATGGCAACACGTTCATCATTTTGTACGTGACAGTGAGCAATATAAGCATCGTTGATGTATTTGCCACCATCAACATCCTTTAGCCAGTGCTGGCCAATAGCTTCGCGTAAAGAATAAGGTTTTAATAAGCCATCGGGTCCAATGTAACGAGGATAGCGCACACGTTCAATCATGTTAGTATCGGCAGGCGTAGCTGTATTACGGATTCCTTCAGTGACATTACTGGTAAAATCAAACACGCCTACAGCAGGTTTGGTCACGACTCTATCACAAAGATTAATAAGGCAAAAAAAAAAAAATCTAATGTTGCTCTTACCCAACAAGGCCCTTTCCAAAGCCCTTGATAAATCCTCCAACGCCATCCTTGGTGGCTCCTTCCATAGGGCGAGTCTAAAAGTAAGAAAAAAAATATAGTGAGTCAATATGATAGGTAGTATGTGAAATACTTACAACTAAACCAGAGAAACCACTTGCAACGCTATTAGCAAAAGACGTAGCACCTTGAGCAACACCAACCAAAGCATGTTTAGGTCTATTTCTAGCCATGTTCATTCGTCTACGATCTTGATATTCTCTATCCATTGTGGCTGCAGATAAACCTTTACCAATACTTCCAGTGAATTTCGTAAAACTATCAGAGACACCAAAGACACTCTTTTTAACAAATCCACTAAAACCCTAAGTAAAGCATATTAGATCATGTTGTATAGTTCAGCACTTTACCTTGGCAATACCAATGCCCAAATCTTGAGGACGATCACTCATAATCAAACCTTGCCATGGTTCATAGAACAACTCGGCAACACCTGAACTCAAGTTGTTAAACAAACCAACAGGATTACCCAAGAAGTCAGCCGAACCAAGGATACGATGCACTTGGTATATAAATTGATCACTGTAATGTATTGTGATACGATTAGCCAAATCAGGCCCACTTGCCATGATATTTTCAATGGCAAGTGCATTGAATTTCAGAGGTGCTTGATTGATGTTGCCAATAGCCATGGTCATTGCATTCACAATATACATTAAAGGATTATTCGATTGTTGGGGTCTTATGGAATTATCGTCTTGATCAGAGCGCAAAAAGGATAGGTTGAATCGAATGGGTTGGATACTGAATACTTCGAAATAAATTTGAGCAATATTGTCTTGTGCTTTCACATCTGGAATGTCTGTTGTGTATTCCCACACTCTGGCATCATGGCTGGATTCTTCAGCAGGAGCATCACTGTTCAAATGAGCAAATTCCATGATAGCATATATAAACGATTCATCCACCTCGATGCTCATTTCTTGCATCAAAATAGAAAAGTATTTAAAGTACACAACACCATGAGAGTCGTCCTTAACACGATCAAGAGCCATTTGCACAGTAGGCAAGATCTTTTTGTCTTTACGATTACGGTCTCCATTGTCTGTCAAGTTGGTAGGATATAAGAGAATAGGGAATATAGAGCCATACATTTGGTTATCGATTTGAACCCAGTCAATGTTCCAACGCAAAGAATGATACATAGTCGAATCTGTTAGTTTCAAATCAATGCCCTTAAATGTAACATAGGCTACTTCTTGTAACCGTCTGTCGATAAGTGAAACGCCCATTTCTTTGATTTGTATTTGGAAGACTGCGTTCACTGTCATGTCCATATCGGCTGCCTCAAATCCTTCTTTACTTGCAGAATCAACAGAAGACAAAGATGCTGAAGAATCAACGCGAGCAAGAGGACCAGATACAGGCTTAAATAGACTTTCGCTTTGACTGAATGGTTTCAATTCAAGCACACGATGTGAGCCACGAATCTTGACATCAATAGAAGTGATTACAGGCTTGCCTTCACGTGTAGTATGACGGAAGGGTAGCATGGTACCAATTTCTTGTAGATTAATACTGCGTTCACGACCATTGATCGTAAGAATAATCTTTTTATCTTTGTAAGCAGGCAAGTCCCAAGAGTAAGGAACATGTTGATGAGCAGGCAGACGATAGCGTTTGATCCGAGGATTTCTCACTGGAACAGAACTATAATCGTCTCTTAGAACTACAGGATCTTCTTGATGGAAAGTCATGTCTTCATCTGTCTTGTTGACCAAAAGATAAGGCCAGTTATCGTCTGCTTCTTTGGTGAGCACAATAAAGATAGTTGCATCTTGAATGACAGTGGAAACACGAATCAATGTGTCTTGTTTGCCATAATCATTGGCCAGTCGAATATGGATATCACCAATATCTTGAATGTTGAATGGTGCAGACCATGAATTACTGTATCCCTCAAGTTTGATCGTCAATTGCTTCTCGTTCTGTACACGAATGTTATAGAGAGGAATGCGTTCTTTGGCTTCTAGAATGTAATCATTTTTTGTTTCTGGGATGCGATAACGAATGTTCTCTTCTAATTGATTGCTCAACACAAAACGAGGCGTGATTGTAATTGTCTTTGTCAGCTTTAATTTGCCTTGTCCTTCTTGTACTGTGATGCCCACATGGATTTCTTCAGAGCGACCTTGGTTGGGAAGAGCAACGTCATACACACTACCGATAGCTTCAAAACTTAGCGGTTGACTCCAGTCCGATTTGTCTACTTGTATCAAGGTTCTGTTGCGATTATCAGCATGAGGATAAGAGTACATGAAGGGCTCAGGTTTGGGTCCTGGCCTACACATAGTAACAGTTTCACCTGAAGAATACAAGGCATCAGACCATGCAGGCTTCTCTTTGAAGCTAATAGGCAAACCAGTCTTGTTGATGATAATGTAAGGACTAAAGATGCTATATTTCTTGGCTCCTCCAGAATCAGGGATATCTAAAATATCAATACCGATATGGAGTTTTGTCTTGTCCTTCTTATTGATCAACTCAAAATTACGATCAATATCCAGGTCATCTGTGCGCTTTGTGCTGATAATAGCATATTCACTGCGATTGTAGTCTGTATCTGGCATTTCAATATTCAAAAGCACCAAATGACCATTTTCAATGACATGAATAGGTGTAATTCCACCTTTGCGTAAATAGGAGCTAAAATCTTGACCTGACGTCTTGTCCACAACACGAAAGTTGAAGTCAAATGGAAGCAGGTTTTCAATTTCAATTGGTGCACTAAGACGAATAGCCATAGCAGGATATTGACCAAACAAGATACTCTTCTTATCCAAGCGTGCATGCATCTGGAAGACAAAAGGTGGCATGTTACCATTACTGTCTCCAGAAAGACAGCTGATCGTTGTAGGTGGTTTCTTATTCGGTGTAGCAAAGTCTTTCCAATGGAAAGCAGATTGTGCCCATTGGTAGCCAAAACCAGCGTCAGGTCGAACACAGAATCGGTTCGTATACGCTTTTTCAATAGGAATAGGATAATCTTCACCAGGTGCGATCTTTTGAATAGGGCCGTCCATTTTACCTTGAGGATCAACAGAAGCTAAGTCTATAGATAAAAGTGTCTTGTTCTCAATCACAAGGGCTGAACGAATAGTAACAATCTTGATATTGTCAACTAACTTGACATCAAACACGATGCGGTGCAAGACATTCTTTATCATCGGTCGAAGAGGATGCATGTGTTCTCCTTCAGTATCAAGCTTAATGTTTCTTAGACTTTCCCACATGGCGCCGTCTACTTGACCGTCAATCTGCACATTAAGGTTATTGCTTTGATATGAAGTAGTTTCACGACGCTTCTTCCAGTCTTCAAACCACCAAGGCAAATTATCGCCATTTTTGATTTCTTTGATGACGGGGCCTTCTTTAGAGTCTGTCGTGTTCCAGACCATGATGTTGTACCCTGTTCTGTTTCTTAATTCATAAGGTGCAACTGTGCCTCTTTCACCGCTGTAAATAGTCTACAAAATTTGAGTTAGATAACTAAATGGCTGTATCGCCTTACATTTTTCTGCTTGTCAAGTAGGTGTACAGTTGCCATAGCACTCTCTAAAAAGGTATGTGTCACATTCATATTAAGAATCGAGTTGGAGATCAACTTGACCGTCAAAGGTTCGTTCTTGTTGGTTAGATTACGAGCTAATTCAAGCCTAAAGTTCCAAGGCTCAAGCAAAGGCTCCCAATGCGAATTCTTGATATTAAAATAATTGATATAGGTAGAGAACTCTACAGTTGCAGAAAGGTTCTTGGACCAATTGGCTACTTCTACATTAAATGGCTTAAGGTTCATATCAATCATGGGTGTCTCATGCAACTCTTCAATCAAAATGATCTGTGCACCTTGGAATGAAATACGCAAGGATTCTTGAGCTAATACAAGGTCATTCAAGTCCAATTCTTTTGCTGGAGTTAATAAGCCTTGAGCACTAGACATAGCCATTGAGCTTTTATTGCCTTGTTGTTGCATACTGGCGTTGTAGAGTTCATAGGCCTTGTTGAAGATGTCAGTCACAAGCATAGCATCTCTGTATGAAAGACGAAGAACAAGTGGATCAATGTTCATTACAAGGTCAGTGAGCAAGCCACCTTGTTCGTTCTTGGGGTTACTGTTCATGGATAAATTGACATCAAAAGGCTGAATGAAACGTAATGTTGACTTTTTGCGCATATCCATTCGACATAAGAACATACCCATCTGTTTGACTACGAGAGCAGTCTTTGTTTGTTGAGTAATCATGAGTTCTTTCGTCGAGAGTACGACAGCTTCTGAATTGGCTTGGTCTGGGTTGGCCAGCAAGATGAATTCAGCATTGACAATATTCAATAGATAGGACAAGTCCAAGCCTTGTTGCTGTTGTTGCTGTTGATGTTGATGTTGTTGATGTTGTTCTGGCTGTGTACCTGAATCACGGCGTTGTTGTTCACCCGAGAGCTCTGACACCTTGTCATTGAAAGGCAACAAGAAGAAATCACGTAACAAAAAGGCATGGTCAAGTGAAAGAATGATCTTGGGATCCTTGACTGTCATGACGACAATGCCACTTCGAACAGGATCAGGTGCTTTAAGGTCCAATTGAAGTTCAAACTGGTGTCCGTCTTCAATGACCGGTACAATGTGTTTGAACTGACTCTTGATGCCTGATCTCGTATCATCTACGGTCAAAGAATGCACAACAAGGTTAACGTCAATTGAATCGTCTTTAAACATATGGAGCTTCATGTCAGTATTGTTGAGCGCAATACGGGCTAGACTCGTTGGTTCTTGAATCAGTTTAGGTTCTTTGTTGTGATCCATGTATATTTCGAGGCCAATAGTCTTGACAGCCATTGCCATTTGAATACGAGGCAGTGCGTTGTTCTTTTCTTCTTCTGACACAATCGCTTTCTTTTTTTCTTGACTTGATACTGTTGTGATTGAAGACTTGCGACTATCGTCTTCTACCACAGGTTCGTTGCTGCTTGTAAACACACGAGAGAACATGTTGATGGCTTCCATTAAAAACACGTATTGTCGTTCAGTGAGTCGCATGGTGACATTGGAGATATTCCCAAGTATGTCAATATCTGATCTTGACTTGCTTGTTTCTTGAGGAATCTTTACGTCAAATGTCAGATCAATATCATCCACCATAGGTAATGTCTGAAGTTGCTTATCGAAATAAAACTTGGAAGTCAAGTTCATGGCTCTCAAACCAGCTTTGATTGTGTTGATACAACCATCTGATTCATCCACAAATGAATTTGAAGCCCAAATCTCGCCTAAATGAGCTACGACAACATCAGAAGGATGTTGATGTAATTCAGGAAAAAACACAACAGGTGTTTTGACTACCAGATCAAAATGCATCTTGGTTGCAGCTTCACTCAATTGTTGAGCAGACTCAAGAGCAGCTTGTCGTGCGCGATCATAGGCTGTCTTTAGTTCAGCAAACTTGCTGAGGTAATCAAGGAATTGATGGACAGGTTGTTCCAAGAAATTAAATTGAGCAGACCCCATACGGACATACAAAGCATGGTCATAGCCTGGGTAGCCTTCACGGCCATCATTGACAAAGGAATTGTAGCGAAGATCAAACAGCTCTTCGCCTTGGATGGTCAGTAATTGGTTGTTGCTATTGTCTGTCAAAGTGAAATTGGCAAATTTGGCAGCTACATTGACTTGACCCTCTGTCAAGAGAGTAGACATGTCACCCAAGGATAATTCACCGGTAGCCAAACGCGTGCCATCATTGTTGAGTACAAAGTTGACGCTATCTAGTAAGAGACGAACATAGATGTTGCTGTCTTCTTTCTTTTGACTAGGATTCAGTTGTGCCTTTGGGACATGGGTGGATGATTGTCGCTGAATGTGTTCGCTTGGTCTTGTTGGCTTGATGGGTCTTGCTGCTTCATCATCCACAAAGGTATGTTGTATAAAGTGATGTAGAGTTAAGACTGAACTCTGAGTGACGATAAAGTTCAATGTAGACAAGGTGACTTGTACTGTTTGATGAATTCCTTTATACTTGGTAAAGTATTCAGGGCTTGATTGATCGCAACGCACATATTCAACATTGACCAAGTTTTTGGTACCTTCACGGCCAGTTTGGCCCAAGACGACTTGTTGATCTGATGTCACAAGATACTTGAATGCATTGCCATGTTGCATACAGTCCTTGACATCCAATGACTCTAACGAGAGACTGACGGTCATGTCCATGGGTCGCATACTGTATCCTAAAATCAAGTTCTGTAGATCCACTTGGCACAACAAGGTTTCTTCAGACACATTTGACTGTCTAGCTTCAAGGACATTTGCAAGCACACGATCCACCTTAAAATCAAGTTGAAATACACGTTCTTCCATATTGATAGCATCCTTATCTCTCTTCTTTACAGAATGGGTTACTTCGGTGGCTTCGGTTGTTTCTGTCTCGCCTGCAGAGGAGGAAGTGTCTGTTTCATCATTGAAAAAGATATCATCCTGCGTCTTATTCCGCAAGGGCGTATTCATCAAATTAAACCATTTCTGGTCTACTTGGTTGTTTTTGGTCATTTGCACATATGCTTCATCCAACATGATCTCTTCACGATTACTTCCTAGCAGACCTGAGGCTTCAATCAAGCGAGGAAGCTGCATGATAGCACGGTACTTTGTGTCTGAAAAGTTGACTTTAAGTAAAGGTAAATGACCTGATACTTTGATCCGAGGCATTTCCACTGACTTTCGAATAATACACAGTTCAGCCAAGAATGTCATATCAATACGATCCACCAAGTGCAAATAGTTGAATTCTTCACGAGGCGTACGTACTTGTACTAAACAAGTCTCTATTGAATCACCCACTAATATCTTGGTCTGTGTCAGTTTGACAGTGAATTTATCGTACATGAGTTTGCGCAACTGAATGTTGTCTTCTACTGTCATGTCAGAGGCAGATTTAGATTTGATTAAGGCTAATGCTTCAGGGGGAGCTAATTGACTTTCGACATGAATATGGCCTGCATCAATCACAATACCACGCGAGTGAATAGATGAGCAGTCTTCAGGCACAATAATAACAGGTGCATCCATATCAATGTGCAAGTCAAAAGTCGTGTGTTGATCCAGTGCAAACTCAAGACTGGCTCTTGTCTGGTTCTTGATGTCCTCCAGCGTATCTCCAGCTACTTCAATCAGTGCATTGATACTGTCTGCACTAGTTTCAGGTGGTGTAAAGAACTGAATTATTTCATGAATCACAATTGGATTGTAGACAATATCGATATTACGCATGAACAAGGCAGCAGCATTGTCTGCCCTTTGATCTAATGGCTTGTGTTCAAATTCGATAGTGAAGAATGGATCGTTTTGTTGAATCAAATGAGTGGCTGCAGAGGACTTTCTCCTTTTCTTTTCATCTGTATTCTCGTCCTTCTTTTCTTTAGCACCCATGAGTTTATGGTAGGGAGAATCAACATGCAGACCATCATAGAGGCACAAATCACCTAAAGCAGCAGAAGCTGTGAAGGATTCAGTGTACTGAATCATGCCCAACGAGACATTGTCGAATACAAGTGATATCAAGTCAAGTGGATCATCATGAGGGTTTTTACGGACAGTAAATGAACCCTTGTTAAGTGAGGTATTCAATGAAAGCAACATTGTCTACAAGAAGATAAGTTACTTTTTTTTTTCTTTGTGTCTCATTGACTTACATCTTTGGGTAAATCAACAGAAGCAGCAATAGCAGCCTTATCAGCATCATAATCAATCACATCATAAAACTCAAGTTTTTGCTCTTCTGTAATAACAAGATCATCCTCTTCAGAGCCACCCTATCAACACTTATTAGGCATACCATTTAGCCTAATTGGTACTTACTTGACTGGTGTTGGCTGTAGACTGTGCCCCATACCACCAGCTACTAATTCCCCAACCTTGCTTTGATTTATTCGCTGCAGCTTCTTCTTTTCTCTTTTTCTCTATAGCAGCTATTGGGATTATATCAATAATAGGGTCACAGACAGAGGTCTTACCTAAACGGGCTTTTTCAGTACGAAGTTTAGGCTTGGCTAGACTTCGATAGAATCTAAGGTCCTCATAGCTTAATTCTCGCTCCAAATGTTCCAACGTCTCAAGCTGTTCTGGTGTTGCACGATCCAGTTTATGCTGAACATAACATTGGACATAGTTCTTACGATCTTCACTTCTTTTCTTGATTCGCTTCCAAGTCCAACGTTCATTGCGCTCATGAATCTCTGACAAGACAGCTTGTCCCGCAAACCGAAAGTAGTCCAAAGGATGTGTTTTGGGAGTTACTTCAACAGGAGGATGCAAGTGTTTGTATTTTTGCTTTTTTAGATAAGAGTGGAACAGATCAATCATAAGAACAGTATCTCGGTACTGTTCATTGTCCACAGTGAATGAGAGCTCATCAAACAAAAGTGAGGCATCAATTTTGGGTGTAAGGCCACCAAAGTTCTTATGGAGTTTAACACGGCCTGTTCCAGAAACAGGCTTCAAGATGTACTGATGCTCTACAGGGACATGGTGCTTTGTGGCAATCTATCAACAACATAAGTGTCTGTTTTGTCTATCTAACCCTCGTCTTACCAGATCTTTAAAGGAAGTATGATCCTGATGGTCAGCCAATGTAGGTGCATTGGTGTCCCAATAAACAGAGAGGGATTCTAATGTGGCAAGCTAAAATAGCATAAGCAAAGAGTTAGACAAGAGTGCTTACTTTATGAATCGTGTTGACTGTCTCACTAATAGTGTTGGCAATCCAGTTTTCATCTGTCGTAATAGCAGACAGTTCACTCAAGGTGATACCTGCAGCAAAACGATGATCTGTCGAGATATTATCCTCATATCGTACATGGATATTTGTGATGGAGAATTGAAGGTTATTCAGTATTTTGGTCAATAGTTGATTGGCAAATGTGTCATTTTTTGCATCTTCTGCTGCATCGTGATGATCGCTCACTAATTCCGCGTTTTCGAGTTTGCGCATCTTTCCTTCGTGTTCTCTTTGCGCTATTTCCTCAGCAGTCATCTAACAAGAAGTTAAGAAGAGCATAGGCTTACTTTATGCTTACCGAAGATTCGTTTCTTGGAACAGCCAAGACATACACATCTTTAATGTGGACCACAACAGGCTTTCCTCGCAAATTGTTCCAAGGGATCGTCAATGTCAATTCGCCCAAGTAACCTTAGTACAACAGTGAGTCAAGTATGATTTATAGTCCAATACGACTTACCTTCCAAGACATCGACTGGTAAGTTGAATTTATCCAAAGCTTCACGTTTAAGCTTCAGGTCACGGAGAGTCACCTCACCTATTTATTATATAAGAGGGGTTTTGTTGTTTTCGTGTTTACCTGACCAAATGCCCACTTTAAGTTGACTATAATTTAGATTCGAGACATAAGCGCCTAATACTCTATTCAATAGAGTAGAGACGACAGACTCTAACATGATATAACTAAAAAAAAAAAAAGAAAAGAAAGGAAGAAAAAAAAAAGGCGATGTTTATGCAAAAATGACGTACTGTGCTAATGGTTCAAGTATTTATGCGGTTGTTTAAACCTTGGCCTGGCCAATGATATGTTACTTTATTCTAAAAGTAGTTATCTAAAGTGGATTGTTTGGTTGTCGAGTTACTTGCATAAGCATGCAATGCATTCTCAAATTGAAAAGGTGTGATGCCTTTACGTGTATCTACTCGTACGAAATGAACACCGAGTTTTGTTACTTCTCTGTTTCTATGTTCATCATCAAAGAAGAGCATCTCATCACAACGAATGCCTGATTTCTTGGATAATGACTGGAAATGCTTGATTTTACTGCCTGGATAAATCTCAAAATAATTGATAATTTCTTTCAATGTAGAATCCAGTTCAGGGACCCTTAATAAGCCAAGAGCTTCTCTAGCCCTGTTATTATGTCAGCTTAAAACATACCAAATCATCACATACCAATCAGGCGTACTTGTTCTAGAAGCAATACCAATCTTGATATCAGGAAAAGACTTGATGATAGAAATGATGGTTGCTGTATGTGGAAAGAAGCCTAGTGTTTCTCCTCGGCTAAGTAACATGTCAATACATATGGCCAGGATGCTTTTTATACTTACTGGTTTGTCACAGTATTGGAACTTTCATCATAAGTATAAGGGGGACCTAAACAGTTTATTGTTATGTGCTTTCAAGTCATTGGCTCATCTTACCACAAGTGCAGTCGATCCTAGATGCAACATGATCAGTAAAGATCTTTTTGAATTTGTCAGTTACCATTCAGGCCATAAAGTATAGTCCAAATCAAAGACAATCATCTTTGGTAAAATATCAGGCACTTTTTTTAATTCTTTTTCTTTCGTCATAAAGTGATAAATGAGATACCTAAAGACGTTAATGCGACTGCGGTACTAAACAGAAAAAAAAAAAACTTTTAAAAGCCCTATTGGATGTGACATAAACCTTGATTTATTATGCATATATCATGTATGCTTGCTTATATATATATCTGTATGTGTGTGTGTGTGCGCTTTTTCTCTTTGTTTATACCTTAATTAAGATGGATTCGGCTTTAAAAGCATTATATGGTATACAAGATACAAGAGAGAACATAGGCCTAATATTCAATAGATTCTACAGCCATTGAAGCAGGAAGCTTATATATTGTAGGAAGAAGAGACGTTGCAGAAGAAGAAGAAACGACATTTGAATTCAGAGATATGACACATCCTATCCGTGTTCCTGGCTTAGAAGACCAAGCTGTGACTGAAGTCTCAGCAGGGCCCTTTCATACCATTGCCTTGACTCGAGAAGGAATGGCAAGTACAAAACCCTATGTTTACCAGACTAACCAAATACTAGATGTATAGCTGGGGAGATTCTCAGTATGGTGCTTTAGGAAGAGAAGGAAATCCACATGTTCCTCAGCTAGTATACCATCCATCTATCAGATACATTCGATTTATAAAAGTAGCTTGTGGTAGTTCATTTTCAATGGCTCTTTCTTCTAGAGGTCTTTTGTACACTTGGGGTACATTTATGGTAAATCAGACTATCTTCATTTATTACACTAAGTCGGACACTAGAGCCAAGAAGGCATTTATGGTTATTTACCCAATGTAAAAATCCAAACTTATCCTCGTATTGTCAACAAAGTGAGCATGATACGATTTATCAATATTGCAGCAGGCGCTGCTCATTGTCTTGCTCTGGATGATCAAGGAGGTGTTTATTCTTGGGGATGTGGTGAAAATGAACAATTAGGTGTACCGATGACTCGCCACCAAGCAGGCAAACTGGACTTGTTTCCTTTAAAAGTTGCATTGAACTCAATTGTGTCCATTGCCTGTGGCCAGTTTCATTCCTTGGCCATCAACAGACGTGGTCAAGTCTTTGCTTGGGGCGTCAACAAATTCCAGCAGTGTGGCATGATGGAAAAGCCTGAAGAAAGCCATGATGAACCAGGTCCTGAATTGGTTCCTGTGCCTCAATTGATTCCTAAATTTCGCAAGAGTTATGCACCTCTTGCTCTTGGCACTGTTGGTAGTTTGAAGAGCAAGGCTTCTGAAGCTCAGCGCATGATATCGACCATGACTTCTAAAGACGGAAGATTTAAAGAAGAAGAAATTGGTACTCGTCTTAATATCACTGAAGATGATCCAATGGAACAAAAACTCTTACACCATGACCATAGTGGAGATAGCCTTTTTGATGCAAGACCAATCAATGTGGCTGCTGGAGCAGAGTTTTCGATTGTTCAGACAGACAATCATTCTTTGATTGCGTTTGGTCGTAATGATCATGGTCAACTTGGCATTCTTTTTGACAAAGATCATCCTTGCCCAGGAGCCATCAAGTCAAAAAAGACAGGTCAATTTGAAGCGATTGGTTATCCGCATAAAAACCCTTGGTCTCCTCCTGAAGGAGTGAAAAAAGTAGCCAGTGGATTTGATCATGCAGTGGTGATTAGTACTGAAGGTCGTGCTTGGGGATATGGAGCTACTGAACATCATCAGTTAGGACTCTATACTACAAAAGATGCTTTTAAAGCTACTCTTATTGAATCCATTTTGCAAAGAGGAAGAGTGCTTAATGCAGCAGGCAATGATACAGCTACTTATTTTGTTGTTGTATAATAATAATAAAAAAAAATAGTCCTTTATTATGTATTTAGGCATCTGTAGATGTATTAAAGTAACGAGCACGGTAATCATCACTAAAGTAAATAAAATGTAAGCATATACATCCATGTTTATCCTTATCATTACCTGCAAGTCAAAATACCATTATCTACAGGTGATGCAGCTACACATCGCACTAAATTATTATGACCAGGCACTCGCTTGGCCAAAGTGCCTGTCTGTGTATCATAAACAACAACATCTGTTGATGCTTCATCTCCAATCACAATAAAGCCTTCAGTATAAGTAAAACTAGGCTGTAACATTTGTGTGCGCTGTTCATGTCCTTTGTATTCCATCAACACATTGCCACTTGTTACTTCCCATAATCGAATGGTTGAATCTAAACCAGCTGTCAAGAGGTACTTTTCATTCGCTGTGAATCTCACACTGGAGACAGCAGTTCCACCATGAGCACCCTCTAATGTTCGAATGCACTGAGAAGAAGTACTGTCCCAAATACGCACTGTGCCATCAAACGAAGAAGTTGCGAAGATCTTGCCCGTGTTGGAATATCGAATTTGCGAAACAGATCCTCGGTGAACATCAGCACTACTGGAATTTGTATAGCATTGAAGTGTCTTTACATCATAAATACGAACAGCTGCATCTTTTGTACCAGCCAACAAGAAATCGCCTGAAGGATGGAAACAGATTGAATTGACAGGTTGAGCATCCTACACCCAACAAAAAGAGATTGAGTGATGTCTATCAAACATTTTTCAGTACCTGTAAATATCGAAAGGCTCTCTTGACGCCTGATTTTGATAGATCAAACAACTTTATGCTTTGGTCGTTTGAACAACTCGCAAGTACTAAGCCATTAGGATGAAAACTCAAATCATTGACTTGTTCTGTGTGATCGTATAGCGTTCGAATCACTGGTTTATCGCCTGCATCGCCAGATCTGTTCTTCATTTTGTTGACATCTAATAATTTGAGCGAGGAATCATGCGAGCCAGTGGCTGCAAATCGACCATCTGAACTGAATATGGCCGTACGACAAGGGCCTTTATGTTGCGTATAATAAAGTTGATTATAATCTGGTGCGGTTTTAGGCTCTAAATCATATCAATAAACACATTCTCGTCACATATATTGCTTACGAGCATTTTGCAGAGACTCAATATCAAAACCAGAAGAAGAAGGCATGCTGATATCCATATCTTGTCTAGGTGAATCATGATCAAACGTCTTGCCTGAATAATCGTCTTCAGAATCGTCCTCATCGTCTATAAGAAAGTGAGTTCTATGTGTTTATCTTATAAGCATTAATTACGCTTATATTTGGCAAACTGTATCATTTCTGATAGTTTTGAACTTGGTAGCATATCTGTTGAAGCACCTGTCGCGTCAGCCACACTTTGAGCAACTGCAGAATAGCCATATGCCACCAGTTGGCTAATACAATATATATAATTTAATAAGCCCGAGAGTGAGTATCACTTTACCTTATGATAAGTGAAAGTACTTCGTCTTCTGTCACTTTGTTCGTGTTCATATTTTAAAGCAATAAAAATTTCTTTTTTTTTTTGGCCTCTTGCTTTACACTTTGCTTTTTGAACTCAGTAAAATTGGTCAATTGTAAATTGTTGAAGGCTAATCAAAAGTAAGCCACTCATCCATAACCTCGATTAAAGAAGCCTACCTAAGAAAAGCAAACTGAGCCGATTTGACTTTTTTGTAAATGAAACGTTCCCCCTTTTTTTTCTTCTCCTCTGTAATATAATTATGGTCTTACAAGGTTCTATTTTCATCGTACTAGAAGCTTTTCATGACACTGGCCATTGCCATGCCGTCATTGTCTCTGCTGCCTTTAAATCACCGAGAACCCTTATTGGACATGATGTTTTGGTCAATTGAAAAAAAGAAAAACTCGGTCTCCTGCCTTTTCTTGCCATTTTGCATTTGTTTCTCTCTCTCTCTCTTTTTTTTATTTTTACTGAGCCAAGCTTCTAATATCTCTCTCTTTTTTTTGAACCAATTCCTATTCAATGGATGGTATATTTGATCGTCTTGGTAAAAAGAAGCATAAACCCTACGATGGGTCTATTCCACCTAGAAAGTCTCCACCGCAGAAACATCATTCTTCTGTCAGAAGAGCTCTCAGTATGAAGCCAAAAAGTAATATATAACATTTATGCTTTTCTTTGGTATGCAATGCTAATCCCTTTTATTTTTTTTAATTGGGGGTTACACAGTAAAGCATGGTCTGCGCCAACAATCTATCGTGCCCAACCGTTCGTCGTTTGAAGCAGGTTCTGCGGAACATCTATTTGCTCGAGAACAAACCTTACCTTCTGAAGACAATATCAATCTTTTGTTTGATCATATGCTCGTCAGTTAAAAAAAGACATCCTGTTTAATTTCATACATGTCTAACTTTATAATAGGAGAGAAGAGGTATTCATGACCCCAAAATTAAGTCAAATATGCAAAACTGGCGAGCGGAAAAGAAATGGCTCATGATTAATCAAGACCATCAAGCTGAATTATTGGCTTCTGGTGTTAAACAAGACAAATTACAACAAGCAGTTGCTGAGAAAGCAAACATAGACATGAGTCGATTACCCAACACAATGCATCATCCAGCTGCATCTCGGTCCTCAACCACGCGACAACTCTCATTTCACAGACCAGAAGGACCCAAACCAATTAAATCCATATCATCACCTGTAAATAACCAAAATCCTGCACTTCAAATCAACACAACTGTTTATAACACAAACAATATAACCCTTAGTTTAAGCTCATCAACATCGACCAAGTCTCCGACACTCAAACGTTCAAAAAGTATTACCATGTCGCCCATCAAAAGTAGTAACAGTAATAGCACCAGCAATAGACCTACAGACCATTTCTTTGATATGTCTGCTAATGACCAAAACTCACCCGAATTCTTTGTCAAAAAATTTCTGGATCCCAACTTACGATCAGTTACTACTAAAATAGCTGCTAGTCTTGAAGTTAGTTTAAGAACAAGATCCATGGAGTAAGTTTTTAGGTTTTTTTTATGTTGCTGATGTAATTTATGCCATTTTAGTTGGGTGATCAAGTTTATTCACTTGAAAGGACTTCATGTTCTATGTCATGCATTGGATTATTTAAATCATAACATTCAAGACAGAAGAGACGTAGCCTTGGAACTCGAAGTAGAAATCATCAAATGTATCAAGGCTATTGTCAACACAAAAGCAGGAGGAAAAGAAGTGATGGACCATCCAGAATACATTCATGCCGTTGTATTCTCAATCACTTGTCCTCAATGGCAAACAAGGAAAATGGTCTGCGAACTATTGGCCTTCTTATGTTACTTGGATGGCTATGAGCATGTTGTACGTGGATTTGAATTGATGAAGAAGTTTAGAAAGACATTGGGCATTTTTGACGCTTGGATTCAATTGCTTATACGAACACTGACGGTTGATAAATTCAGAGGCAATGAAGAGTTAGCAGAAAGTCATCTTGTGGAATACGCTGTAAGTGAGCATACGCGAGTGAGCCTTGGTCTGACATCGTCTTTGACACTATAGCTTTCCAACATGATTCTCATTAACGCATTAACCAGTATACCATCCAACATCAATTACCGTATCTATTTGAGAAACCAGTTTATTGCTGCAGGTTTACAAACACACCTGCTGCCTAAACTTGAAGCACTCGATTACAACTTACTGAATATCCAAACTGAATCTTACAAAGATGCTGCAGACACAGACATGGAAGATGCCTTTGGAGATGAAATGGCTCAGTATTCAACAGAATATGCTCAACCTTCTCAATTGTTTGATAAACTAATTGAAAATGTATCAGATACTCCCAAAGGAACTGATTATTTTTTCTCTATCATGAAGTACTTGTTGTGGATTAAAGGTGATGCAGAAACAAAGCAAGTATCACACACACACACTCTCTCTCTTTTTTCCTCTTACTTACTGATAATCTAACCATGATGCGTATTAGATGTCAATATTTTCATATCATTGATACAATCATACAAAAGATTGTGACAGACAGAGCGCAACACAGCAACAAAGCTGATTTTACAGACATGTTTGGCATGCCTGTAGGTGCTGTTATTCAAAACTTTATGGATTTGAATCGATTGAGAGGCAAAGACATTGAAGCAAATGAACTGAGAGAACAATACGAAAAGCTCATAGCAGAAAAAGACCAACTCGAAAGTGAAGTACAAAAACTTCGCATTATACCCAGTCAGATGGAAAATGAAGCTCAAAAGCAACGTATTATAGAGCTTAAAAATGAAAACAGTTCATTACGACAAGTACTCAAGACATCAAAGGAGACAATCACATCACTTCAGGAACGATTAGCTGTTTATGAAAACGAAGAAAAGAGAAGGTTGAGTAGTGATAGTGGTCGTGCTGCATTGGAGTCCATGCGATTTAACAAGAAGAAAAGAGAGAGACTTTCTTTAGATGAAAAGGTATATTCATCAATATAGGATTTGAGCTAACTTGATCTATCATTCAATAGCGCACAACTTGGTTTTCAGACAACACAGTACAGAATAACACTTCCGCCACTTCACATGGTTTCTCATTTGGTGATCTCTTGTTTCCTTTCTTTGGTAGAAGTCGACTCAAAAAGAAAAGACCTATCAGTGATTCGCTCTCAAGAACGGAAGGTAAAGCACACAGATAGTATTTTTTTTTGAAACTGATTCATTATAGATCAACATCTTTCTTTGATCAATCAGGACTCTGGCATTTCTTCATCAAATGAAAACATGGAAGGTAATCATTCTTTAGGCAAAAATGTCTCTCGGAGTAACGAAATCGTTTCTTCATCGGTTCCTACTGCTTCTCCACCAGCTCCCCCTCCTCTTCCTCCGCCACCACCTCCGCCACCACCACCTCCTCCACCTGCAGCTCCACCTGCTCCACCCATGCCTGGAGCTGGTTCTTCAATACCACTTCCACCACCCCCTCCTCCTCCACTTCCAGCAGGTAAAAATGTGCAAAAATATACTATGACCTTACTGAACCTTATTATCTAGGCACTTCCTCTTCTTCTTCGATCCCCAGTGCCTCTTCACCACCTCAGCAACTTCCTTCAGCTTCTTCTCTTGTTTCTTTCTCTACACCTATTATTTCCACTCGTAAGGAACTGCATCATTATCCACAAGTGAAGCTCAAAAATCTACAATGGCAAAAACTGGATGCCAAACTGACAGAACAGACCATTTGGGACATGAAAGAGAACGAACACGATACCATGGAACAGTTACTGAACGAAAAGGGTGCTTTTGAGAAGCTAGAGACCATGTTTCCTGCCAAGGTGAATACCTTTTTAGAAAAGAAACAACTCAAAGTCGTCGATGCTAAAAAGAACGACACGGTTGTACGATTCTTGACCAAAGAGAAAAACAAGAATATAAGTAAGTTATATTTTATGTGCCAATTTGTTGTTGTTGACTTTTGCTTTATAGATATTGCTATTTTGCCTAAAATCAAGCATTTTGGTTCCTATAAACAAGTTGCTCAACATATCATGATGGTGGACGACAAATTGTGCACTGAAATATTTTTGATCAATCTCATTACTTACTTGCCTACACGGGATGATGATATGGTGTTAATGCAAAAGTATGTGGATGGACCTGAAGAAGAATGCCAAAAGTTAGATCTACCTGAGCAATTCATTGTCGAGGTAACTTATTATTTTATGAGCATTGAAAGCTAACATGGCATGATATAGATGATGCGAATGTACAGGTGTGAAAGCAGACTCAAATATATGCTTTTTAGGGTTCAGTTTTGGGATAAATTCGAACAACTCAGAAAGAGTCTGTCTGTTGTATTGTCAGCGTCTGATTCTTTGCGCCATTCTAGAGCCTTCAAAGACTTGCTGTTAGTTATTTTGTTACTCGGTAACTATATGAATGCATCCAGTGTTCAAGGCGGTGCATTTGGTATGAAGATTGGCAGTATCAATAAGGTAAATTGTTCTTTATACAAGATATATACTTACATTGTATAGCTTATGGATACGAAAGCCTCAGAAGATTCAAAACTTACCTTGCTACATGTTCTTATTGGTTTTGTAAGAAGAGAAATGCCTTCTACTTTACATTTTATAGACGATCTGAAAGATATTTCTGAGGCTACAAGAGGTGAGAAAAAAAAAACATGGATGCGAATACTTATGTTGTCTACGTGCAGTCATGGCCAGTATTACAGACATTATTCAACAATATACAGACTTGCGCCAAGGACTGAAACAGTTGAATATTGAACTAGACAGATTCTGGAGACCAAAAACAGATGATATCAAGGAAGAAGGCGAAGAGAACAACGATGGAGAAAAAGATCGATTTTTGTCCGTGATGGAAGAATATCAATCCTCAGCCGTGGGCCGCTTTGAAGAATTAGAAGCACTCTATGTCAACGTCGATGTCAAATGGAAAGAAGTCATGACATTTTATGGAGATAATCCACGTACGAAGCGCCCTGATGAATTTTTTGGTGTGATTGCTCAATTCCTACAAAATTGGAAAATTGCGGCAGCAGAAGAACTCAACTACACAAAACAAAAAGAACTTGAAGAGAAACGGTTGAGAGAAACGGAAGAGAAGAGACGAAAAGCGATGATGGCCAGTAAACGTAGTAGTGGAAGCGATACACTCTCTTCATTATCTGAAGACGACCATGAAGATCGACGTCTTATGGACGATTTGTTGGAAAAACTTCGTTCTGGTGAGACCGAGAAGAAACTAAGACAGCGCCGTGTTCGTCAACGTCTAAGAAGTTTAAGAAACGAAGAAACATTACAGAAATCAGAGAAGCGATCTTCTAACACTAAACCACTGCCGACTCGACTTGACCGGTCAGTAAGTATATCTTCCACAGCGTCCTCAGGACATATGCTGGTCATTTCTGCGGAAGATTTACTGAGAAGCCTACAACAAGAAGATGAATAGTATCTTAAATAAATCTGTTTTCTGCCACTGTTCTCTATTTACTGGCATTCAAAAATACAGCTGCATGAGTAACTTAATTTTCTGTGACCACTGGCTTGATTATGTGATTTAAATTAATGACACGTCTACATTTTTGTTTATTGCAATATGTTGACTCAAGAAAAAGACCATACTGGTAAACTCAGTGGTGGTATTGCCATCCAGTCTTCTGCACCAATCTATGCGCAACGTCAACACAAGGTAAACATTCTCTCTTTGATTTAAGGCTCACGAATGTGTTAGGTTCCTAGTCCATCTATAGCTGTCACTAAGGAACAGGCTTCTTTATACCATACACATGATGACCATCAACACGCAAATAATCTTCATCATTCGCACGATCACCATAATCACTCACATGACCAACATGAACACTCTCATGATTACTCTCATCACCATGCACATGCTCATGATCACCATGGAAATACTCATGATCACGATGAACATAGTCATGGTCACGATGAGCATAGTCATGATCACCATGGACATGCTCATGATCACCATGCACACTCGCATGATCACCATGGACACTCTCATTCTTTTGCACCAGTTTATACAAAGCCGTTGCCTTCTTGGATTGAAGTATTTTCTAACCTGTTGCCTATGCAAAAGACCTTGTTTACTTGGTTCCTACTCCATACTGGTATTGGCATATGGCTTTATTGTATGGGAACCAGTCGAGAAAGCCTATCCCTTGTGGGTTATGCTTATCTGATGCTGTTTGATGCATTGGGTGTCTTGAATTCGTTTGTATCAGGCATCTTGAGAACCAATTCAGAATTTGGTATCTCAAATACAAAGCGGCCTTTTGGGTAAGTACAAACAAGACATAGAAATACCTTTGCTTACAGTTTTATTTTAGGGCTCATCGATATGAGATTGTGTTTGCTTTAAGCACCACTATTTATCTTATGTTTGCTACCATGCATAACACAAAAGAGTCTTTAGAACACTTTTTGTTACAAGATCATCATAATGGAGAATTGCATGAAATAGAAGGGTAAATACACACTTTAATATATGTGTAATATATTGAGTATCATAGACACCATTTAAAAATGGGATTTGGCATGTTCTTTTTGATTGGTGCAGCTATTTCTGCAACTTGTATATCTAGTGTCACCTTGCGCAATCATGATAATTTTGTCCGCTGTAAGTAAGGCTGTTCCATATATTAAATAGCTAACATTTTACTATAGATTTGAGGAGAAGACCTACTCAAGTACATGGATTCTCTTATAACGTAGTCAATCGAGGCGCAAGATTAAGCCCTATTCATACCTTGTTATCCAATGTTTATTCTTCATCTATTGTGCTGTGTGGCTCTATTATCTTAATTGTCTATATGGTTGGTATGGCTACACCTATTGTTGACAAAATATTGGCATTGTCTGAATCTGTGGTTATGTTTTATTTGGGGTATCCAACAGCCAAAGCATTAGCCAAAGTCTTGTTGCAAACAACTCCCCATACAGTACAGAATGGTGTAGAGAACAGGCTTCGAGAGGTAAAAATACAATTGTACTTTTTCTTTTATTCATAACAACCATATAGATTCTACAAAACCCAAATATTCTTCATGTGGATCGTATTCACTTTTGGCAAACTACCTATGGAAAATGTGTTGGTACTATTCAAGTACAAATTCATCCTGAAGCAGACGAACAGGCTGTTCTTCAGTTTGTCTATCAAAAACTACAAGGACTCACAAGTAACCATGTTCAAACAGACGATGAAGACTATTATATGAACACACCTAGCAGTGAACTTACTGTCAGTATTGTAAAATAAAATAAAATAAAATAGGTGTGACACAAATATATTGCTCTTTTCTTTTTTTTTTTTTTCTTTATACCTGATACTATGTTTAAGATCAATATACCTCAATGGTTAAACTATCCTTTGACTTTTACAGGCATAACTGGTTTAACAGGATTTGTTCTATTATATCTGTGCCAGTGCAAACTGATCTATCCTGCTTCTTATCCCGAAGGATCACGTCAAGAAGTAATACACACACACATATATATAACCAAGTTTATTAATGGTGTTTAATAGGTAGCAGTGCCTTCTGATTTCGGGATGCAGTATACAGAAGAAAACTTGTTGACTAAAGATGGAGTCAAGTTGAAGAGTTATATTATTGTCCAAACCGATAAAGAACAAGCTAAAAGAGTACCTACTATCTTATACTTTCATGTAAGCCTCTCTTCTTTTGTGTATTTACTCAAAGCATGTATATAGGCAAACGCAGGAAATATGGTAAGACATTTCTGTTGCTAAATAACCTATACCAATATTGTTTAGGGACATCGTTTACCTATTGCCAAAGTATTGTATGACAGATTTAAATGTAATATTGCCATGCTATCTTACAGAGGCTATGGTAAAAGTGAAGGTAGTCCTAATGAAAAGGGATTGCGTATTGATGCTCAGGTATTGAAGACTAGGCATAAGGATACAGTATTTATTGTTTTGTAGACCATGTTGGATTTCGTAAGAGAACATCCCATCCTTAAAGATACCCCACTTGTAGCATATGGCCAATCTATTGGCGGTGCAGTAGCTATTGATCTTGTGTCTCGTAATGAAGATTCATTTTCTGGCTTAATGATTGAAAATACTTTTTTGAGTTTGGTAAGATTTATATATGGCTTGTGTGTATGACTAAACATCTTAATAGCCTAAACTAATCCCAAGTGTGATGCCATTCTTGAAGCATTTCACTTTTCTTTGTCATCAACAATGGCCTAGTGAAAAGAGTATTCAGCGTATTGTCAAGACGCCTATTTTGTTTTTGGCTGGTGCCAAAGATGAACTTGTGCCCCCTTCTCATATGTTGAAATTGAATGAACTAAGTGAATCAAGAGCAGAGAAAGTATGGGTTGCTTTTCCTTATGGTATGCATAATGATACATGTATGCAACCTGGTTATTTTACTGCTATTCGAGAATTTTTGGAGAAGCATATATTGAAACTCGAACAAGAGAAAGAGAAGAGTCCCCCTGTATTAGAAGAAAGTTATATTGATGGACAACTGGTGGATGAAAATAATGATACTTCGTATCAACTTGTCAGTGGTGTGACTGATGATGAAGGAATGACACACAGTTTCCAAGTTGAATCTGTTGAACTTGATGAAGAAGAAGAATAATAATAATAGTAATAGTAATAAAAACAAAACTTAATATTATGTATGCTGTACTTCTTGATCACTATCACTCCATGCGTCCAGGTCATTCTAAAAAAGGAAGGTCATTAATGCATGTCATTTTTTTTTTTTGTTTACTTGTTCAATTTGGTCCACGACATCTTCATCTTGCAGGGGCGGTTCCCAAACTAAGACTTCGCCACCATTTGACCCGCTGTACAACTCTTGATACGCCTCCCTTTTCTCCACACAAATCACTCGACCATATGCTCCCTTAAGTCGACGGATCAGCACGCCATCAAACAGGCGATAGACTAACACTTGTCTATCATCACTGGGTATATAGAGTAAGGGAGGCCATGCTTCGTCATCAATTGTGGCCTGCATCCGTAGTTCAAATCGGTTGCGCCAATTAAACCCGTAATTGACAAATGTGTTATTGCCTGTCTGAGTATTCCACAACCGGATCTTTTCATCCAGCCCGAGTGACACCAAAAATCGACCATCTTTTGTCATTGTCAAACCATTCACGCCTCTCCCATGGGCTGTATTCATATCAGATAAGGGATCTGTAGCTACGATAGAATGAGTCCATAGCCTATAATGGTAAAAAAAAATGCCCTTACTTGTATTCTCTTGATCTAAAGACATCAAACACGAAGAAGCACGTCGAATGTCCCAGACTCGAATGGTACAATCCATTCTTTTATGGCAACTCACAATTAGAATAAACGATTGATATTTTCTATGCTTACCCTCCCGAGTACAAAATAAATTCTTGATGTGTAGACCAGACACAAGATAATACGGAACCAGAGTGACCCATCAAAGAATGAGTAAAAGCGCCACTATTCAAGTCGCACAATCGAATCCTGGGCTCACTCGCGGCACCTAACAATAGTATGGGTTTACATTGTGTGGTTTCCTTTCACTTACTTGCAACAAGTGAATGAGAGGCAATAGGTGACATGGATTGAGAATTGACTCTTGATTCCAAGTTGAATTCATACTCTGGCTATATTGTTCATGAGTTAATATTCTCGTTTATTTATGTGCAATCGCGGGTCACCTTCATTGTATTTGTGTCCCATACTTTAATGGTTGTGTCATAACTTGATGTGATAAACATGCCTGTGTCAAAAGGGTACCAAGTGGCCGAGGTAACTGCATATTGATGTCGATCTGCCCTACACAATGTTTTTGTTTATGGATCTACTGTTGTAATTTACCTTGCTACACTTGCAACAGGTTCATTTCGTTCATGTTCGGCAGGAATAGCTTGCAAATCAAACACATGAACTCTACCGTCACTTCCTCCTGTCAACAAACTTTGTATGAGTTTTTCGGTCAGACAATTCATCTTGATCATTATTTTCTTTTTTGGCTTACTATCTTTGTTCTGTGTTTTCGATGCTTAAAGAATTGACTCCACCTAAACTAGGATTAATATAAATGAGGGTTGACTACGCCAAGTACCCCTATGAGAACGCGCTAGTTCCTTTGTTCTGCTTAGTTGTAAACTGTAGGCTCTTTTCGTAATTTCTGCTCTCTCTAGTTTTAAAGAACTGATGATACCGTATTCTCTTTTCTTTAGAAAACTATACATGACAAATAAAAATAAAAATAAAAATAAAAACCATGGTGCATTATGCTAATGACATAAGACCGGAATTATTTTTTTTTAAAGTGTGACAAAAAAAAACTGTATGTTTTTCAAATGGTTTGAAAATAGTAATACTAGGGGGGGGGAGAAAATGCTCAAACAGAGGGAAAAAAAAGGTCTTGCTCGCTTCTACATGCTCCTTTGTGCAACTGTACTACCTTACCATAACGAACAAAAAAGATTCAGATGCCGAGTGATGGATCCGTATAAATAAGCAAAGCAATCATCCATCTTTCTCTTTTCATTTTTATCTCTTTTATCAAAAATAAAAAAAAAATATTAAAAACTTAAAATGGGTTGCTGTATGTCACATTTCGAAAAGGTATTTTCTTGTCCATAAAACAAGAAATCAAAAACTTACTTTTTTAAACAATAGGAAACTGTCTATGAGGTTACTTTAGATGCACACGGTGTAGCTCAACGTGTTCCTAAAGGACAAGGCACTCATTTTATTCATGTTTCTGCTAATAATGAAACACATTTAGAAGAAAAGGTAATAGAAAAAAAGCAATACGATAACATAAACTCATGACTTTTTCTTTTTAGAATGAACAAAATATCAGTAAATGGAGCTCACTTACACAACCAGCTTATACGAAACGTATTCACCCTACAACAGAGACACCAATAAAGCAGGAACAAGAAAAGCCTTCAGCATAAATCAAATGTCAATAGAAAAAAGATATCTCTTTTTGTTACAATGTTTCATAGTATACACACATATATATACTCTCTTTATGTACTATCCCTCCCCCTCTCTTTCTCTCAATAATATATAATCTTTTTTTAACACAATCTTTGTAATCATGACAATAGTCAGCGAGAATTTTCGGTCCAAACTTAAACTTTAGAAGATCAAAAAAAAGAACAGGCGGAGAAAGGGTTCGGTTCAAAACCGTTCCGGAAACGAAAAACAAAACAAAAGCAATAGTCTCGATTACTCTTTATTGTTCCTAAACTATATGTGTATTCTCTCTTAGTAGGCTGTAGTCAAATAAAAGATACACCTATGCATTGAATCACATAAGAAACAAAAGAGCTGTATGTCACAGGTGATAATAACAATCAGGTTCAAAAATGATTAAAAGTCAGAGGTCAAGAGAATAACACAAAGAGAGATATAGTTTGTTGTTTACCAATCAGTCTTATCACTTCGTTTTGTGTAGTTTTAATGTTACCTTTCTTAGTAAACCATTTTAGAATAGTCTTTTTTTTCTGCACTAGAAATTCTCTTTGCTTTTTTTCTCTTTTTTCAGCCACATGTCTATTCTCGAATGGAATGCAGTATGTATTTCATACAAAAAGAAAAAAAGAAAATACGCAAAGAGAGTGAAGAAATGTCAGAATCTACAGGAATAAAACAAAGTCTTGTTATTGTTTATGCCTCTAGAATGTAAACAAACAGTAAAAGAAAATATCGTTCTTGAAGTGACACATAACCATAAAAAGAAATCAAGATAAAAAAAGAAAAAAAAATATACTTTCGAATCTCTTGAAGACAGGACTTGCTGAATTCGTTGGTCACACATAGTGTAACATGTTAAAACAATGCAAAGTTTCATAAGTAAATGAAAATACTTTCTCTGACAGGTTTCGAGGATTGTTTAGATAATATGTTTTGAAGATCCATTTACTATTTTACTTTGACACATTATTCATTTTTTTAATGTCAGGACAAATACTTTGTGGGTAAAACAGATAGACTTTTCCCGTCGTTTTCTCACTAACAAATTCTATGTCGTACAAACAGTGTGCATGTGATTGTGACCTTCAGATGATTTATGTTTTATATATATATATATTTTACCGAGACCAAGTTATACGCAGGATAATTGAGTAAATAGAAATTTCATGGTTGATTTGAATAACGTTTTTTTGTTGATTATGCGCTATAAAATGTTTATTAAAATAACAGACTAAAATAACATATACTACGTAGTTGCAAGGATCATCAGATATTTTAGCTTACTGACAAAAATCTGATAGATAAAAAAAAAGAAAGGTGTCATAGAGATTTTAAAGTTAAAGACTCTATCGGCATATCCGACGGTAAAAAAATAAGCTTACTCGTAATTTGAATCAATCTATACGTAGTAACAATGTCTTCATATGCTTTTCTTTTCTTTTCTTTCTTTTTTTCAATAACAACAAAAGAAATTAATTTTCAATTAACTTGAATAGATCTTGATTCAGCCAAAAAGAAGAGGTTGATATATTAATTGATCAAATAAAGTGCACACGAGAAAATGTCTTTTCTAAATGATGATGTATTTCGTGTTACATTAGTCTTGATCGGGTCTACAGTATTTCTACTTCAAATCCAGACGATGTTAAATTTTTTTTGGACGAATCAAAATTTATGTTTAGACTTTTTACCTGTAATGATCTTCATCCTTTCTGAAGAAAAGAAAGAGTAGAAATACTTTATTAAAATTAAGGGGCCAAATATGGACGTAGAGGTATCTATATTCCAAATCTTTATGGTTGACATAGTTATGATCTCTTTCTTTTATATATAAAGACAGTCATAGTGAGAGAAAATGATGAATTTCATTAATTATATGGGCTATATTACCAGTGACTTACACAACTGTGTGAATACATTTTGTGCATTATTTGCTATGCGCATGGGCCATTTATATAGCTTCATGTACATCAAGAACTTTATTAAGAGACATAAAGTAGAAGTGCTTTCATAAAAAAGATAAGTGAACCTGATTTTATCATGTATGTGAATAGATACATTATGTAGGAAATGATTAAATACTCTCATGTATAAATCATTTTCTTGTCATTACTCTAAAGGGTGAATTGACTCTATATCACTGCTACTATTAGATCCAAAGGACTAATGATCGTTTGGTTGCATTATTTTACATTTTATGGTACATTGGATCGCCCTATGTTGGGCCTTAGATCAAGTTGCACAAAATAATTAAACGCGTTTGATCAAATTAGACTAAACAAAAGCTAGGGGCTGCGCACAGTCACAATAGAGAACGGCTATGTGTAGTCAATATAACAACATCCTTTCACTGAATATCATTTCAATAAAAGTAATACTTTGAAAATGACAATCATTTCGTAACAAGCAGTTAATCATTTTTAGTTAGTGTCATTTATTTTTAGGACACTGAAATCGTCATTTATATTTACCAGCCGCACTGTATTCTATCAGGGCTAATTTTAAGAATGTTTGCCATGTTTCAATCAAATATAACAATAGAGTCCGCTTGTATATCACTTTAAAGCTGAGAAGTAAAAAAGAAGGGCTCCTGTTTATAAATATAATTAATTTTCTTTCTTTCTTTCTCTCTCTCTCTCTCTCTCTCTCTCTCTCTCCTCTCTCTCTTTCTTCTACTATTATTATCATTGCTATTATTTTTATAAAGTAAATAAATAAACAGATGCATTTTAACTCTTTATACTAAAATTGGCTACATTTACTAGATAAATGAATACAGCAGCAAAGGACATCAAACGACATACGATTGCTTTCAATGAATTCCATTATTTGTAATTATTTCTTATAACAGAGCTTTGTTACCCCTAAACTGATTAATATGTAAATTCCCTTATTTAGAGAACCGGGTCTTGATCAGCAAAAGCAAACGTTAACTCATTGGAAGACTATTGAAGACTATTATAGAAATCATTTAAATGCTCTCCAGAAAGAAATCGAAAAAGCAACTGAACAAAACCAAAAACTGACAGATGCTCGTGAAGAACTTGTGCAAGAAGTCTTGAAGCTTCACAAGAAATCAACTGAACTCATCAGTAAAAATGAAGAGTTGACACGGACGATCGCAGAAAAAGAAAATCATATTAGTGCATTCATGTATCATCCATTGCCTGAGACAAAAGAGCCCATACAAGGTGTTACCTTAGTCGATAAACCTTACAGTCCACCTACACCTCCTCCTAATACTAGTTCAATTGATACACCTTCAGAGACAAGTAAGCCATCACAAGAGCCAGAAGAACAGCCAAAAGCACCTGTTGTCAATAAAGAACCAGGTCTTTTTCGTAAAATCAGTCTTCGACTCTCAACTCGAAAGCGAAGACAACAAGATGACCCACCTTTGCAGATTTCAGAGCCTATCAATATACCCTCACCACCTAAATCCATGGATGCTATTGTACCTACTACTTCTGTATCTGAGCCCTTGATTCATCCTGCTGCTGTGGTGGCTACATCTCCGATTGAACATTTGAAATTAGTAGACTCGAATAAGCGAAAAAAGAGTAAGTCTAGATTCCATTGATAATTATACTCATACATAAATAGACCTTGTGTTTGGGAATGATCTTGTTCAACAAGCGAGATCAGAAAATACTCTGATTCCTTCTATTGTAACAAACTGTATAAGAGAAGTGGAACTCAGAGGTAAAAAAAAAAGGAGTCATGCTGAATACTGAGTTGTCTTTAGGGTTCTCTGTGGAAGGCATTTATCGAAAATCAGGAACACTTTCACAAATTAAAGAATTACAAGACGCAATCGAGAAGCACAAAAATCCCAAATTCTCTAAATATTCAGATATTAATGTGATCACAAGCGTATTGAAGTTGTATTTTAGAGAATTACCAACACCGCTTATTTCGAATAAGTTCATATGTAAGTTTTGATCTAAAGCCTTGCTGTTGACTGACATTGTATACAAGTGCCTTTAGATGTAGACTCTCAAGAAAGGTTGAATAAGACGCATTCTTTATTCCAAACAATGCCTAATGAATGTTACCAGACAATCAAGTTATTAATGCAACATTTAAGAAGGTAATTATTGATAAATTATCAAAATGCTGATCAAGTCTATCATCCAGAGTTCATCAAAACAATTCAGCCAACCGAATGCCATCTAAAAATCTCGCTGTTATTTTTGGTCCTACTCTCATGCGATTCACTGCAGGCAATGAAGAGCAACAAATGAGAGACATGATTGACACTGTAGACTATATTATACTTCAAAGCCATCTTTTGTTTTATTAAACTTATGTATTTATTTGTTCTAAAAGGTTATTTAAAGCACTTTTATCAAGAGGTATAAAAAAGAACTCTGTACCATCCAACCCCTTTTTTGTAAAAATAAGTTTATGGTCTCTGAATTCAGTCAATTCAGTACGGAATGAAAGATCGCTTGAGACATAGAATCCTTCACGGCATTTTTGATAGTATTGACTATACGTTAAACCAACATGTTCATTGCCCTTTGTTGTTGTATCGTCCATGGCTTCTAATTGGTGTTCTGCCAATACTTTAAACACACCCCGGGCATTATAAGTCAATGAGTCCAAGACGTATTTTGCCCCTCGAGCACCACCCAATTCACCTTGTCTGATCATCATTGAATTTTCGAAACTTGTCTCTACCAAATAGTCTGCAAAAGTAGTCGCATCATGCCATATCCAGTTAAACCGACTTGATTTGACATTATCCCATAGTAAACCAGCATTGATATGATCTACAGAAGCAACCAAATGAATATTGTCTGCATGAGCCAGCATGGATAAAGCAGTCTGAGTGCGTTCATTGCGCAAGTTGGGTCCATCGAGATTATGAACGACAAGATACAAATGCTGGTATTCTCTATCTGGACGAGAGAAATAGTCGCAAATAAAACTGACATGGTCATGAATAGAACCCGTAGGTGCCTTTGTGTCTAATGCACCTAAAGTGATTTTGATCAAAATATCTTTGATAGTAATTGAAGGAAAGAAACCATTGACAACAATTAGCGGGCCATCTGTTAAGGCTGTCTGTGCAAATTCGTTTAATAAGCTACGTTTGGATCCGTAGCCATAAAACACAAGGTTGAACCCAGAACAGAGTTCAAAACACCATTGAGCAAAATGTTGTTTATGCATCTCTGCTAATATTTCGATTTCTTGATAATGTTTCCTAGGTACTTGGGATAGAATCTGATGGAATTCTTGAGGTTCGAGTATAGGTAAACGGGCAAGTGTATTGTCTGAAGTCTTGGTTGGCATTCTACTTTGGAAATAACGCTCATGTCCCTCTGTTTCGTCATAAGCATCTTTCTTTTCTTGTTGTTCTTCATCACTATCGTCATGTATCGTCTGGTCGGGCACTTGTTCTTCTTCGGAGGAGGAGGAAGAAAGATCTTCTTCACTACTGTGTGTATCTTTTAATGAATCTAAATGTTTTTGAATGCGTCTCTTTTTAGCATGGTTGGTCTTTTTAGTAATCGTTAGTTTCTTTCTAGCATGTTTGACTCGGCCAGTGTGTTGTTCTTGTTCTTCTGCTGTTAAGGCCTTGTTCATGAGTGTATTGACGTTTTTTTTGACACTTTGTTGAAATTGGAAAATAGATCGACCACTGACATCGGTGGTTTCCTTGTCAATGTCCATTGGTTTGTACTGAGACAAGAGTTCTCCTGTACTTTCTTGTTCCTCATTGTCTGATGAAGGATCTTTGGGTATTTGTTTCGTTTTGGTCACTGTCAGACCGACATCCATTATAGGTTCTCTCCTTCTTGATTTCTTGTTTGATTTATGATCGATGGCTAGTTTGGCTTCTAAATGTGCTACATGTGTATCGACGGTACTGACAATGTGTACTGGAATCTCTTGATCTGTCTGTTTATGGATTCTCATGTCGAAGAAAAAAAAACGCGTCAAAGCTAAAAAGAAGAGAAAAAAATTCGAGACGCGATATCGTTTTATATGCGTCTTTCACCATGTCCACCATTCATAAAGAAGAGCAAGTATGTGGCCATCCAAACACGCTACTGACAAACATTCTAGTGTTGTAAAACTTATTATTCAGTTCTTGAGAGAAAACAACTTGAATCAGACACGTTCAGCGCTCGAGAAGGAATCCCATGTGACATTATGTGCAGTAGAAGATAAAGCGCGATTCGTACAAGAAATCAAAGATGGTCGATGGGACAGTATATTGAAACAAGTCAATCAGCTCGGTATTGCACCTCATCAGCTCTTGGATCTGTATGAGCAAGTTGTGTTTGAGCTGATTGAAAGCAATGAGTTAAGTGCAGCAGAGGCACTCTTGCGACGATCGAATGTATTGCGTCTCATGTGCGAAGAATACCCTGATCGATATGAAGTGATGGAACGCTATTTACATGAAGCACCTATTCAACAAATACAATACACAAATGAAAAAAGAAGACTTGATATTGCCAACCGTATGTTGTTTTCGTCAGAGCATTTCTTTGTAACTGACATACAAGTCTAGAATTAGAACCGTTGGTGTCTATGGTACCAGGGAGTCGACTCTTGACACATTTAGGTCAAAGCATTAAATGGCAGCAGCAACAAGGCATCATTACACCTGAATCTACCTATGATATCTTCCGAGGTACTGTCTCTGTTCAACGATCAGAAGAAGACAGTTTTGCTTCTAAACACTATGTGTCAATCAAATTTCCCGGTAAAAAGACACATGCTGAATCGGCTGCTTTTTCCAAGAACGGTCAATACCTTGCTACAGGTTCTGTAGATGGGTTTATTGAGATCTGGAATTATTTGACAGGCAAGCTAAGGAAGGATTTAGCCTATCAGGCTCAAGATCGTCTCATGGCCATGGACGCATCAGTCCTATGTGTTCAGTTTAGTCATGATAATGAGCTATTAGTGACTGGTTCTTCAGATGGTAAGATGGCTATTTGGAAAGTCAAGACAGGACAATGTCAAAAGCGTATTCCTGTAGCTCATACAGAAGGTGTTACTTGTGTCTGTTTCAGCAAAGATAGTACACAGATCCTTAGTGGCAGTTATGATCAAACAGTCCGTATTCATGGTCTCAAGTCTGGCAAGATGTTGAAAGAGTTTCGAGGACACCAGTCGTTCATTAATTCCGTTGTTTACTCGGCTGATAACACACGTATCTTAAGTGCCAGTAGTGATGGCAATGTCAAGGTAAGAGAGATTGTTGTTGTTGTAGTTTAACTCATCATTAGATTTGGGATGCTAAATCGACCTCTTGTATCTACACTGTCAATCCTCAACCTCCTGTAGAAAAGAACCAGCTTAATCCAATAGGAGGATTAGGCAGTGCCTCTGTTCAGCTTATCATGTCACTTCCCAAACATCCAGATCAATTCCTGGTTTGCAATAAAACCAACACACTTTTTATCATTTCTCTACGAGGACAAATTATCAAGACATTGACACATCAAAAACCAGTAGATTTTGTTACTGCAACTACATCGCCTCAAGGTGACTTTATTTACGGTATCACAGAAGATTCGCATATGTATGGATTCCAGTTCAGTACAGGCGCACTTGTAGGTCAAGTCAAAGTGTCTGAAAAAGAGATTGTAGGTATAACAAGTCACCCATTATCTAATGTGGTTGTTGTCTATGATGATGCAGGCTATGTGTATTTCTATAAAGCACCATAAAAAAAGAATAAAGAGATTATTTACAATATTTACAATTCATCCTCTGGTAATTGAATCCTTCTGTTCCAGCGAGGTACGGATTGCCCAATACCTCGAGCATGTTGAATAGACAGATAGATATAACCAAAACAACGATGGAGTAATTGTATCATGTCGCTCATACCGTACTGCGTGTTGGTCTCCAAGTAGATTTCAAGACTGAGCAAGGTCAAGCCAATCACTGTATAGAACATGGCATTACAGCCATATTGTTCGTAAATCATACCACCCACTAAACTACCCAAACCAGCACCTACACCAGCATACATGGCAGCTAATATACCTTGAGATGTAGCCTGTAAGGAAGGAGGAGCCAATTCATCTGCCTGAACTACACCTGCACCCCATAAAGCAGAGAAAGCAACTCCGTTTAATAAATGAAGTCCAATGGCAATACTAGCACCTGTAGGACTCTTGGGCAAGACAGTATATGCAAACACACGAACAATCGTCAATACATGGCCCAAAATAACTAAACTTTTGATACCAAACAACCGAATCAGCTAGAGGGAGATGAATAACAAACGTATGTATATATATAACTTACATCTTTGGAATAAAAGAAAAGGACAAGTTCAGTAGAAGAACCAATTAGGCCAGTTAAGCCTACTTGAGAAGAACTTGCTCCTAAATCTTGTTTGAGATAGATAAACAAAAAACTAATCACCATATTTAAAGCAGCACCCATCAGCATCATTGTCAAGAAAAACAAAGATACTTGAGGCTGTTTGAGCAATTCAATGAGTGTAGAAGGCTCATTGGTATTGAGTCGAACAGAACGACGTCTGTGTAATGGTGGATTCGAAAGATTGACAGCTTCAATAATACTGGATTCAGTAGCAAATTGGATCAAGCGTTGTATTTCATTTTCTCGAATTTGAGAAGAGTCTAAATCAATCCCTACTTCATCATAAGGGTCAACTTGAAATTGCTTGATGGTTTTCTTCTTCTTTTGTTGTTGTTGTTGTGGTGGTGGTGATGGTGGTATTGGGTGTGTGGATGTAGAAGGAACAGGAGAGGTGGGAAGGTATTGTCTACGATAATGATCTTCTGTTCTTTCAGATTTGAATTGAGTGTTAGCAGACATAAGAATAAAAAAATAGAAGCACAAGCATAGATATAGAAAATAGCATTCATATCATTTGTCCAGTCTGTAATAAACCCGACCAAAGAAGAAGTAACACCAAACGCAATGGAACCCCACATACGCTGTCTTCCGTATTGATCCTTATTTCTGCCTAGGATTTTAAGGACACCACCATCCACAAGAGGCAAGACAGGCACGCCAAAGAAAGCAAAGCAGACAGAGGTCATGGTGACCAATGTGATAGTCAGTTTACTCTTTTCTGCTTCGTCAAGGTGTTGAACGACAACAGATATGCCCATGACACTTACAATAGCTACAGTAGCCATCGTATGGATAATACACATAATATATCGATGGGCCTTTGTTTTGTCTGCAATGGCAGCCCACAATGGACAAGCTATGGCCGAGATGAAGGGCGCTATATATACAATTTAAATAAGTTGCAAACTATATGAATATAATTTACCGATGGCTACTAGCAAACCAATCTGATCACCTTTAAGGCCTAGCTGAGAAGAGTAGAATAAGGTAAGATAGACAGGAGCAGAACCTTGACAAGCAAACAGAAAAGTATATAGTAATTTCGGAGCAAGATAAGGCATTACCCTATGAATAAAGAACAAGGCATTGATGCAAACGGAAGAAGCTAAATCTCCAGCCGATTTAGCAGTCCTGCCTAAATTTACCTTTTTTTTTTGTCAATCTTTCACTTTACGCCTGTTCCAATCTTGGTACAAGTAAGGACAAGACCAAATCAAAAACAGTATTGTATTGGTTGCTTTTTACAGAGATCACTTGAGAAAGATCAGTGATACCAATTGCCGATGCAGAATGAGTGTCTCGGAATGTAGCGGCTCTTTTCTTGTTTACCAAGACATCAAGAGGATTTCTACACAGCAGAACTTGGCTTTGTTCCAGAATTTTCCTTTAGCAGTTTCTGATGAGCTTAATGAGCTAGCTAACAAACAAACGCGGGCAATGAACTTTCTACTGTGACTTATTTACTATGTACACTACTAACTTAACATAGCCCAGCTCTTTTTTTTCTTTTCATTTTTTGCTTTTCTTTTCACGAATATCTTTATGCCCAAAGGTGAATATATATATATATATATATAAAAGACACGTCTATTTAATTCAATTGATTTGACTTGCTTATAGCCAATAGTAAGATATACCCGTTGCCAATTATTTCGAGAACATTTCTCAACAGTATTTTACCAAAAATAAAGCAAGTTTTCATCGGTGTTTGATAGCTTCTAATTCTAAGCATAGATTACTTGAGCAAGAAACCGATACCACAATTGTTTATAATTTCGATGAAAGAGTAAAAACTAATTTACTGCCATGCATTTATGTGAATTAACAATTCTAGTATTTTGATATCAATGCAAGCGTTCGAGCAAAATGCATGAAAGCGTAAGTTTAATCATATTACAGAAAAAAAATCTTGAAAAAAAAAGTGAACAGATTATCTGTCAACATTTGTTACCTCGCTTGGTAAGCAAACAAAAAGACAAAAAAGAAAAAGAACTGATTGACATAGAACGACCGTATTGATTCTAGCTTTATGGCTGGAACATTTGATAATGATTTATCATTCACACCAACGACGCCTATGCCTATTACACCTGAACCACAACAAAAAAACTTAATTGGCAAACCACTCACCTTGGACAGTGATCATGACGATGATGAAGAAAACATACACAAAATACATGAAGAAGAAGAGGAAGAGGAAGAGGAAGAAGCCTTCAAATTGAACGAGAAGAATGAAATTGACGATGGTAGTACTGTGTTTGGTACATTTATTGTTTCCAGTGCTATTCGCAATGTCTCTGATTTTCTGATTGGCCCTCCACAACATAATATGCAGAATGCAGACTATATCAAACTTATATCCAACATAACCCATACAGAATGCATATTGGACGAAAGAACCATCCGCATCATAGGCAAGCTGAGATCTGTCAAAGATGCACACTGTAAATTCACTGTATTACAGAAAGCTTATCTTGGTCGCAACAAGACCTCTGTAGTCACTTGCCTTCATTACCCTGAAGAATCTGGCCATTATGGTCTTTATTTCTGTGATCTTAAACTATACCGCCATAGAAGATTTGTACATATCCAACCCAATCATAGCGAGATGTCTTGTAATTATGTTGTTTTGCCTATATTTCCCAATCCCATCACCAATGAATACGACCGCCCTGTTGATCTCGTTTTGCCAAATACCCAACCATACCCACCCACAATTCAACCACCACCTGTATCAAATCAAGCTATGCGGCGTGTCCCAAGAGAAGAGATACAACCCATACGTCGTGAAAGAATGTCTGTTTCTGATATTCGTTTGCCTACAGCACCTCCTACACCTACTTCTACCGTAAGCGAGGACCGATTTCAACCTCCCAGTTGGGGTGGTCCTCGTTCTTTTACCTCCAGTTTTAACACTGGTAATCTTGATTATCTAAGTAGTGAACGGCTTGCGCGTGCATTTACGCCCTCTTCTTCTGTCTGTTCAGAACCTCTTTCGATGATTCAAGATTTTCCGACTTTGAGACCTAGTTCACCTACGATATCAGAACCATCCTCTTGTTCCAGTCCAAAAACGTATCGCCCTAGCCTGTCAATCAACAAGCAAAAGGCAAAAAGAGTCATGCGTATTGTTTCGCAAAAATCAAGCCAGCCTAGCCAAGGACCTTCCATGTCCATGTTGGAGAGGTAAATGCATACATATATATACTTCATGTGCTCTTGATTGATGTTGTTGTTTTTTTTTCAGAGTAAGAGCTTATAATTATAATTTGATCAAGAATACATTGGAAAAAGGACTCGATGCAGTACGAGGTTTCAAAGGTGAAACCACAATGAAAGCTAAGTAAGTGATTCACCATGACCAAAATCGCTTATTGATGCTTGAAATATAGACTAGGTAAAGTTTTATGGACAAATGTTTCGCCTGTAGTGACCGGAAAGATTTGGACAATGCAAGACATCAATGACATTGTTGTCAAAGAATTGGGTACCATGCCACGATTCACAAACATGTAAGATAAATACATAAAAAAGACAAAACATTGACATGTCATAGTACAACGATGGATCAAGATATTATCAACAGTATTTCTTCTAAAGATTTGTTTCCTTCTGGCCATTATAGCAAGACAGCCTTTTTTGAGTTTCATTGCTCAGCACGTAACCAACCTATGCTTCCTTATAAGCCTATTGTTTTACATATGAATCAAGGTGTGATTGATGTTCATAAGGTTGTCATTTCAGAAAAAAAAGTAGCAGAAGTGAACTGGGTTTCCTTGGATAGAAAATATGATTTCCAATTGAATCTCACGACAAAAGAACTTGTACGCCCTGATGTGAAGCCATATACATCATTTATTAAATGGGTCTCTATCTGGTAAGTCAAAAAAGAGAGGGTATAACCTGTAGATTCATTGCTTCTATAGTCCAATCACTCAACTCATGTCGTTTGAAAACGTACCCAACTTTTTGGAAGTCAATCATATTATCTTCAAGTCTACCACACGTTATCGTACTGTCTTTCCTTTTATTGTGGAAGTCTCTCGTATTGAAAAAGTGCCTATGAAGCCCGTCAAGGGAAGTCAAAAGATCAATGCACAGCCTGGTCATGGCGAGGCCTGGTATGACTTTGAAATCATCAACACATTGCATGATGCTCCCTTCAGAGCCAATTTGAATCTGGATATTGGATGCGAAGCTCCTTGGACTATTGAAGATATCTTGCAGACTAAAACAAATGAAAGTGCAATTACTGCTTATGCTCGCTATATCTTACAATTGATTGAAAAGATTGAAAAAATCATTCGAAAAGAAAGACTCAATCTTGATTAAGAAATAATAATAATAAAAATAGTTACAAGTCTTTTATATAGTACAAGGTATACATTTAGGAGCGATGAAGTGTGGATGATGATTCATCCTGTGTTTGTTCTATAGGTACAATGATGGCTGATTGATTGGTAGGAGGGAGCGATTTTAATGCTTTTTTGTAAGAAGGAGGTGGCATCATTTCGTAATAGGAAGGTAGTTCATCGTCTGCTGATTCTTGGTTGTTGGGTCGATAGACAGGTCGAGGTCCGTTGGTTGTAGTTATTCTGGATCGAGGATCGCCCTCTTCTCTACTGGGAGGTATGTATTTATCGCTTTTACAAAAAGCAAAAGGAATCCATAAAGATGCGCCCACAATCACACAAACAGAAGTAACATTATAAGTAGCGATGTCTATATATGTCAATACTGTAAAAGCCAAATATGTCAACTTACAATAAACACTTTCTGTATCTTGAATGAACCAAGAACTGAATGTTCTAAAACATATAGAAGCTAAAGAAATACAAATACATGTTAAAGAGAGTTTCCAAGTGCTTCTTGAAATCACATAGCCTAGATTTCTTATGATTAACACACTAAACGATAGTTGAATAATAGCGACAATAATGACTAAGAGGCTCTAGACAGCTTAGTTAGTTGATTTTTAGGGTTAATCTTCACTTACTTGTCCTGTATAGCCCACCATAAGGTTACTAGCGGGAAATCTTTTATATTCTGAATTACTGACTAATTAAAAAAAAGAGTTAATTGTTTCTGATAAAAAGAGTCATGATGCATATATATATGCTTACTAGCTTCTGTAATAATAACAACGAGTTGGTCCAAGAGCTCAAGATATATAAATAAACTAGCCGCACAATAAGCAGAAAATAGGTTTATGTCAGAATTCAATCCTAACACGGTTGATATACGTTTCAGGATCATATTATATATTTTTCCGAAATAAAAGAGAAAAAAAAAAAGAAACAAAGACGTCTTTGTGTTTTATACATTTATACATGGTGTAACGTTACATTATACAGCAGAAAAATATATATATGCAAAAAAAAGAAGCAGTAAAAGAGTCAGCATACGCAATCGTTTTTTCCCTATTCAGTAGGATTGCTTTTTTTGTGCATAGACTGTCGACCAAGATTAGGAAATTGTGTCTAGATGGCGTTAGTACAGAATGGCATATTGTTTATAGCATAGATGGTCCTGGTGTTCAATTGCTTTTGTGTGATAGATTGAATTCCATTATGGGTTTGTAAAACATTTTTGTTGAATGTAAATTCATTATGAAACGATGTCTGCAATTGAAGAATAGACTTCAAATTTTAGACAAAACATGTGATACAGACATGAGGAAAAAAGGAGGGAATGCTATTTACTGCGTTAATCTATTACATTTACCTAGTGTATCAATTGACCACATATACAAGCTAGTTAATTACATAAAATGGGTCATGGTTTGATAAAATAAAACAGTTGATAAAATAGAACTTTCTCTCCAGATCATCGGTGATCATTAGAATTAGTAACACAAGCAAGCTGGCTTAGCAACAAAAAATATATATATATATCATTTGACAAATGCTAAGCAAGATTGATTGTGATGGCATTCACTTTATGAAGTCATCAAAATTCAGGAGTAAATAATGAGAAAAAAATACATGATTTCAAGCTTAGTATTTTATGTTGAGGTTAAAGTTTTGACATACTACAAGGCGCGCTACTGAAAGATGATGTTCTTAACATGACAATTTGACTTGATTTAACCATGAAGCGAAAGTTAAGTGACTTCATGGCCACAAGCAATTCATGGCTGTAAATGGAATTAGTGTCTTGTTGTTAAAGGGACTGGAAAACCCAGATATTCGTTCAAAATAAAACAAGGGAGAAAAAGTCATTTCGAAAATCAAAAACGCCTTTTCTGTTACGCAAAAAAAAAAAAAAAAAAAAAAAAAAAACTGAAATGGTTAAAAACAAGATGGATGATGGATAAGTAAAGAAAAAAATATTTCTTAAAGGATATAACAGTCAGAAATATGGTCTGAAGGCATACAGTAACAAACAGAGGTATTTTTTGTAAAGTACATAAGATGAAAAAAAAATTGCTAGCCTAAGAATGCATATTGGAATATTAATCAAAGTTCTGATAGTAAACACTCTAGTTTTTTATATCGTTAAACATGTCTTGTCAAGACGCAAAAACTTTGTCACTGTACTATCATGACAAGTCTTCATTAAAGATGTATTCTCTATTTTTGGTTGATGTTAAAAGAGCAGATATAAGTTGTCAATAGAAAGTCATTTCCGTCAAACTATGGTCCTGTTGAAGTCTCAAGCATTACAAGTAAACATATATTTCTATGGTATGAAGATTACCCTTTTGAGTGAACTCTAACACGGTGCATAAAAACAAGCATTGAAATATCTACAGACCGAAATTCATACCTTTCAATGTAGATAACAAAGGTATATACTAGTAAGTTTTGAAATAATAAAGATGAAAGAAAGATTGTCCTTGTATATGAATGCAATGCCCAGACTTGAATATAATCCTGTGATGCATATAAACAAAAAGAAAATGTAGTAAAGTGAGATTGTTTTATAAGCAAACCATAGTGCTCTAAGATTAAGAAGCAAAGCAAAGAAATAAATAGCGCACGCGCATATTTATTCTGCATGATTTATTAACAAATATTTACAGTGCAAAAGTAACATCAAGTTTTGTATAAATTCTTTTGTGTTCATTTGGTATAAATCTTGGGTCCAGATTCTTGAAAAAGAGGGAAAAAAAGAGGGGGAATAGAGAGACACAAAGAAGGTATTTAGGATAATTGATTAGACTGTCGTTGAGAATTTACACCAAAATTCATGTTCCAGGAAAAGAATATCAACGCCACAATATTCACAAAAGCCTGATTCGATTCGGCAATAAACATTCTCTTTGTCTTTGGAAGAAGGTGTTGATGTGCAACTAGAAATGCCATAAAGAGTAGATGAATTTAAGTCTTGGCTTTGGTTAATACAACAAAGAGTAGAAGAGAACATGGCAAGCAGAGAAGGACAATAAAGTACTTATCTTGTTAGAAATCCATAGCTTTTATATGTAAATAATCAATACTTTAAACTCAATACGCTGGAAAGTCAAATCGAAATTTACAGTGGGCTTTTTCGATTTGAAAAATCAAAATTAGCCATTTGAACTAGTTTGGAAAAATAGTCTAATTGATTTTCCCAGCATCCAGGATGTGATTTCTATAAAAAGTAGGATGTGCTGTGTTTTAAACCATTGTTGTTGTAAAACATTGGATCTGACAGAGATTTATCTATATTTTTTTTTCCTTTATCTTCATACGCTTAAAAGTACCCAAAAAAAAGGATGAGGGTAATACAGGATAATTGTGCCATAATGACAAGTAGTATGTATGCACCTGCGTAATCATTGAAGTTGATATTTTCCATCATCGTTAAGATACGAGCATGTTTGCTGATATGAGAGGAATGATAGACTGCAAAGTGAATTTTCTCCCTATAGATTTTTTGACCAAACTCTATATGGTGTTGAATACAGAAACTGTCCGAAAAAAATAGAAGGCTGTTTCCATAAAAAGTCAGCTCGATCTCGATTTCAGTTTAGTCCTTTAAGCTGCAGAAAATGCATGCCAAAAAAAGGAAATACATTTTTATCTCGATTGAATTGCTATTACAAAGTAACACACACGAAATGGACCCTATTATATTTGAATTGGATATGTTTTTCCTACAGAATAAAAAGGAGACAAGCATGCTTTTAGTTGTGTGTGTGTGAACCATCATAATGACCGAATCATCACCTTTGACTTTCGTCAAAAAAAGGCTTAGTTTTGTGCATTCCAAAACATGAATTGATCTACTTCTTTTTTTTTTTTTTTTTTTTTTTGCTCTTCTGATAGAGCACACCATACTTTCTGTTTTCTTCTGCTTTATTCTTTTACATTAGTAATTTACATTTCGTTTGTAACACAACTATATTCTTTTGAGTAATTTAAACCAGCAAGCCATGACAACATTCAAGAAATACGTTGGTTGTAGTAGATTTCATTGCTGAAATATGGTCTCATCATTCATAAATGCTTGCCTGACGCGTGATTTATCTCTAAATACACACGTTTGATGTTTTTGATACTGACGATTGTGTTACTTTCATCAAGACTAATAATGGCATCACTTTTTAATCACTTTTTTTTCAAGTCGAGGCCTTACTATTAACATTTCTCTAACAACTAAACATACATAAAACTAGATATTTAGGCATGTTTCTTATTCAATAACGTTATGTTAAATGCTAAACTAAATAACTATTGTTATGTATTTTGATAGACCATATTTCGTGACAAATGAGAGCAATAAGTCTATAATCCGATAAGCGAATTCTATCAAAATATATACATATTGATCGAACAAATTTTAATTGACTCTCTTAATTTTCTTCCCGTAACTTTCTTTGCTTGTAAAATGTTGTCTTCAAACTAGCTCCTGTGCCCAAATTTAGAAAATAATCTTTCGTATGTCCATCTTTCAGGCATAAATTCCAGTCCATTCTTCCATAAAACTTGAGTCGAACACTATCTGCAAACTCGAATTCCTCATCTGTCCAGCGGGAGCCTTTTGTTCTGTTGATGATAGGTCTAGGATTGAAGTCAACTGAAGAAGATGGCTCTTCCTTAACAATAGGGGATGTTGTCTTTGGGTCTTGCAGGGTTTTAGGGGGGAAATCGGTATTGACTTTTCTGAAGTGAATGGGCTTTCTGGAAGCAGCAGCAGCAGCAGCAGCAGCAGCAACAGGAATAGGCACTCTCTTGTCATTTTTCCTAGAAGCATCATGAATAAGGGTAGCAAGGACATCAGGAGAGACAGACAAGTCATTATTATCGATCTTTGAAGCATTTGGTGGTTCATACATGGGGGCAATTGATTCATTAGTACTATCTGTACTCAAGGTCTCTTGATATTCACTCTTGAGCTTGGACAAATGATCTGCACCTTCTCTGGCAAGCGTAAGAACTTCATTGTCAGGTGGAAACTTGTCTTTCAAAAGGTCATAAATTTTTTCAAACTTTTTTTCAGAGAAAGAGCATATGGTGAGCACATCTTCAAGAAGTGTTCTGTTCGTGTCCACAAACTGCTTGGTCTCCTCCATGGCTGCTTCATACAAGGAAATAACGGTGGGATCAGAACGATGCTTCAAGTTCAATAAATTAGGCACCTTGCTTGAGAGAACATAGTGAATTGCTTCAAGTGGGTCGAGGACGTCCCTTTCTTGTTTGTGAGCATATCCTTTAGTTACGATATAACAGCTTTTGGCCCAGAAGGTACATACAGCTTGATGCAAAGATTCGTGTTCTTTGACAGGCTCAGAGTTACCAAGTATTTTTTCATCAACGCTATCTGTACAAATCAAGAGGACATGTGGAAGCACGTCGTATTTTTCAGATGCATCAATAGATTGATCAATAAGTTCAGACATATATTTTCTGTTCACATTGTCTTGAACTAAAACAACAATAGGCGGATGGGTCTCTGAGACAGAGGAGCGCGGCAAGTAAACAACACTCTCACGCTTATTGTTTGATTGAATATGTCCCAGCCTGTACGTATCTGGCTCTGCTTTGGTTAAAAAGTTGACAATAATATCAATCACTTTTTGATTTGAGAGAACGATACTGCTCATCTCTTTACCTCCCGGAGGAAGTTTCTTGGGCATATTAAACAACATAATCTCGGATGAGTCTATCAAAATGATGAGAAATTCATGTTTTCTCTATCCAAAACGCGCTATTACATTGGACTGTCATGATAACCTTATATTCAGGAGAAGAAGAAAATTTTTTTTTTCAATTATGAAAACACTGTATATGGTAGTTACTTGTTTTGAGAAGGCTTTGAATGGTGACTGTTTGCAGTATGTACCATCCTGAAAAGGAGCTAATAGACCAATGCTTATTTTTTCTTTATGTTTATATAGAAAAAAATCATGTCAGTACTAACAACCTTCATCCTTGTTCAAAACTTGCTGCGGCAATTTCGGAAACTATTTGGCTCAATGCAGATCAATCCCAAAACTTTAATATGCGTAATCTTCAATAGGGGAGAAACTATTCTTCATCAGTTTGATGGGAACATTTATGCTCTGTCTTTGGGTAAAAAGATTTTTCTTTTCTTCTTTCTTGAATAGGCAACCAAATATGGGATTGCCCATTCTTTATTGAGCCCTTGAACTCGTTTTGCTCTTGTTCCCTTGGGATGAATGGTCTGTTTATGGTTTGATTTTTTAGGGACATTCTTCTCCTATATAAGATCACGATGGTGTCCAATTGGATATGACATACAAGATTTCATCTTGATTTTATCAAATAGGTTTCTCTTTTTTGGGTAAAATATAATTAAGCTCTTAAGCTAATACATCAAAAAGAAAAAAACAAGAGAGTGAAAAAGGTTAAATCTTGTGTAGCCATTTCGTTTTCAACGTGTAAATACAGGACAATGGGTTAACACATTTATTTCCGCGTCATAAGAATACAGGACAAGAAGGAGAAAGACAAAGGAACAGTGGCTTGATCTTTTTACTAGCTATTTCAAAATAAATCTAGATTTCGAAACTGAATCAAGAACAACTTCATAATCGTATGCTTTCTATTGATACGTAATCATTTAGCTACATTTATTAGCTTTCTGCAAATGAGGCTTAATGCATAAATATACTCATATAAAGAATGAATATACATCAATGAAATATGACAGATTAGGCATTAATCCTATTTTTCTTTTTTGACTCATGCTTGCAGCAATAGGAGAAGTCCCTATGGTCTTTCTTTAGGAGAAGCAATACTTGTCTTTGACATGCCCTTTTTCTTTCTTTCTTTGTGATATGAACTAGTCATTGTGGATGTATGTGGTCAAGATCAGTTATGAAGACAACAATAACCTGCATATTTAAGCCTTTTTATCAACTTTCGATCTAAACAGCATTGGTACTTGAAACATCCAGACATATTGATCTACAGGAAAAAGAAGAATAAAACCTTGGAAGTCTATTTCCTTATAGACACGAAATATTGTCTGCCAATGACAGGTATGAATTGATAGATCAAACATGTACATTTTCTGTATATTTACCCAAATGTTTCAAATTCTAATTCCATTCATATCGTCGATTATCTAAGAAGTCCAGGATTGACAATAGAGAAACTTGAAAATAGTTTATTCATTTTAGAAAAAAAAATGGGGGGCATAAAATGGTATAAGGAAATGATTTTTGATTTTTATATTTATATTTATAATATATACATAAGCATTTCTGACGTGGTAGCTATTAGCAAATGTAAGTGAATAATGACTTAATAATTTTCTGAGGCAAAGGGTAAAGCATCAAGACGTGATCTCAAATCAAACAAAATGTCTGTCCATTTCTCTTGAAATTGATGTGATCTGTCTGACTGAAGTGTTTGCATTAAAGACTGAAAGCGTTTTAAACAAGCGTCTACTGCTTCAATGGTTGCCAGTAAGTCACCTTTGTAGTATATAGAACCTTGGGATTCAATAGCATATTCCATCTAACAAGGTTAGTATAAAACTGTTGTCTATCCACAAAGTGCATACCTCGTCAACAGCAAACTTGTACATTTCTCCAAACTCTTCAATTTGCTTTTCTTCTTCTACATTGATATGGTATTCATTAGATTCTCTTGGACTATTGGCTGATAGTGAGTCATAGAAAGACAATGATGAAGAAGAGGAGGATCTACGACGAATACGAGGAAACCAACGTGTAGGTGATTTGATAATGCTGTTGGAAGTGTTGTTTTCTTGTTCAAAATGACATCCACAATTGCAGCACACAAAAGAAGGTGCTGGTTGATGTTGTTGCTTTCTTAAAAGTAAGTTAAAAGAGGGCATGTTTAGAGAAAGAGAAAGAGAACCAAATAATTGGGATTCGTTTCTTTTGTCTTCAACTTTTATAAATAATCAAACATCCCCCCTTTTGTCTCCTTATTTGTACCCCCAAATACTTGCCCTCCCCCCCCCTTTTACTTTTTTAACTGATTGTTTTAGAAATTGATTTAGACTAATACAACATGTGGTTCCTTGTTTGATTGTGTTTATCAAAGGAGAGACTATATTACAACTCCTTGTAAAGGGGAGTACAAGTTGCCACCATGGCTTGTGTAAGACAATAAATAACCATTTATTACTGATCGACATGCTGGGTGTACAATTATGCAGAAAGTTTTTTTTTTTTTTTGAGTGAAAGAGGGTATTATTTTTTAGTTGGATGAAGATGGAATGAAAGTAGGTCTGTTCTATAAGATAAGATCATCTAGAGACAACTTGAGTTTTTCTTTTATTATTTATTTGTTTGTTTATTTACCTTTTCTTTCTTGAGTGGCTTTTTTTGACTTGAGCATCTTTTTGACATCCTCGACTTCGACAGACACGTTGGATTCAAGGTCAGCATAGTTTCTGCATAATGGACATAAAAATCCCGGATGATTGACCAGTAAAGGACGTAGACATTTATAGTGAAACGTATGAGAACAAGGTGCAACAAACAGTGCTTGGAATGGAGCAATGGCAAATAAGCAGATACAGCATTCATCTACATGAATATCTTCATCATCATTATCTATTTCCATTGGATCTAATGCTTTATAATTGTTCTGTGGTGGTGTGGTCAAATGTCGCAGTGACTGATATGTTTTAAGACTAAAATAAACAATTATAAGCATGACCAAGTTCTCTCTCCCCCCGCCCCCTCATAAGAGACTTACTTGTACTGGTTAATGTTGTCATTTTGCTGAGAAGACTTGTTGAGTTCCACTCTCATTTTAACACAACGGTACACCTCTAAATATAGATATAAGTAACAATGCCATGTATATTTCTTGATTACCTTGAGTGCCTCCTTGATAGTCAACACCCAGTTGAATAATATCATTATCATGCAATTCAAATGGCTGTGATAGTTGATTTGGTCCACACAATCTCCTGTTGTTGAGAAAAGTACCTGAAGAAGACTGCATGTCACGGATATAGACCTTTACTTGTTTTGTGAGTCGAGGCATGATCGTGGGATAAATTCATACGTACCTTTCCATCTTCGACAAATATCTCAGCATGTTTCCTACTGACGACTTTACTCCTAAAAGTCATACTGGTAGACGAAGGCCTTCTGTCTGCTATTGCGCGTCCAACCTTTAATACGTGCGAATTATGTAGAGAGTATTCCATGATGGGGAACACAAGTGCGTTACTAGAATCAAGATGAGGCACAATACGCAATGACTGAAGATGGCTATTATTGCTCGTCATCGTATAAAATAAAGCTATGTGAAAGAAAGAGAGAGGAGGAAGCAGTGAGAGAGAAAGAGAGGGGGGTAAAGAAGAAGAATTGTTGGCAAAGGAGTATTATGCGTATAGTTTTTTTTTCTCTTTCTCTTTATTACAAGGACTTTAGTTTATTTGTTTGTGTTTATATACGTTGTTTGCCTATTTTCCTCACTACTGAAACTTGTAGGGAAAAGGGAAAAAGAAAAATAAACAATGGAAGAAAAAAAAGTATATATGGATATATATACAATGAGCTTAGAAAGACCTTTTTTTTTTCTTGTGTAAGTCAAATGAGACTGAATTCCCTATTTAAGATATCTTGGTTATAGTAATATGAAAGAGAAAGAGAAGAAGAGAAAGACGCTCGTACCTTTTTAAAAACAAGAATATGATCTGTAGCCTTATACAAGCCACTCTGATCTACTTCAAAAATCCCGCTCTTTTTTGTGCTCTGAACTCTGGTATTCTTTATTTATTTTTCAAAGGGCACTAGAACAAGGGTGAAAAGCAGTAAATATGAGTAACACCTTTGCCAGCCTATTCCGTAACTC